GTCGGCAGCCATGTCCAGCACCTGGAATGGACCAACAAGGGCTCCATGCTACGAAGACTCACAAATAATACTTCTCCAGTCCTGATGCTCAGGAAACCACACATTGAGCCCCCTAGAAAACTCAGGAGTCCAACCTCTTCCCTTAGGATCCACAGCCTGGCTTGGACCCCAGCTCTGTCTCTTATCAGGCCCAGTTCAGTCCAAGCCTCTCCTTCTCCAGACCCAGGAGTGCAGCCACCCAGCCCCTCTTACTCACAGTAGCTGTGTCAGCGCCCCCTGATTCCTGGGGACAGGGCTCTGACCGTGGGCTCCGGCAGCGCCTCCACTGAAGGCCATGACACCGAGAGCCATCTGGAGAGAGAGATTTGAGTGGGGCAATTGAAGACAGAGGACTAGATGCAGAGCCCTCATAGGGGACAGGAGAGAGGGGCCCGGTGCACTGTCATGCTGGAACCACACATCACCTCTTGACTTTCAACACCACCTTATGGGCTTCGATTCTTACCCTTTCATCCTCCTATCCACCTGCAGGATGTAGCCTGCACACCTCAGCCTGGCATTCAAGGCCTGCTGTGACCCAGTCCCCACAGACTTCTGCTTCTCCCAGGTCCCCTACCACCCTGTGCACCAGCCCCAACAGGCCCCACACTGCCCCCGAGCCATTCTCTGTGCCACAGCCCACTGCTCCCTTGGCCAGAAGGCTTCTGCCCATCAGCTAAGGCTGGTGTGTCCCTGGAGAGCCAGGTCACCTGTCACCCCTCTAGACAGCCACCTGCCAGCCAGCCTCCCTCCAGACTCGCTCAGGGGAGCCTCCTGGCTTCTCACAGCGCCTCAGGCCACGGGGGCTGCAACTGCGTCTCCCCCACACTGGACTGTGGGCCCTATAAATGCAGCCATGGGGTTGGACCATCTTTGGATCCCTGTGCCCATGGAAGGCATGAACGAGATGACAGTAAGAATGCAGAAAAGGAGCAAGGGGCTGAAAGCAGAACTCACCTTTATCATTCGGCAGATCCGCCTGCAGGGAGCTTCCCATGGCCTGCTGAATGGCCCGCTGAGGGAAAAGAATGAAAGAACCAAGAGTCAGGTGTCTCTGGTAAAAGATCCCCCCCACAACCTCTGCTCCTTGCGGGACAAGCATTCTGGACAACCCTGCAGCCAGGCCAAGGCCTGGGGCTCTTCCCCTTCGGCCCAGGAGGTAGAGCCTGGAATCCAGACCCCAGCCACTCCTCCTCCCTCAGCCTCAGGTGTCTAGCAGCCTCACCAGGATAAAGGCAGAAGAAGAAAGCGTGGGGTCTCTGTCAGGCGGACCATCACCCCGGTCCTCGCCTGACTCCTCTGTCTTCCCTCGAGACTCATCTTCTTCCTCCATGGTTACCTGGGGGCGGGGGACAGTTGGAGCAGAGGCTGGGGGGTTGGGGGGAAGCAGAGGATGTACAAGAAGACCCTCAGGGCCTCCGACACTACCCAGCAGCACCCTCTCCAGCACCCCTCCTCTCCCACCTCATCCCAGGCCACCCTGTCCTTGGGCCAGCACGGACCACAGGGACTAAAGCAATTCTCTTCCTTTTTCTGGATTTTGGCCAACTTCTCTGTCAACGGGAGGCCACCTCCACCACCTATTTCAACATCTGCTCTCTAGTTCCCTTTGCTCCCACAGGCCACACCCCTCTCCCTTACGGGATACAAACCCAATACTGGGATGTTTTTGTGTTACGTTGTGATTTCAAAGCATGTTCCACAGCCCCATAAACCCACCTTGGCCAAACTGAGGTATGTGCCAGTGTGCTGGATGGCATTCAATGCCAGGTACCACACAGCTGCATTGGTGCATCAATCATTCTCGAGAATAAGGAATCAAGTTTTATATACACAAAAGATGGAAGCATGACAGAGTGATCTGCAGAGCCCTTACGCCACTTTTAAAACAAAAACACTAAATCTGAGAAAGACATGCTGTTCCCCGAATCCCATGGGGGCTCCTGCCTGTGAGCTCATGGGCACCCAGTCAGGCAGTTGACAGAGCATGCTTCAGACGGCTGGATGCCTGGATTAGGACTTCAGACATTAGCAATATTACAGCTGCAAGTTTCCACAACTGTCAAATTTGCTAATGAGAAAACAATACCTAATCTCAAAATTCCTTGAAAGCTTCAAAATCCCTAACCTACGCTCAGTATGCTTCTCCGTAAATGGCAAAATCATATCAAACTAGAGAATGGCTGTGAGACTTAAAAGCCACACAATTATTAGCATATCTGAAATGCTCCACACACATTAAAAGTCACTGTATTGTTAGTCCTTAATATCTTGTCATTATTGTTGTTTTGGTACCAGTGATCAAACTCAGGACCTCGACCTTGCCAGGCCTTCATATCTTGGTTTCCCCTACATCTGTCTTCCCTAACTTCCCTGCTGCACATAAGCAAAGAAAAGAACTCGGCCCTGGTCTCTAAATTAGCACAGGTTTTCAGGCTTGCACCCAATCTTCCACATTCACATTCAGCCTCCCAGGTCTCTAGGTCTTCCACCCTCTTCCCTAACTCCCTGTAGACATGCCCCCACCTAATACTGGCCTCTCCAGCCAATACTCAATACCCTCTAGGCCTGCAGACAGCTCCCAGGCCTGAGGCTGCTCTTCAGCACCTCCTGAGAAGTGCTTCTCTAGCATAGTGACTGTCACGTATCAGAAGCTTTGTCAAGACCTGACACAGCCTTGGGGATACCCAAACCCTCTGCAGCACAGGAAGATGCCCTCAGCTCCTCAGCTTTTGTGGACACCAGAAGGCTCTGCTGACCCTGCCAGGTCTCTCTAGACCAGTGGTTCCCAAACTCCTGGGTCTGGGAGCAGTTTAGAGCTTCATAAATTGCTAGCTACGAAAAGTAAATAGAACACAATTGTAAATTCTTCACAAGTGTTTCACAATTTTTGGGACTTGAGTATTAGTTAAATACGTATGTACTGGGCCTCAATCAAAAATGTATTCTTACTAGTGATCAAGGTCCAAAGAGTTTGAAAAGCACAGCACTAGGTGAGTCTAGAAGACCCTACTGACCCTCTCTGCCTTGGGTAGACTCATTCTCTCTCTCTAGCCCCAGGATGAGGCAGGATTTTAAGCAATTTTCATTTGAATTACTTTCTAGAAAGCAAGTACATTTGAGCTGGGCAAAATTTCCAACACTCTCTTTTTGTATTATTTTCCACACATTTATTTATCTGACCCCCAAAAGATTCGAATTTGTTCCAAGCGTCCTCTCAATTACATCAAATACACCTAGATGGTGTCAGGTCCTTCTAACTGCCCCCAGCCTCCTGTCACCCACATCAGACACTTCCCAAACCTTGAAGACCTGTCCACAGCTCTCACAGTATTTGTCCCCCACCTTTGGTAGGTACATCTCATCCCTCTAGATGGCCCCGAAGGTCTTTGCAACCCTTGAAGAGTTCTTCCAGGCGCAAGAAACGGCTCCAGACCTGTGCAGACCAGCAGCATCCATAGGCCAGCCCATGTAGACACTTCCCAGCCCTCACAGACATACCCCAGCACTCTAGGTGGCTCTGCAGACACTCCTCAGTTCTTGCAGACCTCCTTCACCCCTGGGACACGGCTCAAGATCTCAAGATGGCCCCAAAATCATCTAAACAGAGCCTAGCCTCCGGTTGGCCCATAAAGACGATCCACAGCGCCTACTGACACGATCCAGGTCAGCTATGTGATGGAGGCCAGGACCTAGGTTCGGTCCAGGCCCTATGGGCCCCCAGTCCGCTTGGGGACGGCCCGTATACGCCCCCTGGCACCCACAGATGCGTTCCGGGGGCCTAAGAAGGCCCCCCGTTTGGCGCCAGACTTCACCCCCACTGCCAGATCCAAGACTGGCCCGTTAAGCCCTCCAGGTCCCCTGGCGTGTGGGGGGTACCCAGGGACAACTAGCGACCCTACTCCGCCCCGCCCACCCCAATAGGCCCGAGCCCCGCTGCTCGGACCACCGCCGCCATCTTACCCCGCCGCTCGGGCTGCGGCTCCGGCCCCGGCGCGGGGCGGGGTGGGATGGGGCGGGGCTCGGGAGCAGAGGAGGAGTGGGGCGGAGCTAAAGCGCCCCCGAGCTTGCCGGGATTTCAAGTACCGAGCACGGGGCACTGAAGGCTGGCGGGAAGGCGAGTGGACTCAATTTCCCGTGAGTCAATGGTGCATAAGGGGCGGGTCACTCGCTATGCACGCTGGGAGGCGTAGTCCGTGCGCCGCCTCAGTCGCGCGGGGACAGCGAGGGAGTGAGAGGTTAAGTGGGCGGGGTTGCTGTAGCCCGCGGTGAAGTCCCACAATACCGCGCGCGCGCCGGGAAAGGGAGACGGAATAGGAAGTGATGTAAACAGGCGCTCAGCAGAACAGATGCAAGGGAATTGTAGTTCGGTGGAGTGAGCATGACTGGCTGGACATTCCCCCGCCTACATTCTGGAGATCTCAGAATCTAGATCCCTCGGTCCACTCTAAATTTAGAACGAGGGAGCCGGACCTTGCAGCCTCTTCCGAATTCTGAATTTTCTCACACGAGTAGTATTTCCCTTGTCCCTCTTACTCGAGAGTCTTAGTCCTTTCCTTGGACCCGAGTCGGGTCCTCAGGCCCCTGGTCCCTCAAACCATCCAGGTGTCAAGCTCACACCTTACATATAAGGCCTCCCCCCGCCCCGAATCCTTCTTCCCCAGGACTCAGGGGCCCAAGTCTCCAACCTTATTTTTTCCCAGGGCCCCAAGTATCTAGGCTCTCAGCTTCCTCCTTCAAACCCCAGAAATCCTAGCCTCAGGCCCTTCATGACCCGGGCGTCCCGACTTGGGCAAACTGGCTCATGGATTAGGAATGCAGTGATCTCACGGCCCCTCCTTGCCCCGTTACCCTGCTGTCCCCCTCCAGGGCCCCATCTCCCCTCCCAGCCTGTCTTCCGTTTGGCTGGGACAGCGGGAACCGGAAGCCTGGGTCCTTCAGCGGGCGGAGACTCCAGCTTCTTACTCAGACCAGCAGTTAGAGAGCCTGGCTACGACCCCAGGACGGAGGTAGAGCTTCTCCTCAAGACCCAGTCCTTCCGCAGAGCGTCCTATATTCGACCGCTGGCAAGTCGGCCAGCCCCGCCTGGCAGAATAAGACTTCGAGGCTGGTCCTCGAAGAAGCTCTTCGTGGGAACCCTTATTTGCATAGACCCACCCCTAAAGAGCATCCCGCCCATCTGCCAGAAGTATACGCTTCATTAGCATAGTCCCGCCCACGGACCGCCCGCCGGCGGAGAGCGCGTGGCGCCGCTCAGGGTGAGCACAGGTCTTCATTAGCATAGCTCAGCCCCGCTCGGAATTCCCCGTCCCTCAAACTTCGTTCCTGCCCTTATTAGCATAGCTCCTCCCTTCCCCTGGCCTTCCCCACTCCTTAAGTGTCCCGAGACCCGAGTCCTTCTGGCAAGAGCTCATGATTATGCAGTAGCCTCATTAGCGTAGTCCGCCCCTGGTTCCCGCCCTGTTCCCCCCAGGCGGTAGCAGAGGCAGCGACAGCGGTGGCGACATGAGCAGCGGGGCGGCGTCCGGGACTGGGCGGGGGCGGCCCAGGGGCGGGGGGCCGGGACCTGGGGACCCCCCGCCCAGCGAGACACACAAGCTGGTGGTCGTGGGCGGCGGCGGCGTGGGCAAGAGCGCGCTGACCATCCAGTTCATCCAGGTAGCGGGCCCTCACCCGGGAGGGTGTCCCCGGGACCCCGACCTGAGCCCCGTGGCGGGGGAGGTCCGTGAGAGCCCCATTTCCCTTGTCCCATAACTGCGACTTTCCTAGGAAGTCCTTTAATCTTCAAAGATCCCCTGGTTTTTCGGCTCTAAACTCCGGGAGGGCCTCCACCCCCTGAACGCGGGACCTTCCTCCGAATACATCCTGAAACCCGCGGTCTCTCCGCGTCCGCTGCTGGCCCGAGCAGAAGCCGGAGCGGCTTCTGGGAGCACCCTAAATACAGAACAGTCGTCCCACTCAGAGCCTGAGTGCTCCCAGGGGCCACCACTTCTTCCACTCTGAGCCTTATCTTCCCCAAATCCCAGTTCCCCTCTGGGCCACCCTGAGCCTCACCTGGCTGACAGCTGTGCCATCACCTTACCTCTCTATCCCCCAGTGGAAATTCTTGGCCCCTTCAGGCAGCCTCTCCTAGAATCTAGAAATTTTGCTTAGTCCTTGGCTGAGGATTTCCTCTTGCACTCAAGAAATTTCAAAAAGATCCTCTCCCTTGACCTTTAAGAAAATTCCAAGACCCCCAGATCTAGTGATCCCTCAATTCTCCAGACCCTGACTGCCTCCCCTCCCTTCCTACCCGAAAGGAAAACCAACCACTCCTCCATCCTGAGTTTCCCCCCCTCCCCTCCAGCTCCCTGAGCCCCTCTCAGAAACCCTGGGTAACCCCCGAATCATCTCCATGGAAGAACCCCCAGATTCTGCATACCTCCAGAAAGATCCACTCCTTGGGAGTTTTCCCTAGATGCATCTTAGGGGCTCTAAGAGTATTCTATGACAGCCTCCCGAGTGCCCCTGAGCCACCCCAGGGCTGGTCCCCATCTTCACCCCTTAGCTCCTCCAGATGTATTCTGAGGACACACCCCTGATTCTCTCGAAGCCCAAGCCTGCCCGACACCTGGTCCCTATACCGCCCCCCCAGGACAAGCCCTCAAGCACCCTCAAGCAGGATGCAGCCTTCAGACCCCCAGCCCAAAGTCAATCCCCCTCACTGCCTACCCACCCCTGTGCAAGAAGCCTCCAGCCTGTTCCCCAGGGAAACAGTTCCCATGTCAGAGAAACCCTAGGCATGTGTGTGCCCCTAGAGTTGCTGCCAGGGCCACAGACCCCTCAGGACATGCCAGCAAGGAGCCCTGCCTGTGCTGAAGGAGGCCCTAGCCCTGGGCCTCTGGCACCCAGAGCTGGCCCAAGGCCTGGCAGGAGGCTTCGGATTAGGCAGGAAGGGAGGGGCCGGGCCGAGGGTGGGGCAGCCTCTTGCAGTCGGATTGGAACTGGGAGCTTCCCCTGGGAGGAGAAGCCACTGAAGGCCGCCTAAAGGAGGAGGGGAAAGGGAGGAGGAAAGAGAGAGGGAGGAGGCTGCAGAGGAGGGAAAGATAGAGCCAGCCAGAAGCTCTGGACGACAGTGACTCCAAATAACTGAGCGCTTACTGTGCCCATCAAATGTTTAGTAAGGGGTTCCCCAGAATTTCACAAACACTGGGTCGGTGTGGTGCTATTCTTATTCTTCTTTTCTTTTTCTTTCTTTTTTTGGTACTGGGCATTGAACTCAGGGCCTTGCTCTTGCCAGGCAGGCAGGCATGGTGCTACTGAGCTACATCCCTGGGCCTATTATTATTTTCTCTTTTCTTTTTTTTTTTTTTGTACTGGGGATTGAACTCAGGACCTTGTGCTTGTGAGGAAGGCGGGCACCACTGAGCTAAATCTCTGGCCCACCTATTATTATTATTATTATTATTTCATTTTATTTTTTATTTTTTAGTACTGAACTTAGGACCTTGCACTTGCAAGGCAGCCTCGGTGCTGCTGAGCTAAATCCCCAGCCCTCTGTTATTATTTTCTAAATGAAAAAACTGAGGCTCAGACAGGGGAAATGATTTCGTGCAATGTCACACATCCAGGATGTTATCATGATAAAGGGAGATGTACTTTATCTGGAGAGGGAGGACCAGGAGAGCCTTGGAGAGAGAAAAACACTGGGGGAGGAGGACAGGTATCCAAAGAGAAGGGGACAGAGACCTGGAGAGGGGGAAATAAAGACTGAGAAAGAAAGAGTACAGGGAACCAAAGAATGGATCAGAGATTTCAAGAAAGACAGCTAGGAGCCAGGGATTTAGCTCAGTGGTTCCACCGCCTGCCTCATAAGCACAAGGTCCCAAGTTCCATCCCCGGTACCAAAAAAAACAAAGATGGCTAGGCATGGTGGTGCATGCCAATAATCTCAGCACGTGGGAGGCTGAGGCAGGAGGATCACCGAGAGTTCAAGGCCAGCCTGAACTACATAACAAGACCTTGTCTCAAGAAGAAAAAAAAGAGGGCTGGGGATTTAGCTCAGTGGCATCGTGCCTGCCTCGAAAGCTCAAGGTCCTGAGTTTGAACCCCCGGTACAAAAACTAAGAGGGAGATGGGTGGAGGTCTAGAGACAGGGTAGGGGTGGGCATGAGGCAGCAGACAGCAGGGCTTCATCCTCCAGTAACAGTGGGCTCCCCCCCAGTCCTACTTCGTGTCTGACTACGACCCCACCATTGAGGACTCCTACACGAAGATCTGTACTGTGGATGGCATCCCAGCCCGGCTGGACAGTGAGTGTTGGGGACAGGCCAGTGGGGGTCCCTGGAGGGAGCCTGGCCCCCACTGCACCCCTCTCTCTCTCTCCTCAGTCCTGGACACCGCGGGCCAGGAGGAGTTCGGGGCCATGCGGGAGCAGTACATGCGTGCGGGCCACGGCTTCCTGCTGGTGTTCGCTATTAACGACCGGCAGAGGTGAGGGGTGCGGCGGGTAGGGGTGCCCAGCCCAGCAGCTGGCTGGACCTCAAGCCTGTGGCCTCTCTCCCAGCTTCAACGAGGTGGGCAAGCTCTTCACGCAGATCCTCCGAGTCAAGGACCGCGACGACTTCCCAGTCGTGCTTGTTGGGAACAAGGCAGATCTGGAGACACAGCGGCAGGTTTGGGGCACCCCCTACCTGGGGACATCTCTGCCCCCATCAGATGCACCTCCCACCACTGCGTCCCTGCACCCAGTCCCAGCAGGGATTTGTACCCTCTCTTCTCTACTTGTCCTCCTTACACACAGGAAAGACATGGTTTCCACCCAGACCTCATCTTTCAGGGGAATCCTCCTTTCCAGTCTGCAGGTTGCACTTGTCCCTGCCAAGACCAACCCCTCACTTCTAGCCTGCAAACTCCTCATCATCTAATACGTCTACAAGGCCTGGCTAGCTGAGTGCAGTGGCGCATGTGCTGGTGATCCCAGCACTCTGGGAGGCCGAAGTGGGAGGGTGAAAATTCAAGCTCAGCTGGGGCAAATCAGTGACTTAGGGAGACCCTCTCTCAAAAACTTTTTATTATTATTTTTACAAAGTGCTGAGGAGGCAGCTTAGCGTGAAAACTCTGGGTTTAATCCCCATCACAAAAAATAAAACAAAGCCGGGAATTTAGCTCAGTGGCACTGCACCTGCCTTGAAAGTGCAGGATTCCGAGTTTGATCCCCAGTAGCAAACAAACAAGGGCTGGATGTAGCTCAGTGGTGCTATGCCTACCTGGCAAGCTCAAGGTCCTGAGTTTGATAAAACATCCCTGATTTTTTTTTTTTTGAGGGGGTGGTTGGAGACAGAATCTTGCTGTGTAGCTCAGGCTGTCCTCAAACTCAAGGCAATCCTCCTGCCTCAGCCTCCGGAGTGCTGGGACTCCCTGATGCCTTATTTATATGATGTCAGCACTCTCAGCATCCCGGGGGACCTTTTGGGAACTTTCCTCTGAAGCCCCCCTGGCTGGGGTCACACTGAGTGCAAGAACCCAACTCTTCCCCTCCTTGGTCCTGGCCCAGGTGCCCCGATCTGAAGCCTCCAGTTTTGGCGCCTCGCACCACGTGGCCTACTTCGAGGCCTCGGCCAAACTGCGCCTCAACGTGGACGAGGCCTTCGAGCAGCTGGTGCGGGCTGTCCGGTGAGTCCTCTTCCCCTGTCCCATCCCTGTCCCTGCACCTCCAGCCCAGGGTCACCGGCCTCTTCCCACAGGAAGTACCAGGAGCAGGAGCTCCCGCCCAGCCCGCCCAGCGCCCCGAGGAAGAAGGACGGAGGCTGCCCATGTGTCCTGCTGTAGCTGGGCAGGAATGAGACCAGCACAAGCTGGAGGGATCAGCTGCCTCACACCCTGCCGTGTGGCCTGAGGCCCCAGCTGAGCCTGTTTCTTCCTCTGGGTCTTCCCAGATACACTACGCCCTCACTCTGACTTGCGGGCCCCCTCCGGGCCATCGCCACTGTGTGCCTTCTGCCAACACCTCCTTTCCCCACCCAATCCCCTGGTGGGGGGAGGGGCTCCCAGGTCACTGCTGTACAGAACTCCCCTCCTCAGAAAAATAAACGCCACTGCCAACTTCAGCAAGTGTTCTTTTGTTCTGTTTTTGAGACAGGGTCTCAGTATGTAGCTTCAGTGGTCCTTGCACTCATTATGTAGCCCATGCTGGACTGAAACTTAAGGCAATCCTCCTGCCTCAGCCTCCCAAGTGCTAGAATTACAGGTGGTACACCACCATGCCAGGCTCAGGTGGTTTTTAAAAGGGAAACACTGGGTGAATTCAAGGCACACACACTGTAAAGCCTCACTCCCTCTAGAACTGTAGTAGCATCTAGAACCCATCCATTTCCTCAGAAGGGGCAGGGAAATAAACTCAAGCATCCATCTGGACCCCTAATTCCCTTCAAAAGAGCAAGTCTATCCTTTGCTGTTTGGGTGGACATTTTGTTGGGGGTGAAGTCTGACGCCCGCAAATCCATAGCATCCTAGGGTTGCACACAGGCCCACTGCAATATTGGAAGTGCTGTTCTAGAAGGTTCTAGGACCTTGGAGACAAACAGGTGATGCAAAACCTGCCTGCTCCCTCCCACCTCCGATGTTCACTGAGACCTTTTTGTGGAGAGTAGGGTGGGTAGAATGGTGTCCTAGCAGCGCCTGGCAAGTTCTCAGTTCCTGAGAATGCCAAAAAGGGCTGGCATCTGAATCTAAATCCTGAATTTATGGGGCATGTTGGCCCAGGGCTGTAATCCCAGCATTTTGGAGGCTGAGGCAGGAGGATCACTTCAGCCTCCTGAGTGCTAGGATTTCAGGCTTACACGTGTGGCTGGCTGTGGTCAGCCCCTTCGAACCAACACCTGCTCATCACATCAGGCCAGAACGCTCACCCAAGCTGTCCCCCCCGCCCCTAGGACTTCGGCCTCCAGAGCCCCTGAGGAGGCGACTGAAGGGTAGGAGAGGGCAGAGGAGCTGCAGGTGGGCAGGGCACAGTGCTCTGGGACATAGGATCAATGACCAGGACCGACTGTTCCGTCCTGCCCCAGCACCATGAATGCCCCTCTGTGCTCCAGATGAGAACACTGATTAGCCAAGATCCCTTTCCATTTTCATTATCACAGAATCCTTGGCCCCAGTTCAACCTTCCGCCCTGGGAATAAGGGCGGCTGTGGTGCATTGTGCTACACCTTCCTCCGCTCGCCCTGCAGGGTGGGTGAATGGGAACAGGGAAGGAAGCCTCCACCAGTTCCCAGATAAGGTCTGGCGCTTGTACCCAGGTGGCGGCCCTGCACTCACAACAGGACAAGGGGTCTTGGGCCTCCCCTCCTCCCAGGGCCCCTGCTGGACACGTGCCAGATGGTGGCTAGGTCTTTCCAGATCGTCCATGGGGTCAGGTTCTAGGTTTGTAGGTCAGGGACACCTGCTTCAGGCATGTCCTCAGAAGCCCATGAAACAACTGGCAGGGCATTTCCTGGCATTCCAAAGCTCATGAGACAACAGGTGTGGCCTGGGGGGCACCTCCCTACCCACATGCCGTGCCGGTGAGGACATCATGGGACACCACTCTGCCCAGGGGCTCTGGTGGGCCTGATGACTCTGAATCTCTCCCAGTTTCAATGACCTTGTCTTTAGCCACCTTTTGTTTGTTGTTTTTTGGAGACAGGGTCTCACTATGTAGTCCAGGATGCACTCCAACTCGAGGTGATCCTCCAGTTTGGGTCAAGCTCCCAAGCACTTGAATTATAGGTGAGCACCACCACACCCGGCTTGTACGGTTAGTGTTGCAGCCCAAGCTGAAATTTGGGGAGCTGGGGCCCAACGGCCAACAAAGTTTTCCCTACCCATCACCCACCTGGACTGAGGACACCACCCACCTTCCATGCTGGACTCTGGGCCAGACTGGCAGCACAGTGCAGAAACTAGATGGCCTCTCCCCACGAAGGACTGCAACTCCAAATGGGGCAGTTCGAAGACACATTCCCAAACTCTGGGATCCTCTAGGGATCACATGCACTGAATACCACGGTCCGTGCTGCATTCTGAAACTGGCATGCAAGGATCTGGACAACACTTAGGAGTCCGGTAAGTTTTTTCTTGCCAGGTGTGGTGGCTGCACCCGTAATCCCAGCATTCAGGAGGCTGAGGCAGAAGGATCACTAAGTTCAAGGCCAGCCTGGGCTACACAGTGACACCCTGTCTCTAAAGAAAACACATTGCTTTTTCTCTCCGTCTCAACAGGAAGGGAACCTGGAGCACTTGCGTCCTACCCTCAGACTAACTCTGTTTTTACCTTCTGATCACAGGGCTCTGGAGTGAATGCGGCCTATTCACCACCACACAGGCCGCATTCTGCAATACTGGCAGTTCATCTCCAAATGTCAGACTCTTTTTTTGGTGGTATGGGGAGAGAACCCAGGGCCTTTGCACTGAACAACATCCCCAGAGCTTTTTAAAAATTTATTATTTTAAAACAACTCCTTGCAACTTGTTGCCCAGGCTGGACTCAAACTTGCAATTCTCCTGTCTCAGCCTCCTGAGTAGCTGGGATTACAGGGGCGCAACACTGTACCCAACTTCAACGTGTTTTAACCCTGCCTCAAAACAAAAAAGAAACAAAGAAAGGTCTGAGGATGCAGCTTGGTATGAAGGCTCTGGGTTCAATTAGTTCCTAATACTGAAAAAAAAATCATACTTTTTCCTTCACAAAATGGAGGTAACTTCCTTCTCCATGAATGTGAATCAAATTTAATGACTGGTAGCAAAAAGTGTGGCAGAGCATGGGTTTATGGCAGCGAGATTTGGACCGAACCTCTCATGGCTTCCTCCCTGGCCTCAGTCGTGGTGTGAGGACGCCCAAGCCACTCCACAGTGAGCCGCATGGCAGGGCACTGGGCCTCCAGCCCAAGCCAGAAGTCTTATGTGGCACCTTGACTCTCAGCCTCAAGACAGACCCGAGGCCAGAACTGCTGAGCCCCGAACTCATCTTCAGAAAGTGCAAGCTAAGCCAGACTTGGGGGCACACACCTGGAATGCCAACACTCAGGAGGCTGAGGCAGGAAGATCACTCCAAGTTCAAGGCCAGCCTGGGCTACAAAGAGTTCGAGTTCAAGGCCAGCTTGAACTACATAGGGAGACCGTCTCAAGGGTGAAAAGAAAAAAAAGAAAGAAACTGTAAGAATCAGTGTTCGTCGTTTGCAGTTATTACGTTTCGAGATGCAGCGGTTGCTAGGCAGTGGACACCAGATCTCAGACCACCTCCCTCCAGGGCTCTAGAAAAGCCCAGTCCCAGGCCCTCCACTCGCAGCTCCCACCGCCGCTCAGCTCGCCGAAGGACAGAGGACTCTGGCCCGCAGGTAAAGTGTTGCCGTTGGGTTTCGTTTGGCTGGTTGTGTACACAGTGTATACAAGGTGAGTTGTAGAGACGCCCAAGAAAGAGCAGGAGACGAGGGGTATGGGGAGGTTGAGGGGGGCAGGACAGAGAGAGGGAGGCTGGAAAGGGGGACCGATTAAAAAATAGAACCACATCCAGACAACAACGGGAGGGGGCTGAGGGAGGGGGACAGACACAGACGAATCGCCGTAGAAAAGGAGTGGGACAGACAGAGGGAGGGGACCCTTCCCCCTCTACCTCCCCAGCCCCCCCAGCCCCAGGTATGTACAATAAATAAGATTAAAAATAATTAACAAGATGCGTTTTCCCCTCCCACCCGACGTCAAATGCCCTGGGGAAGGAATGGCCATTGGCAAAGATCTTGGCCTAGGGGTGGGCTTGGGGAGGGAGCGAGTCCCCCAAGCTCTCTGAAGCCACTCCAACCCCCCGCAACCATACATAGACTTTTCCTATACATATGTACAAGGGGGGGGCCTATGGCCGTGGAGGGGGGATGGGCAAGGGGCGAGGGAAACCGTTACTAAATAGACATTTATACATATATATAAATAATTTCTCTGTACACCGAACAGCAGAGGGGGACGGGGGAGAGAGGGCTGGGGGGGGGCCTCCAATTCTGAACCCTGCCCTGGGGGGCAGCATGGACACACCCTGACCGATGACACCCCCTTCCCACGCATCGATGGCGCCCAGGGCTGAGCTCCCGAGGACACAGTTCTGTCCCAATTCTCCATTCACGGAGGAGGTAGCCCGGGGGGCGGGGTCACCCACAGCGGCTGTGGGCCTGTGCTTGGGCCAGCAGGTCGCTGAACGAGTCGAAGAGCTGCTCCAGCCACGGCTGGTTCCGCATGCACTGCTGGACCACCTCCTCCTGGCCCAGGTCCTCGGCGCCGCCCTCGATGGCCAGGGTCTGGAGGGGTTAAATGGGGTGCCGGGGGCTCGAGATGGAGGGTGGCCAGGGACCGGCCTCCCAGGGCAGAAGGGATGGGAGCTGGAGCCCTGGGTCTGAGGGAGGAGGCTGGGCCTGAACCCTGGGTCTGAGGGAGGAGGGCAGATCTGGATTCGCAGGTCCTGAGCTCACTTGTGAAGGGGACACCCCAGGTGAGGGTGCCCTGTGGCTCACCTGGTCCCGGCAGCGCAGGAAGGTGTGGTATTTGTAGTGGTGGAGGGAATGGTAGAGTGTGTAGTATCCTGACTTCTCCAGCTCCACCTTGAACTCCTGGGCAGAGGCGTAGAGATGCTCAGGCCCTGGGCCTCCCAGGTCGCCCCATTCCCCCAGGGCACCCCACAGCGCCCACCTGGGCTCGCACCACACTCCTCTTGAGCTTGCTCAGGGTCTTGCGGTTGTAGGGCTCCCCGGCTGGCCGTAGCCGCACGGCGCCCTCTTCGGGGGAGCCCTCCCCACTCTGCTCCACTTGAAGCTGAGGGAACGTGTGCAGGGCGTCCTGCAGGAAGCCGGGGGTCACCGGGCTGCTCCCTGGACCCACACAGCCCCACCCATGGCCTGGCAGCAGGTGCCTCAGCTTCCCCCAGGCTGCAGATCAGGAGACACTCAGGGGTTTGGTTCTCCTCAGAGGTCACAGAATCTTGAGCCAGCCATGGTGGCACACGCCTGTAATCCCAGCAGTCAGGAGGCTGAGACAGGAGGATCACTATAAATTCGAGGCCGGCTTGGGTACATAGTGAGTCTATCCCAGGATTCTCAGAGGCAGCCTAGAATCAAATCCCAGAATTCTGAGCACTAGCTAAAACTCCATCCCTGAAGCCTCGGAAGGCTGAGGCAGGAAGATCACCAAGAGTTCAAGGTCAGCCTGCACTACACAGAGACCCTGTCTCAGAAAAACAAAAATAAATTTATTTCTGAAATCTCACTGCCAACCTAATACCCACTCCTCATTCCAGGAGTCAGTTTAAACTTATTCTAAAATTCTCAGTGCCAGTCAATTCCAGAATTCTAAAAGTAGACTAACACTCTATCCCATAATTCTCAGACCAATTCTAATATTTCATATAGGCAGACTGCAACATGCTATATATGACTTAGTGATTTTTTTTTTTGACAGTATCTCATTATGTAGCCCAACCTGGCTTGGATGTCATGGTGATCCTCCTGCTTCAGCCTCCTGAGGAGTAGGATTACAGGTGTGCAATCATCATGGCTTTTTTTTGGTACCAGGGATCGAACTTGGGACCTTGCACTTGCCAGGCAGGCTGTGGCACCACTGAGCTCAGTCTCCGCCCCCCACCCCCCCATCTTTTTTTGAAACCAGGTCTTACTATGTAGTTCAGGCTGGCCTTGAACTTACTATGTAGCCCAGGCTGGCCTCAAACTCTTGGCAACCCTCCTGCCTCATTTTCCCGAGTGCTGGGATACAGGTGTGCACCACCACGCCCAACCTAGTACTAGTGATTAAACCCCAGGCCTAAGCACAGAGCTACATACATCTCCAGCCTTTAACAAATTTTTTTTCTTGATACAGAGTCTTTTTTTTTTTTTCCTTTTCTTCCTCTTTTTTCCTGGTACTGGGGATCGAACTCAGGACCTTGTGCTTACAAGGTAGGCACACTGCCACTGAGGTAAATCCCTGGCCCATTGACACAGGGTCTTGCTAAGTGGCTAAGTTGTGCAGGCTGGGGTCAAACTTACAATTCTCCTGCCTCAGGCTTCCAGAGTGCTAGAATAAGAGGTGTGTACCCCCTGGCTTATATCTGAAATTCTGAATTTCAGTAGCTTCTCAGTCCTGGGATTCTAAGAGGAAACAAAGAAGGTACGAATGCCTATAATCCTAGCATTCTAGGAGGCTGAAGCAGGGGGGTTGCAAGTTTGAGTCCAGCCTGGGAAACTTAATGAAATCCTAAATTAAAATTCCTTTTTAATCCAAAAATTAAAAAGGGCTTGGCTCGGGGATTTAGCTCAGTGGTTCCGGCACCTGCCTCTCAAGCACAAGGTCCCGAGTTCAATCCCTGGTACCAAAAAAAAAAAAAAAGAAAGAAAATTAAAAAGGGCTGGGGATGTAGCTCAGTGACAAGGCCTTGGATTCAACTCTAATACTGCAAAATAAATAACAACAAAAAAGAATAGGCAACAACTGACTATTGAGTGTGCTGTGTTGCTTAGCTATGATATTTTGGGGTTCAGGTGCACTAAATGTATTTGAACTATGGTATTTTCAACTCAAGATGGGGTTAGAGACAGAACCCTACCTTTACTAAGTACCCTAAGTAAGACATAACTCTACCCTCCAGTGTACTATGACTTCCCACCCACAATCTCTAGCGCCAGCCTGACAATCTCTGATTCCCCAGACCGGATTAACATCCTCCAATTCTTTTTTTTTTTTTCCCGGTACCAGAGATCGAACTCGGGACCTTGCAGGAGCCGAAACCACTGAGCTAAATCCCCAGCCCCTCCAATTCTTAAAAAAAAGGGGGGGGGCCCAGGGATTTAGCTCAGTGGTTCTGGCACATGCCTTGTAAACTCAAGGTCCCGAGTTCGATCGCCAGTAAAAAAAAAAAAAGAAAAAAGAAAATCCTCCAATTCTTCAGAAGCCAACTCTCCAAGCCAGCTAACACTGTATCCCAGAATTTTCAAAACCAGCATTTACACAGAATTCTCAGCACCAGCCTAATTTCCACTCCAGAATTCACAGTCATCCTATCATCCAACCCAGAAGTCTACGTGAAACATCCTTACTTAGAATTCTCAGAACCATACTGACAATGCACACGCCATTATTTTTGGAGTCAGACAAATATCCCACCAGGCACCACTAAGGGATTTCATATTCTATCTCAGAATTTTGAGCTCCAACTTCACATCACACCAGAACGCTCAGACCTACACTAAAGTCCACCCCAGAACTTTCAGTCGTATTTACATCCTCCCAGAATTCTCAAAGCCAGATGAACATTCCATCCCAGAATTCTGAGCCACTTATCCTAACAAACTTTTTTTTAAATCCTGGGGATTGAACCCAGGGTATTTGTACTGAGCTACATCCTGAATCTTCTCTCTAGTTTTTTTTTGTCCTGGGGATCAAACTCGGGTCCTTGTGTTTGCACAGCAGGCGGCAAAACCACTGAGCTAAATCCCCAGCCCTTCCCTCTAGTTTTTACTTTGAGACAGGGTCTTGCTAAGTCACTAAATTGGCCAGGCTGGGTTCAAACTCTCACCCCTCCTGCTTCAGCCTCCAAGGCTGCTGGGATTACGAGTGAGCACCACAAAATAAAGCTTACCCTAAGTGCCAGAGGAACATCCCCACCAGGATCCTCAACCAGATCAACACTGTCCAGAATTCTCAGAGCTGTCCTTACACGCTACACCAGCATCCTAGGCCTCTCCAGAGGGAAATTACACAGATAAATGACTTCACCGGAAGCCTGGAAGTCAGACAGCTTACATCACGTAGATGGAGAAGGCATGGGAAAGGCTGCCCCAGCATGAGCTTTCGGTGTACAGCCTTATGTATCTTGTCTCCATTTATGTTCCACAACTGCTTTGTACCGAGCCTTGTCAATAGCCCTGCCAATCCCACACCTCTACAAGGCCTATGGGTCCCCTCCATCTGGCCATAGAGCTGGTGCAACTCTGGGACCCCTCAATCCGCAATTTTTCTCTCAGGAGAGTGATCCCCTCCTAACAATGTCCCTTGCAGGCCAGGTGTTCAGGGGACACCCACAGGTCACTTCCACGTCTGAGTCCCGGGCCTCAGACAACCCCTGCCCAGGCCTTCAATCACCTGTAGGGCAGGGCTCAACGACAGCCGCTTAAGGACTTTTTTCTTGTGCTCATTGAGGAGGCCATCGATCTTCCGCATGGGTGGGAGGTATAGCTCATCTGGAAGACAGGAAGTGTCAAGGCCATGGCTCCACAATGCAGGGGGCCAGGGGATAGGGAGCCCAAATCATTTGCCTCACACCAGGACTTCAGCCCCAGCCTCCTCCCTGAGACCCGGGGGTCTGGGCCCGGCCTCCTCCCTGAGACCCGGGGGTCCGGGCCTGGCCTCCTCCCTCAGACCCAGGGGTCCGGGGCCAGAACCCTTTGTGCAGGCGCCAGCTCACCGTGCGTGTCCTCCAGGGCCTGGATCATGTCCGGGTCAAGGGCCGTGCTCACCAGCATCTCCACATAGCTCCGGTACATCTCCCGCATTGCCCGGGTCTTTAGAAGACGCCCTGGTACCGCCCGCTCTGGGGGGAAATGGGGCACAGGTTTGTGAGTCCTTCTTCCTCTTAGGCCACCTGCATGGCAAACACTACTCTCAGTAGCACAATCAAAGAGAGAAGCCCTGGTCAGACAGAGCCACAGCCTGTTCCTCGCAGGGAGGGCAGAGGAACACTTGGCTCAGCCCGGGCAGCAGGAAAGGCTCAGAAGAGGTCTCACCAGTGCTGAGCCTGGGTGCAGACAGAGAACATCCGAGCCAGTGAACTTCATTTGCCCGCTCAGCATGGTGTTAATTAAGCCTCCTGACAACCTTAACAAAGAGCCTCGGATTCCCATGGGCCCTCTGCTCCCTCAGAGAATTCCACCTATCTCCACTCCACTCATATTGTCAGACTCTGTACTATGAGAGTGGGGTCTTGGGCAAGTCCTGTCACCCCTCAAGCCTCAATTTGCTGGTCTTTCAAATGAGGAAGAACCAGGAGTGGTGGTGTGTGCCTGTCATCCCAGCACTTGGGAGGCAGAGGCAGGAGGATCACAGTGAGTTCAAGGCCAGCCTGTACTACATACCAATACCTTGTCTCAGAAAACCAAAAATAAATAACATGAGGCTAATTCTATAGTGCTTACTTCAGAGGGGTTGCGTAATGCTGAAGTCAGTCAATGCCTGAGATGGTACCTGGCACATGGGAGGCATTCCATAAAAGTCTGCCGTTATTTTACTCTACGTATGTATATATGGGTATAATCTGTTGTCACTGTCACCACTAACCAGATGTCACTTCAGCGCTGGAGACACAGCATGTACCAGGCAGACGTGGGGCTCCCATCTGGCTCTGCTCCAGACAACCGCTCTTTGGAGGCAGGCAGCAGAACCAGAGCTAAACCCCCGGCCCTCAAGCACTCTTTGGGAGCTTTATCTGTGTGGCCCATGTTACAGGAGCAGTCGCTATGGCACCAAGAGATCACGCCCCGTCCTCTGGTCCCCCAGCAAATCACATAAAGCACCTCTCTCTGGGCCCAGGACTGAGGCTGGCCCACTGGATCTCTGCCGTCGGGAGCTGCCTGACAGCACCAAAGAGCACAGTGTCCTTGGACAGAACCTGGGCACTGCCACTGTGCCTGTTTCCTCATTTGTACGTGGGGCTAATACTAGTACGGCTTCTTAGGACTACTGTGAAAACAGAGCAATTTAACCCGAATCAAGCAGTACCCACAAAATAAGGCTGTTTTTGTTTGGTTTTTTGTACTCAGTTAGAGCCTTTCACCAAGCTACATCGTCAGCACTTTATTTTGTTGCTCAGCCTGGGCTCAAACTTGAGATCCTCCTGTCTCAGCCTCCCAGAGTGCTGGGATTTAGCTTTTGTTCTTACTTGTACTTCATTTTTCTTTCTGTCCTGCTGCATACACGGAGCCCTCCAGTGACAGGGCTTCTGAAGACCCGAATCCCATGCCTCCACTGCAGTCCCCCGATGTCCCTGTCACTGGGGCCTCACCGTCCTCGCTGGGAGCTCCAGGTGAGGAATCCGAGTCCGAGGAGCTGCCTGCCGGACCCCCACCTGACGAGGCATTGCCCACTGCCTCCTTCAGCCACTTCTTCCTCTTCTTAGGGGGCGGCTCAGCCTTCACCTTGGGGGGCCGGGCCTTGGGGGGCCGGGCAGTAGGGGGCTGGGCCGTGGCAAGGCTGCGCTCAGGGCGGGTCTGCCGCCCACCTGCGCCCCGCTCGCCCCGTGACGGCCGCTCTCCTCGTGTCACCCGCTCCTTGTCCTTGTCCTTCTCTGCAGGCCGCGGTGCCGATGGCTTCTCAGGGGCCGGAGCCTCAGGGACAGCTGTCTGGGGTGTCTGCTCTGGGGGCTTTTCCGATGGTGCCTTCTCCGGCAGCTCAGGCTTGGGAGGTGGTGCTGGGGCCTTGGGAGGAGGCGCGGATGCAGGGCCCTTGGTCTGCCCCGAGCGCCTGCAGGAGCAAGGAGAGGACGGCAGTCAGCGCCCTACTAGATCCACATCCTGCTGGACCCCGCTTGGCTCGGGCCGGGCAAGCGGAAGCCCCGCCCCTGCCTCCTCTGGCGCCTTTCCCCGGCCCTTCCCAGCCCCATGCGTATGGGACGTGCCTGCCGCAAGCTCCTGTGTCCCCCCACCACGAAGGTACCTCACAGGCACTGGGGGCCGGTGCCAGGGTTTCCGCGCACAGACCCTCACGTAATCCTTCTTATTGACGTTCTCCAGGAACTTGACATACAGTCGCTGGTACCGATTTTTTGCATCCCCAAAATACCCCAAATACTACGGAGAGAAGGAGGCACATGAGAAAGTCTGTGACCCTCCCCATGCCACCCTGCCCTGGACCCCACGGCAGCCGCCTGGAGCCTGCCAGAGCCTCAAGACCCATTCCTGATACATCTTTTATTTTTCTTCTTTCTTTTTTGCTTTTTGAGTCAGCATCCTACTATGTAGCTCAGGCTGGCCCTGAACTCACTATGTAGCTCAGGCTGGCCTCAGATTCATGACAGTCCTCATGCCTCAGCCTCCAAAGGGCTGAGATGACAGGCGTGCACCACCACACCCAGCTCCCCAGTATATTTTAGGGCAAGGATGAGTCAGAACCATGCAAGAGGGACCCAGTCCCAGACCCTCCCTGTGGCCTACAAGTCCACATGCCCCTGCACAGGCTTACATTACTGGTGGCACAAAACTGTCGCTGGCCGTCCTTGATCTCAGGAGTGAACTTCTGCAGAAGGGCCTTCTGCACGCGCCAGATGGGCGGGGGCTCACGCCCTGTCTGCAGCGCCAGCTGAGGAAGAGGCCACAGGGCCCACAATGTCAGCCTCTGCTCCTGCCCTCGCATCCTGTTTCCTATCTCACCAACCCTACCTCACTATCCCCTTTGAGAAGGGGCAGAACCACCAATAAGCACCACCCACTCATGACAAGTATCTTCTGGCCCCATGACACCCTCAGCCCCAGGATGTGCCTGGGCCTGGCCCCTGTTCCCCACTGGGCTGCTCCTTTACGTGTTGCAGGGTTTTAGTTACACTTCGTTGTGACTTAAAATGAGGACAGATCCCGAGCACCCACCCACTACTCCTCAGATTCAGATCCTTGCTGGGCACAGGGTTAAGCTGTGAAAGAGACCCTGGCCAAGGTCTGTATCTGTGTGTCCCAGGCAAGTCCCTAAGCTGACACCTAAATGGCAAGGCTATGGCATTATGATTGGCATTAGGAGATGGGGCTTTTGGAAGACGACTAGGTCCACAGGGCCCAGAAGCTGTCTTGGCCCCTCTACAACGAGAGGGCACAACGAGAAGGTGCCAGACAGCAACCAGAAGCAGCGCTCACCAAACAAGGAATTTCCTGGCACCTTTTTATTATTTTTACAGCAGTGAGGGGTTGAACCCAGGGCCTTTACACTAGGCCACATCCACAGCCTATTTATTTATTTATTTATTTATTTATTTATTTATTTATTTATTTTTGGGTACCAGAAATCAAACTCAGGACCTTACGTTTGCCAGGCAGGTGCAGTGCCTCTGAGCTAAATCCCCAGCCCTGAGACATGGTTTTTTAAGTCTCTAAATTGAAATTGCCCAGGCTGGGCTTGAACCTGAGATCCTCCTCCCTCAGCCTCACAGAGTGTTGGAATTATAGGTGTGTGGCACCCCGCTGGCATCTTGATCTTGGACTTCTAGCTCCCACATTGTGAGAAATACTGTCTGTTGTTTACAAGCCACCCGGATTATATCAGCCTGAAGAGAGTAAGTCACTCACCAAATTGCTCCCTTCATCATACAAAGAACAAGAAAGACAAGCAAAGAATCAAATACTTCGAGTCTGAGGCTTAGGCTAAGAGCAGACCGTGACAGGTTCCTGAGGCCATTCCATTGCCTGCCCTCTGACATCAGGGAGGACAGGGAGTGGGAAAGATCCCCTTCTCCAGACACAGTGAGCCCACCACCCTGGCCTCGAGGTTTCTCTGTTGCACAGTGGCACCAGGAACCCACGGACGGGACTCAGATTCATCATCTGACCTTCCTCAGTGAAGGGAACAGCACAGGAGCCCAATGTGGCCGCCAAAAGTAAGAGCACAAGTAAGAAATGAGTTAATGCTAACTCCCTGGACACAGTGGAGCCCACAGTGGTGGTGGAAGTGGGGCCTTCAGATTCAATGATTCCAAGAACACTTCCTAGAAGAGGTGACACTCAAATGAGTCCAAGAGGAACATGTGTTCAGTAAGCTACTGACAAGCACAGGTAAGTAAAGAATAAGAACAAAGTAGGAAATGTCCCCACCCCCAAAATGTGACAACCTAGAGATGAATGAACAAAGGCAATCTGTGTTCAAAGAATCCAGTCAAGTCATGGCAGGATTCAGACAACTCCTATTGATTAGTCATGGCTGCCTTAGCTCTGCACTCAGCAGTGGTGGGCACTGGGATCTTCTAGTGATGTCTTCCACAGGCACCATCTACAAGGGACCCATACGCCAGCTAATGGTCATCTACTCTTGGTACTGGAAAGTCTGCTCTTACACCGTAAATTATGTTTGTGACTCTTAGATCAGCCAGGTGAGTGCAAAGAAGGGGTTAAGGTGGCCTGCTGAAAATGAGGTCCATAAATGAGGTCCTGGCCTACCCAGGTGACAGGGTACACCTGATATCCCACCACTCTGGAAGGCCGACTCCAGCCTGGGCAACTTAGTGATTTAGCAAGACACTGTTTCAAAATTAAAAAATTTTAAAAAGGAATGGAGGGCCGGGGATTTAGCTGGGCTGGGGATTTAGATTAGTGGTGCCGGGCCTGCCTCACAAGCCCAAGATTCTGAGTTCGATCCCCAGTACAAAAAAAAAGAGAAAGGCCGGGGATTTAGCTCAGTGGTTTCGCCGCCTGCTTCGCAAGTGCAAGGACCCAAGTTCGATCCCTGGTACCAAAAAAAAAGAAAAAAAACCCAAACAAACAAACAAAAAAGGGAATGGAGATATAGCTCAGAGCGAAGGCCCTGGTTTCAACCCCCAGTACATCAAACAAAATCAAACCAGGTCTTGGCTAAAGGCTCACAAAGGCGTGAGGCAGAATGAGACAGGGATGCAGACGTGCTAACCCTAGTCCTTCCTTTGAAGCCACCACATGGTCCTCAGTCCTCCTCCTAGTGACTTCAGAGGCCAGGCCAGAGGTCCAAAGGCGAGGAGTCCATTTCAGACCACATCCTGCCCACTGTGAAACATCCCAGGGCCCTGATTCCGACGCCTTAGCCTGGTCCAAAGAGCCTCCTACTCCTCCTGTACCCCACCCACAGCCATCCAGACCAAGTCCAGATTCTGAGCCCTGGGCATTGCACTTCTGGGCCGCCTGCAGGGATGCCTCTTTCCCCTCAAGGTGACCGTCATGCTGTCCCTTCCAATCCTCAAGAGCAGTCTTCTTCCCAGGGCCCACTCCCAGGCACCAGGCCCAAACCCTGGAGTCATCTTTTCATTTCCCAATCAGGGCCACCCAGTCCCCTGCCTCGCCCTTCCTGCCTCTCCTGTCAGTCATGTTGTGGCCACGTCCACTCCCATCGCCCCCACCCACAACCTCCACACAAGGGAAGGCAATTGGAGAAGATCTAAAGAGAATCAGCCAATGGACAGGGAGGTCATTAACCCCAGCATGGCCCCGAATGCTAAGCAGGACCAGATTCTCGGGGAAACTTGAATGATAACAAGCCAAAACAAGTAGCTTAAGCAGTGGGGCATAAACCAGCAGCTAGGAGCACACAGGCACAATAATAGCAAGAAAGCCAACCCAGGCATGGGGACAAGTGGCTGCAGCCCCAGCTACTGGGAAAGTTGGGGCAGGAGGGCTGCTTGAGCCCATGAGTTCAAGGCCACCTTGGGGAACACAGCAAGACCCCTGTCTCAAAAGGAAAAAAGAAAAAGGAAAGCTACCAGATCCTGTTAATCAGGAAGTCAGTCACAGGTCAGAGGCCATGGCAGTATAAGCTGGGACACTTCCCAGTTACCTCCCTGCTGATCAGGGCCCTAGCTACAGGGGCCCTAACATCTCCAACAGCACACATCTATGGGACCCAGCATACAAAGTACTTCCTTCCCAGCCTCAGTATGCACAGTGCAATCACACAAGGCCTTGCAACCCTGCATACCCCAAATATGCCGTGCTTCTCCTCACCCCAGGGGCTTTGCATAGGCGATTCCCACTTTTTGGATATCCCCCATATATGCCCTTTATAACCTGACATTGTAATGCATTCTCACAACAGCTCCAAGCACTGGGAATTAATATTATTCTCCCATTTTACAGATGGGGACACCGAAGTAGAGAACAGACCAGTCCCATAATGTCCAATTCTTTCTTTTTGGTCTCGAACTCACAGCAATCCTCCTGCCTCAGCCTCTTAAGTGCTGAGATTACAGGTATACACCACCATGCCCAGCAACATGTTGAAATAGTTTACATATTTGGGTAAAATAAAATATATTTCTGTAGCAAATTCCATCATTTATTTAGTTAATTATTATTTATTTATTTCTGTGGTTCCGGGGATTGAATCAAGAGGTGCCCTACCACTGAGCTACATCCCCCAATGTAACAGAGACTTGTTAAACTGCCCAGGCTGGGGTGGAACTTGTGATTCTTCTGTCTCAGCCTCCCAAATAGCTGGGATTTCAGCTGTGTACCACCACAGCCAGCAACTTTTTATTTCTTTATAAACAGAGGAATGCAAAAGTTTAAAATTACAATATAGGGGGCCAGGGATTTAGCTCAGTGGTGGCGCCGCCTGCCTCACAAGCACAAGGTCCTGAGTTCAATCCCTGGTACCGAAAAACAAAATTACAATATAGGCCAGGCATGGAGCCACACACCTGTAATCCCAGCACTTAGGAGGCTGAGGCAGGAGGACTGCTGTGAGTTTGAGGCCAGCCTGGGATACAGAGTGAGAATCTGTCTTTAAAAAAAAATTACAGGGCCGGGGATTTAGCTTAGTGGTTTTACCGCCTGCTGCGCAAGCGCAAGGACCCAAGTTCGATTCCCAGTACCAAAAAAAAAAATTACAATGTGCCAAGTATTCACTCACAAATACACATAGTCATCCTGGAGCAAAGAATAGCCTAAGATGCTGGGGACAGAACTCATGGCTACATAGGTGAGTACTCTACCACTGAGTTACTATCAGTAGTTTCTGCATTTTTTTTTTTGGTACCAGGGATCACACTTGGGACCTTGTGCTTTCGAGGCAGGCAGCGGCACCACTGAGCTAAATCCCTGGCCCCAATTTCTACATTTTTAAAGGATTGTAGAAAACAAAAAAAAGAAAGAAGGAAAGCAAGCAAGCAAGCAAACAAGCAAAGAACATGTGGCAGACAGTATATGTGCTCCACACAACATGAAAAATTATCTGTCCTTTTACAAAACATGTTTGCCATGCCCTACACTAAAGACTTACACAAGAGCACTTCAAGGGATAGCAAAGCCAATGGACAAACACAGGACCCTCTGTGTGAGTCCTCAGGACATAGTTTGAGGGCAGCACTTGGTGTCCCCAGCTCAGTAATTTGTGGCTTTTGGAAGAGGAGACACCAGCCCAGCTCCACAGTAGCAGAGACTGGATGGATCAGTTAGCACCAAAGCTGAGCTTTGTTTTTCTTTTTCTTTTTTTCTCTTTTTTTTTCAGAACGGAGGCTCTAACCCAGGCCCTTGACACTGAGCTACATCCCCAGGCCTATCTATTCTTTATTTTGAGACACCATCTCGCTGAGTTGTTTGAACCCAGGCTGGGTTCAAACTCATGATCCTCCTGCCTCAGCCTCCCAGAAGGCTGCAGGCGTGTGTCACCAGGCCCAGCCAAAGCTGGGCTCTCAACCATGCCACCAGCTTGCCCCGCCTCTAGGCCTGGAACCAAGTCCCTGACATCCTCACGAGTGGCTCAGGATCAGAGGTGCACCCCACCATCACGCATGTGCAAGTTGTATTTTAAGCATCTGAGTCCTCGCCTGGCCCCTTCCTCTGCTCCAGATCAGCTGGGAGGTGGTGTTAGATACCTTGGCTCTCATCCCAGCTCGGCACCTGCCAGTGGGTGGATTCCCTCTCTCTGTATGTGAATGTCCTCATCTGTAAAATGGGGACAGCTGCTGAGCTCCTGCCCAAAGCTCTGCTCATCTAGCCCAGTGCTGCTTGCAGCACTGCTGGCCACTGTCATCGCTGACAGCTGACCAGAGTGTACCTGGTGCACAGCTGGCTTTGGTGCAGGGTCCGTGAGCTTTTAGGCTGGGAGGGCTGAATGTGGATCTGAAGCTGCAAAAGCCCAGGAAGCCACTTTACCTCCCTGAGCCTCAGGATCTCACTATGTAGCCCAGGTTGGCCTTGAACTTGAAGAGGTCCCCTTGCCCCAGCCTTCCAAGTTCTAGGATTACAGGTGTGCACCACCACATCTGGTTATCCCATAGTCCTATGGGGAAAGATGATCTTGGAGATGGCTGGCACAGGGAGTTGCCCAACGCTGTGAATATGCTTAATGGTACTGAATTGTAGGCTTCCATGTGCTCACAACGGCTGATTTCCTGATACATGTGTTAGCACCTGACAGACAAGATGAGCCAGGCCTGGAGTCCGCACTCCAGGAAGCTGAACCGGGGATCACAAGCTTGAGCCCAGCCTGGGCAGGTTAGCAGAGCTGAGGACAGAGTTCATCACAAAGGGCCCTGGGTTCCAGTTCTGACTGTGCAGGGTCCCACATGAAGCAGTCATGCTTACTGCTGTTCTACATCTTCACTTGTCCTGGTGATGGCCACATCGGCCTCAGACATTTTTACTAAAATGAGGTAACTTATACAGGACTACACAGAGGCACGTATGTCCCTGGGGATGCAGGAGGTCAGGGCAGGGACATCTTCGATGCCAGCTGCTGGGCATGGCAGTGGGATCATAGAGCTCACGGTAGCAGTTTGCTTTATGATTTGTTCATCTCTTATGAATGGTCTTTTTGGGGGGTTCTGGGGACATAACCCAGGGCTCTGCCCATGCTAGACCACCACTCTATCACTGAATTACACCCTGAATCCTTCAAATGTCCCTTTTTTCTTTTTTTGCCATACTGGGGACTGAACCCAGGGCCTTTGCACTGAGCTAATCCCCTGCCCTTATTTATTTATGTATTTAATTTATTTTTGAGACAGGTTCTTGCTAAATTGCTAAGTTGCCCAGACTGGGCTCAAGCCTCAGCCTCCCAGAGTGCTGGGATTACAGGCATGGGCCACCATACCTGGCCTCAGATTTTTTTTTATGTGTTAAAACTGTGCTGGAGGACCGGGGGGCTGTAGCTTAGCAGGACCATGCCTGCCTGGCAAAAGCAAGGTCCGGAGTTTGACCCCCAGTACCAAAAAAGAGAAAAAAAAACTGTGCTAGAAAATTAATCCAGCCGAAAGGATAGGATGGGTACTGAGGGAAAGGGTAGAAACAAAGTAGCAAGTAGACAGCAAGTAGGGCTGACCATCAGGTGAAATGGTGGAAGCTAAATATGTAAGGGTTCTACAGCTGCATACATATTCTACTGTCCTATTGTTCCCCCATAAAAGAGATTAAAAATACTACAGAGAGGGGCTAGGGATTTAGCTCACTAGTTCCACCACCTGCCCTGCAAGAGCAAGGTCCCGAGTTCAATCCCTGCTACCAAAAAAAAAAAAAATAGTATAGAGAGGTGGGACATGGTGGCATACACCTGTAGTCCCAGCACTCAGAAGGCTCAGGCAGGAGGATCACCACGAGTTTAACACCAGCCTGTATTATGTAACAAGGATGTCTCAAAAAAATAATAATAATAATAGTAAGTTAAAATTTAAAAAAACAGTATAGGGAAACATACATTAGGTTCACCTCACAAAGCAAATTGAAAAAGAAAATGCAGCTGGGCATCGTGGTGCACACCTGTAATCCCAGCACTTGGGAGGCTGAGACAGGAGGATTGCCAAGAGTTCAAGGTCAGCCTGGGCTACATTGTGAGTTCAGAGCCAGCCTGAACTACACAGCAAGACCCTGTCTCAAAAAAAGAAGAAGAAGCAGCAGCAGCCAAGCTGTTGCCCTTATAATTCATCCCACAATCTCTCCATCTGTATTTCACAAGCACTAACACTTGAGATTTAATTCCACAGGACAAGGTACCCTGAGGGCCAAACACGATCCTGCCTGTGACACACAGTCCATGACAGTGACAACCGGGAGAACAGCCTTAGTACCCTGGTGAGACCAGGAGGGTGACAGTAGCCCGCTGAGTCCCCACTGTGCCTTGTGCTCTGTGCCCCGGGAACCAAGAACAGCAGAGGCGGGCACCTTCCTCCCCGGCAGGCCTGTGCCACTCTGCCACTGCATGGCCCAGCAGCCTGAGACAGTACGTGAATGACTGAGTTTGGCTGTGTGCCAATAAAAAACTTTATTCATAAAACCAGGTGGTGGGTTGGATTAGGCCCAGGGGCCAGTTTGCCATCCCTTGCTTTAGAGCAACAGGAAGTTCCAAACATGTCAGAGTCCGTAAGTATTTAAGGTATAGCCTGTTGGACAGTGAGCATTGCAAACGCTTAGCTGCTAAACTTCCAAGGTCTACATGTGTGTGCTGGATGCACTACATCAAAGCCTCCGTCCCGCCACCGTAGCATCCTTTACAAAGTGGCATCCAAGGCTGGCCTTGAACTCACTATGTAGCCCAGGCTGACCTCAAACTCACGGCAATCTACCTGCCTCAGCCTCCCAAGTGCTGGGATCACAGGCGTGTGCCACACACCTGGCTGTGTAGACACACTCCTTTGATCTTACTGATAAGTAAGATACCTGCATGTGTCTAGGAGGCCCCTGGGGCTTCCACTACCCCACACTGCCCCACATGGCCCCTCCTACCAAACTCACAGAAATGAAATCTGGAGGGAGCCGTGGCAAGTCTGTCTCAACCATTACTGCCCCTGCAGCCCCCGACAGAGGCCTGTCATCCAGCAGGCACTCAGCAAACACTCACATGACCAAACCCACCACTTACCTTGAGGGACGGGATGTCCTCCGCACGGATGACAAACTCGTCCCGCTCCCGGAAGATGCCCTCGCCGCCGCTCTCCCCGGCCTCCTCGTCGGTCTCCCCGCACACGGCCGCAGTCTCTTGCTTCTTGGCCAGGTGCAAGGGCCGGGCGTCCGGTGGCTCGGGGTCCTCGGGGGACGGGGCGGCAGGCTCCTCGGGAGGGGGTGCTGGCGGGGCAGTGGCAGGCGGGGGCGGAGAGGGCAGGGCCGGCGGAGGTGGAGGCGGTGGCGGAGGTGGAGGAGGCGGCGAGCTAGGCACAGGGGCAACCAGTGGGGGCGGATCGGGCAGGACTGGCGCTGGCACTGGCGCTGGCAGAGGGGGGGGCGGAGGTGGAGGCGTCGGCGTCGGGGCAGGAGGTGGGGAGGGTGGGGGTTTCTCCTCCAGCAGCGGGGGCTCTGGGAGACAGAGGGCCATCAGGTCTGGGTGTCACTCGCCATCCCCGACCACCTCCTGTTGCCCTCAAACACCTTTTCCTGCACCAATTGCCCTCTGACCCGTCAGCCCGGTAGCCCTCTGCCACACTCAAGCCCCTCCAGGGGAGTCCTTCCCAGCTCTGTTAGCTACATGGAACCCCTAAAACCATGGTGGCATCCCTCACCCCCACACACCTACCCTATTCCTTTTTGAGACGGTCTGACTATGTAGTTCACTTCAGGCTGGCCTGGAACTCAAAGCAATCCTCCCGCCTCAGCCTTCCAAAGTGGTGGATTACAAGTGTGCTCCACCACACCCAACATCTGGACACCCTCTTCAGTCCTGAATCATGTCGGAGCCCCAAAAAGCCCTGGTCTGGTGCTTAACCTCTGTTCCCCATGTCCTGTCCCCCCAAACTCCTAGGCCATTTGTCCCACGTCTCACTTCCTCCTGGGCACCCTGTCCCTCAGCAAGCCTTCCCGGTCCTTCCTGGCCTGCTCCCCATGCCCAGACTGTCCCTGCATGCCCGTCTACCAACTCCCTTCTAGAGGTATCTTTAAAAAAAAAATTGGGGGGCCAGGGATTTAGCTCAGTGGTTCCGCTGTCTGCCTCACAAGCGCAAAGACCTGAGTTCGATCCCCGGTACCAAAAAAAAAAAAAAAAAAAAAAATTTTAACGTACCTCTCTAATTACTGAAATCTCCCTGACCCCTTAAAACTGCTCCTTCCTCAAGGTGTCCCCAGCCCTCCCAGGGCTGTGCCACCATTGCCATTCCCTCCAGACAGTGCTGACCTTGGCTCTGTTCCCATCTCTCCCATCACCTCTGTTACAATAGCATTGCCCCTTGCTGCACCCCAAGACCCTCCAGAGCCCTCAAGCCCTCTTTACCGACAAATGTCCTCCTCCACTGCCTCCACTCCCATGAAAGCCTCTTGAATTCTGCCCAAAGCCTGCCTCAAGATAAAACCCCAACCCCAGCACTTAGGGAGGCTGAGGCAGGAGGAGCAAAGATTTGAGCCTAAGCTCGGCAATGTAGACCTTGTAGGAAACCTGGACCTCCCAAAATAAAAAATAAATAGGGAGGCCGGGGATTTAGCTCAGTGGTTCCGTCACCTGACCCACAAGCGCAAGGACCTGAGTGCAATCCCTGGTACCACAAAATAAATAAATAAAAATAAATAGGGCCCGGGGATTTAGCTCAGTGGTTCCGTCACCTGACCCACAAGCGCAAGGACCTGAGTGCAATCCCTGGTACCACAAAATAAATAAATAAAAATAAATAGGGCCCGGGGATTTAGCTCAGTGGCGCGACACCTGCCTCACAAACACAGGTCCTGAGTTCAATCCCCAGCACTGGAAAATAAATAAATACAAGTCTAGAGATGTAGCTTAGTGTGAGAGGCCTGGGTTCAATCCCTAGCACCGCCAAAAAGCCCTTCGGACTGTCTTGTGGCCAGCCTTTCCCTCTTACCTGCCACCAAATCTGTCACTCTACTTACATTTGGCTTTGCCCCTGAGCACTCAGGTCTGGTGTCTCGGAACCCTTCCCAGCCCCCACACCCGCCAGCATTTCAACGCCCTGGGTACTCTGTCACCTGTCCCCACCACCTGTAACCGACCCTGGCTCCAGCATTCACTAGGCCCTGCCTGGGCCCCTGCTGGTCCACAGAGCATCTCTGAGCCAATCAGAACAAGATGTTCCTTCTTTAAAATATGTTTGCCCTCAAAAAAAAAAAAAAGTTTGCCCTCAAACAGTAAATTACCTTTGCAACTGTGCCTGGCTACATCAGCTACCAGGTGACTGAAACCCCTTAGTGCACCACCTCCAAAACTGGACCCAGGTGACCCTAATAACCCGATCCCTTGCCTCACCCCAGACCATCTTCTTGGAGCTCACCGGGCGTGCCATTGCTGTTGGCACTGGGGAGCCCTGGGAGAGGGGGTGGCCCCGTGACTGTCGCTGCTGTGGCCAAAGGTGGCCCCTCCGGGGTGGAAGTATCCTTAGGCCCAGTGAGAGGTGGGTCATCCAGGGCAGAGATGGCAGACGAGATGCTCTCCTGCAGGTCCCGGTTCTTGGCCACAGAGTCTTCCTCATCCGAGGAGAAAGAGGGCAGAGTCTCAAGGTTCCGCTTCAGCTCCTCGTCCAGCCGCTTGCAGGGCGAAGGGCAGCCCAGCCCCAGCCCCTCACTCTCAGCGGCCTCCAGGGCACCCCCCAGCCCAAAGGCGCCCTCAGGTGGAGGATGCGGCACTGCAGGAGCAGCGGGTGCCTGGGGCTGCAAGCCTCGGGCTGGCACAGAGGATGGCACGCTCTTGGGCGGACTGAGCGGCGGCGTCAAGCCCGCCTGATAGAGTGGTGGGTGGCGCTTGCCTGACTTGAGGAAGTCCAGGAAGGAAGCCATGAAGCCTGACTTCATCTCCGGCTGCTTCTCTTCTACCTCCTTGATCTTGGCCTCAATCTTCTCCCGAGTCAGGCTGGAGTCTAGGCTGTTGTGGTCGGGGCCTGATATGGCATCACCTGACGAGGCTCCCAGACCCTCACCTGGCTTGGGCACAGACAGCTTGATCTAGATGTGGGGGAGAATGGGTGTCACAGCCCAGGGTCTAGCCCTTCTTCTTTTCCCAGAGCCAGGGTCCAGGCCCAGACTCCTCGCTCAGACCCAAGGGACCAAGCCCCCGCCCTACCGTATTTCCAGCAACCAGAATCTCACCCTCCAGACCTTTCTCAGAAGGCAGAAAGACAGACAACCCATGACCTGTCTGTGCTCACCAGCTAGTTCGGTCCCCAGAGCCTACGACTCAGCACAGGGTCCCTGACTGGTCATTCTCCAACATGCAGGACCTGGAGGCCAAGACCTATGCCTGCTAGACCTCAAGCTCCAATCCTCAGCTCCCATCTCCTGATTAATCCTGAAACCTCTCCCTCCTTGTCTTTCTAGGAATAAGATTTCTCCCCCGAAGCCAATACTGTGGCCCTCAGCCTCTCCTCTGCGGCAGCTCAGGATGCCCAGCCCCAACCCTTCAGGATGCAGCCCTCCTCACCTTCAGTGGCTTCAGGGGCTCCAACCGGGTGCCTCCTGCCTCCTCTGCCTTCCTGCCCCTGCCCCTGCCCCGGCCCCGAGGTTTCTTGGGCCCATCAGCAGTGGCAGTCAAGGCAGGCCCTGTGGCGGTGGGCACCTCCAGGGGGCGGATTCGGGGCCTGCCCCGTGGGCGGGGAGGACCCTCACGCTTGGCCTTGGTGGGCTTGCGGCCTCGGCGCCGGGGGCCATCGGGGCCTGGATTGGGCGGACAGAAGTCAATGTCACCCAGGGGCGAAAGGGCCGGCCGGGAGCGGCAGCTGGACACCAGGTCAGGCAGGCGCCGGGGGTTGAGGCGGATGTCAGCAGGGACGTCGGCCTTGTCTTCGTCGGCCTCGAACTCATACTCCTGGGCATACAGCTTCTTGGGAGTCTGGAAGGGTGGGTCTCGGCGCCGCAGCAGGTGAAAGGAGGACGTCTTGAGCAGCTTCTTTGGCTTGGTTGAGCAGAAGATGGGTGAGGTGAGGCCACCCTTGGGCTCCGAGGCGGATGGGGGAGGTGGTGGTGGAGGTGGTGGTGGAGGTGGAGCCGCCTGATGTGGCCCGCTCTGGATCAGGCCCAGCGGCTCAGCGTTGACGGTGGAGGGCAGCTCGGGCGGCTTGTTGGGATCCAGGCCCAGGCCTGGTGTCTCAGGCCCAGCTCCAGACGCCCGACCAGGGCAGTAGGGCCCATAGGGGTCGTAGGCAGGGGGCCCCGGAGGTGGCCCAACTGCCTTGGGATCCTCCTCGTCCTCGGGTGGCCCAGTCTTGCCATAATCATCTGCTGCCCCTCCACCAAACATCTCTTCCATGGTAGGGAAGAAGCTTCGCTCCTCGTCCTGGAGCAAGGAGTCAGGGAAGCAGATGGAGGTGAGTGGCACGAAGCGCGGAGCCTTGGTGCCCTGTGGGCTGGGGCTTCGGTAGGATCCGGCAGGATCTTTGCCCTCTGAGTTAGGGGGGCCCACACTATCACCAGGCCCTGGGGGCAGCGGCTCCAGGGCCCCAAGCAATTCCTGCATGGCACCAGGAGGCTCCAAGCCGTCCTCAGGTCGCAGGCGGGGGCTGGGTGCCGCAGGCTCCAGGCTGTGGCCGCGGAGGTGGGCCTCGAGCTGCAGAGGCATGGGGGGTGGGGGTGGGGGCGGAGGTGGCTGGGGTGCCCCATCACGGGGGGCTGGTTCAAGGAGGTGGACGCCAACTTTAGGGGTGCTCGGAGAGGGGCTGGGGGCATGGCTGAGGACCGAGGGGAGTAGCTGGGGTGGAGGCGGAGGCAGCACCATGGGGAGGTCAGGGCCTCCGGCCTCCAGGAGGAGGCCATGGGGGTTGGGCTGAGCCGTGGGTGGAGGGCGCGGTGGACTCTTTTGCAAGAAGGCCCCTAGCTCCTTGGCACCCGCCCCATAGTGGACAACAGAGGTGGCCAGTCCCTCGGGGGTCTCGCCACCCCGCTCTGGCCCTTTCTTCTTTTCCTTCAGCCTCCCCAGGCCCAGCTCCAGGGCTGTAGTGGCTCCCTCATCCAGGCTGGCACTGGTGCGGATGACGCTCTGCAGGTGGTACCTCTGGGGGTCTTCCTTGGCCAGCTCGTAGGGTGTGCCTGGTGGTCCCCCAGCCCCACCACTACCCCCAAGTCCCTTGGAAGCATCTGCTGACCCCTCCTCGCCCACCAAGCCCTCTGCCCCTGAAGTCCTCGGTGGGCTGGGTGCCTGCAGGAGGTGCTGAATGAGGAACTCCTCATCCTCAGTGCGCTCGGCCGGGGGGCCACCTGGGGCCAGCAGGTCGGAGCCATCCCCTTTGCCCTTATAGCTGCCCGCTCCGGCTGCATAGCTGCCACCTCCCGGGGTTGCCAGGAATGGGGCTGAAGCTAAGACTGAGCTCAGGTATTTGCCGGGGGCTCCTGGAGAGCCCACTCCAGGAGGGCGGCCAGTGGTGGGTGGCGACTGGAGTGGACGAATGATGTGAGAGGGGCTGGCCTCCCCACCACCTCCCAGGGAGCTGGGTCCCCAGCCACCTCCATGGCCTGAGAGTGCTGGGGAATGGCCGGTGCTATAGCTGAGGGAGGGACTGGCCGTAGGCAGACCCTGGGAGTGGGCAGCAGGCCCTGGGTATGGCTCGCCCTGCACCCCATACAGCTGCCCCTGCAGTTGGTCAGGGGAGTAGCTCTGACATGTGGCTAGGCCAGAAGGTGGCGGGCCACTGGGAGGCTGCGGGGGGCCCCCTGAGTAGCTGGGGCCTTTGCTCAAGTCCTGTGCCTGACCCCCTCCAAAGCCTTGCCCGTAGGCCTGGGGTCCCAGGAGCCCTTGGGGCTGACCAGGGGAATAGGCCTGGCCCCCAGCCCCACCAGCCCCAGAGGCCTTCCCTGTGGCATATGCTGCTGCTGGCCCCCCCAGGCTCTGGCATTTGGGTGTGGCCGTCGAGCGGGGTGGTGGGGGCCTGGTGGCACCCCCTGCCGTGGCTCCATAACCACCTTTGCCTGTCTTATAACCAGGCGATTGAATGATGGGGCGGTAGCCTCCGCCGCCACCCCCGGCCCCACCTCCCCCAGCCACCTCCGGGCCGGTGGCCCGGCCTGATGCTCCTGCTGTGGCTCCACTAGGACCAGCCTTGCTGGGTTCAGTAGCGCCTGGGGAGGGCTCGCCACCACCCAGGGGGCTGCAGGCCAAGTTGGCCCGGTGGCCCATGGAAGGGTAGCTGCCTCCACAGCTCAGGTAGTGCTGGAGGGCATGGGCTGGTGGCGGGGGCTGGGCACTGGCTGGCCGCTGGTAGTGCTTGATGACGGTATCCTGGCGGGGCAAGGCCCGCTCTGGGGGGGGCGGGCCCGGGGCAGCACCGGAGAAGTTGTAGAGCTGTGGGGAAGACTGCTCGGCGGCGGCGGCGGCGGCGGCGGCGGAAGAAGAAGCCAGCAGATTGAACTGAGCTGGGAGGTGGCGGGGAGGTGGGGGTGGATCTGGGGGGCCAGGGCGATAAGGTGGCGTCTGGGCTGGGCCGAGGCCAGCAGGGCCCAGGACACCGCCCCCAGCTAGGCGCTCGAAGCCCAATGAGGAGGGCACCGTGGGTGCCTGCGAGGGCTTCAAATGCAGCACTTCGTGAGGGGACAGGAGCCCATTAGCGGGAGGGCTGAATGGGGGGTCCTGGAGGCTGAGGGACGAGGGCACTGGGAAGGGGCGGCTGCCGAAGGAAGCCGGGTGCTGGTAGGCCGACAGGGCAGAGGAGGATGGGAAGGTGCTGGAACCTGGGAGGGCGCCCGAGATGAAGAGCTCCGTGGGGCCTGGAGTGTGCATGGCTGGGGATGATGGAGACCAGATCAGAGCCGCCCACGTGCCGGCCCCACCCTCACCCTCCAGGCAGCCGCACCAGGCTTACCTGTTTGCCAGGAAGGACTGCGGAACTGGGACAAGAGAGAGGAGGCTGAAGGGCCAGGTTGGGGGCCCCGGGACTCCAGGGCGGAGATGAGGTTCATGACGGAGGCGTCGGGCCCTGCTGAGCCCGCGTGGTGGAGGCCAGTGTCGAAGAGTCCAGAGAGGCCTGGCCAGGGAGAAGGGACAGAGTCAGCCCGGTGAGGGGCAGGGCAGACTGACAGAAAGGGAAGAGGCCAAACCAAGCCGAATCAGAGAAAGGGGCTACAGAGAACAGAAAGGGTCGATTCAGAGGAGAAAACAGGCAGAACTAGGGCAAGATTGGGCCAAGCGGAGGGAAGGGAGGTGACTAAGTATAGCAAGATGGAATGCAATCCACACATAAGGGAAGGGAGCCCAGATGGGAAATATCAGGCAAAAGACCAGAAAAGGCCAGGTATGGTGGAGTACCCTGCCACCTGAGGATTTGGGAGGCTGAGGCAAGAGGATCCTCAGTTCAAGGTCAGCCTGGACAACTTAGCAAGTTCAAGGCCAACCTGGACTGCACAGTGAGGTTCTTTCTCAAAAAGCAAAAACAATAAAATAAAAAAATCTTCACTAGGGCCTGGGGATTTAGCTCAGTGGTTTCGTCGCCTGCTGCGCAAGTGCAAGGACCCGAGTTCAATCCCCGGTACCAAAAAAAAAATCTTCACTAGATTCTGGGGTGGAGGAGTAGGCTAGAGGATTCAGGAACATAGCAAGAAAGGGAAAGGATGGGATGGGGCAAGTGGAGTCTCAGAAGGACAAGTCAAAAGGGTTTAGGCAAGGTGGTGGACCTAGCAAAAAAGGTGAGAGACAGGGAAGAGGCCAACCAGGTGTGTCAGGGGTCAAACTGGACAGCACAGCCTGATCATCACTGGTACATCTGAGACCCGGACGTCAGGATGGAAAGAAGGGAACCAATCAGAAAGCTGGAGGCTGGACCAAAGGGACCAAATAAGGTAGTGAGGAAATCTAAGAAAAAAAGGGGAGGGCCAAATTGGAGCCAATCAGGAAGAAAGGGAATCAGGAAGAAAGAATTCAGAGGGCAAAGGAGCCAAGAGAATGGGGCTAATTCAGAGAGAAACCATTAGGGTGGCTGGAGAGAGGCCGAAAAGCCTGGAAGAGAAGGTGGGATTTGGGGGCTGATGGGATGGGGCCAATTGGAGCAAAAGGGGCGGGGCCAGGAAAGCGGCTGACGAATCCGGCGTGATATTAAACTGCACCCATCAACCAATCAGAGGAGAGACAGTAAGAGGAGGGCCACGACACTGGGCACGGCCAATTAGGAGGGGTGGAACTTTCAGCAGCCAACCAGCTGCGGGGGAGGGAGGGCCGAGGCAAGCCGGGCGGGACGGGGGCCGTACCTGCCGGGTGGTGGTTGGTGGCATAGCTTTGCAGTGGGTGGGGGGCCGCGTAGGCCTGTCGGTGTAAGATGTCCGTCTCGGGGTGTGAGGTCCTGGAGCTGCCATAGACCAAGCTGGGAGCAAAGGGGAGATATCAGAATGTCCTCTCAAACTGCCCTCCTAGAAGGGAGATCAGGAAATCCCCGAGGAGTTGCGGGCGGGCGGGGGGGGGGGTTTCCAGCTGATTTAGGGGGTTATCCCAAGGAGCCTTGGGCTCTCTAGGGGAAAATGACAGAGAATGGGGTGCCCAACCGAACAGCCATAGAAATGGCCCCCACTGCGGAGCTCCAGTAAATAGAGCCCAGATAGTTTCACGTTTACAAACACAGGCATGCAACCAGAAACACAGCAGAGGGTGCAAATCAATTCGGAGGAAGTGTCCAGAGTTGAAAATGCGAAAGGCGTGGTCCTCTTAGCTTCCCCTCCACCTCCCTGCGAGGCGGTGACACAGACCCGTGGGGCCCACCCCTGAGGTGCACATGGGCACCTGTCGCAGGATCGGCACTGAACCTCAGGGGGCCGAGGAAACCTAGCCGGGGGCCGGAGGTTGATTGTTCCCAGAGGGGGAGGGCGGAGGGCCGGGGAAAATACCAGGTACAAGTGCGAACACGAATCCGGTCCATCCCCAGGGGCTGAGGCTCCCTTGCATGAGCCCAAGCAAAGCCAGGTACGTGTGTACACGGGCATTCAGCTGACCCGTGGGGAAGAAAAGGTTCAGAGCGAGGAGTCCCACAAGAAAAATCCCGACGCGCTGGGACGCGGGGTGGGGGGAGGGGCCGGGGGCAAGTGAGGCGGGAGGGCGACACGGGAAAGGGCCAGATGCACCGGAGAGCACGCAGCCAACCACACACACCCCCCGGAAACATCCGATTCTCCGCATGCAATGGCCCAGACCCGTGGCTGAGACTCAAACAGGGCACTCGCTCCCGGTCATCAAATAGGGTCCTCAGGCTTTGGGGGTGGGGGAGTTCAAGGGGGCGTGCCCCAGATGCCAGACCCCCCCATTACACGCAGAACCTCAGTTTAAGAAGGGGGCGGGGCCCCATGCCCACTCTGCGCGCGGAATTTCTTGGGGGGGGCTAAGTGGCCCATCCTCGCGCAATCCCGGAACAATAGGACCTGGGAGGGGGTGCTCGCCCCCCAGGTCTGCGTTCCAATTCTCCTTTCCTTACATCTTTGCAACAGCAGAGCTAGAGGCGCTGGGGGGGAGGGTTCAGCAAGCCGGGAATCCAAGGATGCGAGGAAGTCCAGGCCTTGCTTCGCCAGTCCCTCCCACCTTCCAAAGGCCTTCCCGTCCGAAATTGTTTTGCACCCATATTTTCCCGCTGCATTTCTCCCTTTGCAAGCCGGAGCTGGCTTTGGCGGACTTTGCAATTTGCAAACTGGGACGGCGGCGTTGTTACAAACCGAAGAAGGCCGCTCCCTTGCAAGCCGGAGGGGAGTTTGTGATGCACGCGTCGCCGGGCGGGCCCGGCTTGGCCCGGCCCGGCCCGGCCCGGCCCAGCCAGGCCCCCAACCCTTGGCCTCTTTCTCCAGGCTACCCTCAGCTCCTTACCTAGCTTTCGCTGACCTCTCGTAACTCCATCCCGCCCCGGCGCCGAGCGGGTCCCCGAAGCCGGCGCTGGGGTAGTTCCTGTCCATGAATTGGCCGCGGTGGAAATTGGGGGGAGGGGGAGGGAGGGGGAAAAGAGGGGGCGCGCGCGCGCTCTCCTCCGCCGCCGCTCCCTCCGCTGCTTTTTTCCCCCCTTTTCTCTCTCTTTTTTTTCTTTGCAACCGCCGAAGGCCCGGGAAGGTCCGGGGCGGGGGAGGGAGGGGGCAGGGGTGGAGGGGCGGGCAAGGGAGGGGGGGTGCAGCCTCTGAGCCAAGAAGGGGGGAAGGGGGGTTCCCCCTGGAGGAGGGAAAGGGGGGAGGAGGGACCCCGCTGTCTCCGCCTTTGCCCCGGCGCTTGCAAGAGAGAAGGGGGGCGCGCGCTCGGGAGGGGGCGTCCCGGGCGGCCCCGGGGTGGGTGCTGACGCTGGGTGCTCGCTCTCTCGCCGCCGCCGCCGCCGCCTCCTCCTCCTCTGCGCTCACGGTGCAGCCATCTTTGCACCAGGCGGCTGGGGAGGGGGGAGGGGAAGGGGGGCGGGCGGCGGGGTGTCTGGCTGCGCTCCGCTTCCTCCCACAATCCCGTGCAAATGCAAAAAAAAAAAAAAAGAGAGAGACTGAGCGGCTGAGCTCTAGCAGAGCCTGGGGGTGTAAGGCGCAGCGCTTGTACAGAAAACTAGCTCTACACGCAGATGCGCTCAGAACGCGGTTCAGTTCATTAGATTTTTATTTATTTTTGCATTGTTTCGGCCTTTTTGGAGGGGGGGGGTTCCTTTCCAAAGGGTCTTTATTTAGAGGAACAGCTCAACTCCGGTTCCCGGGTGCAACATGAGCCTGTCTCCTCTAGCACACTTCCAAATAAGCCCCCCACCCTTTCCCTGGGTTATGAAGCGCCTCAGTGCGCGCACGGAGGCTAAAGATTCGCGTGTGCACGGGCCGGGCTTTCCGCGTGTACGTGCCCCGTGGCACCCGAGGGCGATGATGGAGTCACATCTGACCACACGCAAGGCTGCACACCCGGCCTGCGTGCATGCCTATCCCAAGGACCGCACTGGCCGGTGCCCACCCCCCCACCGTGGGACACCGTAGGGGCGCGCCAGGGGCAGGCACTCGAGCTCTGCAACACGTTGGTGCGTGTATCTGTACGCGGCGGAAACACGTGTGCCAAGGCAGGCCTCGGGTGAGACGACCCCAGATCTCCTCCCACCCCCAGCTCAGCTCGGGACTTTTAAGAGGCCTGGGGGTTTCCGGAATCCGTTGTGATTCGGGAGCACGGTCGGGGAGCCCAGCTCCGCAGCAGTTCTTCACTGAGGCCTCCTGAGGCTACAAGAGGAGGGGCACAGTAGGGAGTCAAAGATCTGGTTGTTTCCCCACCACCACCAACAAGATTGGTGTCTCAGCCAATCCCGGACCTTCTGGGCACAAGCCCCACCCTTCTATGTACTTGTAATACTCCACACTCCCAAGGCTGGGCCACGCCCCTGTAGACAATTGCTCAGGGCCCCGCCCCTACACTTCAAGCCCGGCCCCAGGTTATCCGCCCCAAATTTCAAGTCCCGCCCTGAGCCCACGCCCCTCCCCCTTTGGGGCCCGCCCCTGGTAGCAGCTCCGCCCCTACCTTGAGTAAGGGGGTGGAGGTGCGTCGTGCACCCCAGAGGCCGCCAGCGCCTGTTCGTAGGTGGGGAGGCCTGGCGGTCCAGGTGGAGGCAGGGGAGTCGGTGGGCTCAGAGGGCTGATGAGGCTGCTCCTAGAGACAGAAAAAGTGGGCTCGGCAGGGGAAACCTTCATGGTAGAGACAGACCATACAGAGGATAGAGACTAAGAGATGCAGACCGAGAGTGGCAGGTCATAGAGATGGAAGGGAGACAAACCAGAGGAAAGGAGGATCACCTTCAGCCTAGCCCTACACACAGCAAAGCACCTGAAATGACAGGCAGAGTACGTGGCAGGTAGACACAGAACGGGACATAGGGCTGTGATGCCAGCACTAGAGGAGGCCAAGAGAGGTGCACTGCCTCTGCCTCGAGTTAGAGGCCAGCCTGGGGTACAGAATGAGTTCAAGGTCGCCTGGACTACATGTCAAGACCCTGTTTTAAAAGAAGGAAAAAAAAATAACAGCTGGGCGTGGTGGTGTGCACCTGCAATCCCAGCATTCTGGGAGGCTGAGGCAGGAGGATCGAAAGTTTGAGCCCAGCCTAGGCAACTTGGCAACTTAGTGAGACACTGTTTCCAAAAAGAGTTGGGAATCTCACTCAGTATGAAGGCCTTGGGTTCAATCACCAATACAAAAGGATGGAAGGAAGGAAGAAAAAAAAGAAAGACCCACAGACAAAGCCTTTCATTCACAGATCCATTAGATGACAGGCAGAGTAATGGAGAAGCATCCCTGCAGACGGCAGACAGACAGACAGAACTCAGAACTCAGCAGATCCATACAGACAGGAGTGCAAGAGAGAGACACTAGGTCACACTCATCCTTTAAAAAAACCAGACTCACTACTCTGACACTCAGACCTCCTTTGGGACCCTGCCAGTGAGACACACCTAGACCACTCACAGCACACACAAGCACATGCTGCGCCCCGTCACCATGGAAACTGACAGGCCACAGGCAGCCGTGGAGTGGACCACAGGCCGCACAGTAACAGCCTTGCCATAGACAACATCCTGAGCGATGCTCTCCCAGGAACCTGGAAGCCCGAAAACAGACAGGTAGCAAGTGTTGACAGAACTACTGCACACAGGACAGACAGATTCACTCCCTACATGCCTGTCTCTTCCAGCACTCCTCGTGCCCTCTAACCCCCAATCCTCAACCCTAGATCAAACCTTCCTCCCTCCCCGCTCTCCTTATCCCCAAAGCCCCCTTACTCTTGGGGACTCAGCTGCTGCCTTGGGTTCTGGTGCCGCCGCTGATAATGCAGATACCAGAAGGCTCCCAGGCCAACCAACACGATGAGCAGGATGCCAGATGTCAGCCCCACAGCCAGGGCTGCTCCGTCCACTTGTCTATGCCCTGTGGGGAATGGGAGCTGCTATGTCATGGGCTGCCAGACCCCTACATCCAAATCCCACACCTCACAAGGAGTGTGGACGGGGGGGGTGGGGTGGGGGTGGGGGGGGTGGCACTTCCTACTTCTGTGACCTCAGGCAATTCTAGCACATTAAAGGGACTGAGGTAACTCCCTCTAGAACTAGGAAGTAGGGAGCCTTAGACCCATGACAACACAAGCAGGCCCTCCCTGGACCTGAGATGGTTCTAGTCCCCAAGAGTCAGGGGCACAGCCTCTAAGTAATCTATCTATAAAGGTAGAGCACTTGACACACTGAAGGCAAGGTGGAGAGCTCAGGTGGCTGCTGGCTTCAAGAGGCCTCTAACCCAGGCATAGTGGCCCATGCCTGTAATCCAAGCATTGTGGGAAGCTGAGGCAGTTGGGTCACAAGTTCAAGTCCAGCCTGGGCAACTTATCAACTTAGTAAGACCCTGTCTCAAAATAAAAAAAGTTGGAGGGCCGGGGATTTAGCTCAGTGTTCCCACTGCCTGCCTTGAAAGCACAAGGTCCCAAGTTTGATCCCCAGTACCAAAAAAACAAATAATTAAATTTTTAAAAATAAAAAAAGTTGGGATGTAGGTCAGGGCAAAAGACCCTTGGTTCATTCTTTGGTACCACAAAAGCAAACAAAGAAGGTCCTATACTGAGCTTTGTCAGATGTAACCAGTAATAACAAGGCACCCAGTTAAATGATATCCAGATATATAATTATTTATTCATTTATTTATTGGTACTGGGAAGTGAATCCAGGGCCTTCATACTGGGCTACATCCTTAGTCATTTATTTATTTATTTATTTATTTATTTATTTATTTTTGAGAAAATAAAAATTAAATCACTTAGTTGTCCAGGCTAGGGTCAAAATTGTTATCCTGTCTCAGCCTCCCAGAGTGCTAGAATTACAGGCATGTGCCAAGCAAAAACAAATACATTTTCGTATATCACTTGAAGTATCTGGGATAGATCTGTACCTAAAAATTCTTCCACTGTGCACCTGAAATTTAAATTTGCCTGTGAGGGAGGAAGCACAGAGGGAGAGGGGGTTCTGGTACTTTTTCTGGCATCTCTACCTGCTCTGGAATGCAACTCCTTCTACTGATGAGGCAACTGAGGGGCAAGGCCTCAATTCTAATCTAGAATCACAATCTACCAGAAGGCTTCCGAAAAACATCACTTAGGGACCCACCCTCTGAAATAATTTCATGTCTAGAACTCAAGTGGGCCTGTTGATAAAATGCAGCCCCCTTTAGTGTTTCAAGGGCACACAGGGGACATCATGGTTTCCAGCACTTGCTACTAGGGATACATTTTTTCCCCTGGGTACTGGACACTGAACCCAGGGTCTTCCCACTGAGCGATGTTCCCCATTCTTTTTTTATTTTTTATTTATTTTGAGACAGGGTCTTGCTAAGTTGCTAAATTGCACAGGTTAGGCTCCAACTTGCCATCCTCATGCCTCAGTGGCCCAAAGTCCTAGGATTACAGGCATCTGCCACCATGCCTAGCTTGGGGACATTTCTTTTGGCACTGGATGGAAAGCTTCCCTCAAACAGTAAACCCTGGAATTTTTACCCATTTTAGGAAAAACCTGCAATGAGGAGGCAAGTTGTCCCGATTCAAGGACTGAAGAAGCCACTAGGCCTCACTAGGCCTGGAGTGAAGGAACTGCCTCCCCTTAGCAACCAGGCTCCAATGTGAGGACTCCAGCCCAGTCCTAGGGCCTGTTGCTAAGGTGCATCCACCCCTAGCAACCAGGCCATGAGGGGGTGGGGCATCTGGTGCCCAGAGGGGGGTCTTCCAGTGGGCAAGAAGCCTTGGCTACTCCAACTAGGTGCAGTTGCTAGGGAGAAGGCCTCCTTAGCAACCAGGCTGCTGCAGCTGGGATGGGATTGGGGGAAGGGGAAGACAGCCAGGTAGTGATTGGGGCTTCCTCAGGCTGGCCTGGCCAGACCCTGTTGCTAAGGAGCAGCCCCCCTTAGCAACAAGGCTGCAGTCAAGATGGAGCCTCAGAATTCAGAGGAGGGGCTGGGGGTTGGCAAAGCAGCAGGGTAGACAGGACAGGTGAGGATGGTTAGGCTTCTGGCCCTGGCCCCACACTGGGAAGCAGCAACCGCTCAGCAACCAATATGCTCTGAAGGGGCTGAGGTAAGGACTCGAGTTGGCTCATCCCTCGGATGGGTCCTGTGGCTCTAGCCCTCCCCTCCGTGGCACCAGTTCCCTTCCTGCAGGCTTGGGGACTCCTCTAAATGCAAATGCAGGGTGGTGGGTTTCTTAGATAGGGTTCTACTGTCCAGGGAGGGGACTCGTTAATGAGCATCATCAGGGAGCATGAATTAGGGGTCAGGTAAATCTTGTGTCTACTTTGGGATGGGGGACATTGCTTCAGCCTCCATGGGAACAGGCGATCATCACTGCACAGAAGATGAGGGTGTGAGCCCCACTTACCTCCTTTGCCATTGTAGGGGTAGGTCTCCCAAAAGCGCTTCTTGAAAGGCCGAAGGGGAAGAGAAGAGGAAAGGCAGCAGTTCAAATGGGAGATTCACAGCCCCCCAAAACCAGCCCACCCTGACCTCTGAGTCCCCAGGGAGGAAGCAGCTGAGGGCCAGGATCCCCTGCCCCAGCGCCTGGACAGGACAGAGGGTCCCAGGCTCCAGGGTCCCCCCAGGCCTCACCGTCAGGGTGTTGTCCTCAAAGCACTCCCTGGCCTCCTCCCAGGAACACTGCTCCTCGATGCACTCCCGCTCCAGGTTCCCCTGGGTGAACAGCTCCAGGTCCCAGTTATTGGCTCGTGGGACCCGCCTGAGGGCCCCCAGGAACCTATGGGCCACTGGATGGGCAAGGAAGACTTCTGGGCCTAAAGGCATGAGGGCAGAAAAAGAGGACAGAAGGGGATGGAGATCTATGGAGTCCTGTGAGAGGAAGGTCTGGGGTGAAAGGGACTAGAGGTCATGGAAAGGCGGTCAAGCTTCTGGCGGCCAGTCCCCCCCCCCCCAGACCAACCTACCTTGGTCTTGCTTTTCACTGGGTGAGGAATCCAGGCAGACAGCCAATCCCATATAGAGCAGCAGCAGGGAAGGGTGGCTCCTCATATTTTGTAGACACCTGAAACCAGGTGCAGTGTAGGTGACTGGTGCCTCAGACCGTGGGGAATAAGGCAAAGGGTCACTGCTTGGGCCCTGTTGTCATAAATGAAGATAAGAGCAGGTGCTGCCTCAATTTGTTTGCACTTTCCCAGCAGGTCTATTGTACCCATTTTATAGATGAAGAAACTGAAGCCAAAGGAGGTAAAATAACTGGCCTATCGGCACACAGTTTGCAAATCTGAGCCAGGATTTGGGAGAAGGCAGTGTCTTCAGGGAGGAGAGTGGGAGTGGGGATGGAGCTTTTCCTTTCTGTGCAACACCCAGTCCAGGGGTTGGTGTGGAGTAGGTGCTCAGACACAGCTCCCTTGATAGCTGGGATTCCTTCCACCGCCCTGGCAACTTCCATTTATGCCTCTCCCTGCCCATTGCTACATCCACTCACAGAGATCAAAGATCACAGGCCAAGCAAACTCCTATATATTTGGGTCTGAAACCATGAGGAGACAGCAGCCATGGTCTCCTGGGACTGGGACCCCCAAACCTATGGGTCATGGTGGGGGCCAGTACACCAGGGTCCCCAACCCAGGCTCTGTCTCCAGGAACACACACTTACCTGCCTAGATGTGTAAACACTGCTGCTCCTCTTTAATGGAGACCTCCTGGGCCAGCAGCAGACAGCTGGGAGAGGGTAAGGGAGAGGGGAGGGGAGGGGAGGGGAGGGACGATGGGTCCCCAACTCCCAGTGGTAACCCAGCCAGATCTCAGTTTCTGGTAGTGGGGCGGGGCTTGCATTACCTGCCCTGGGCGGGACTCAGGTAAGGGACAAATCTTTTAAAGGGACCTTAGGAGGAAGGTTCTAAGGACCAGAACTCCTTAGAGAAGCCCGGGTGTCCGCCACCGTAGGGGGCTTAGGGGACTGGATTTACACTTCCTCCTTCCTCTTGTCTCCACCTCCCAGGCCTGTCCACTCCCTGGGAACTTGCCTGGCCCGGCTAGGAAAATAAATGCCCGAGTCTCTAGATAGCTAGAAACTGACGGAAACGGTATGCCTTGGTTCCTGCGATAGCAGAAAAGTGCCTTAATAATTCCCTGCTTCCAAAGAGTGATTTGAACGGCTCTGGATTTCGATTTCTCTGTTGGTCTATCTATAAAGTGGGGAAAGAAGAGTTCTAAATTCTCAATAATCCCTTAAGATGCAGCATGAAAAATAGATAATATATTTGGAGCAGTAGGCATCCCAACATCTGGTGTAAGAGGTTAGTCCCTAAACTTGGGTTTGGAAGGCTCAAAGCCTGGGAATCGAGCGAGAAGTCTGCGCTGGGAAATGCCTAATACTATACGTACTACGCAATCCCTATATGCATTCCAGTTTCATTATCCGGAACCTTCTAGCTGCAACTCACGTTTCCGGAGGGAGGAAGAAAAGAAGAAAGGACTTACCAAGCCTGGCGAGGTACTTCGGCAACTAGGGGCAGCCTTATTTCCGGTCTGTACTACTAGGCGGAAGGAGGCGGAACGGAGGGAAAGAGCAACACTCCCTTCCGGTGTAGTGGCTCAGCAGCGACGAGAGAACGAGGAGTCGTTTGTGAGGTGAGTTCGTGACGGTGAAGGGTTGGTGTGGCTGAGGTTGCGTGCTGCGGGGTAAAGCTCTGGGATCTCAAAGGGAACTGGGGCTAGATTGCGGATTCCCGACTCCCTGTCAATTATTAATTGAGTTCTCCAGACGCGCGAAGTTGGAGGCTAAACTACACCTCCCAGCATCCCCTGGAAGTAGCCAATGCTTCGTCGGGCCGTTCTTTGAGGAGTGTAGTTCCGCGGTGGAGGACGATGGGTCTGAGGTCTAGACGGAAAAGGGACTGGGAAACCTCGAGGGCCTAGGAAACCTCGAGGGCCTAGGAATTGGTAGTTGAGAAAAGAGGACTCGTTTCTTGGCCTCAGTGAAATGAGGAGTGCGGGCGGGCAGTAATGGGTTCTGCAGTCACCCATTACTGTGGTTGTTTTTTGTGCACCCTTTGACAACCTCTTTGCTCTCTGGGTTGGGGTAGGGTTTACCAGGGTTTTTTGTGACACTTTGGAGTCGGGCAGACTCTGGCTTTCATCCTGATTGTGCTGCCCGTTCAGTGTGAAGTTGAGCCTTGAAGCGTCTTGGAAGCAGTTTTAATGTTTTATTATGAACATGTTTAAGGTCACATAAAAGTGAGCGTATACGCATCTCTTGCCCAGATTTGCCGCCCGTGATGACTTTGGCCATACTTGCTGAATATATTTTTCAACTTAAACTTATCAAAGCATATCTTAGCCATCGTGACAATTCTAGTTTAGGACACCTCTAGTTTAGGATACGTGGGTAAAAAACAAGGACGTTTTCTTTTCTTTTCTTTTTTCTTTTTTCTTTTTTTTGTACCAGGGATTGAACTTGGGACCTTGTGCTTTCAGAGGCAAGTGCTGGAACCACTGAGCTAAATCCCCCACCCTCAAGGACGTTTTCTTAATTTTATCCCACACATCCTACAGTATCACGGTAACCACTGTCACACATTACAAAAGCAACTGTCCTGCTAGAATGTGATCCACTACTCAGGCCATATGCAAGTCCAGTGTCTCAGAAATGTCATGTGTTTGTGTTGCTGGTGATCAAACCCAGGGTTCATACTAAGCGTGCGCTGTACCACTGAGCTATATCTAAGTATGGTTTTTTTTGTTTTTTGGGGTTTTTTGGTACCGGGGGATCGAACTCAGGTCCTTGTGCTTGCGCAGCAGGCAGCAAAACCACTGAGCTAAATCCCCAGCCCAATATCCAAGTACCTTTAAAAAAAACACAACTGTTCGTTTTGTTTGAAACAGGATCCTGTCAGATGATAGCTGTTATGCCTTTTAAATCTTTCTTAGAACAGCCCCCCTCTACTCCACCCTGATTTTTTTCTTGGTGTAATGGATTCTTTCACTGAAGAAACTTGGTCCTGTTGTTCTATTGATCATCCTACCATCTGACGTCTTTTTTATTCCTTTTGTGTGTGTTTTGTTTGCTTCTTTGTTTTTTGATACAGGGTCTTACTATATAATTCAGGCTGGTCTTGAACTCACAGCGATATTCCTGCTTCAGCAGCCTGAGTGCTGTGATTACAGATGTGCACCATGACACCTGGCTAGGGCTCTTTCAGTCCTGCCTCAGTCTCTCAGAGTGCTAGGTAAGGCATGTGCCTGGCTTGACTACCTTTTTTTTTTTTTCAAATCAGTCTCATTAGGATGTAATCCCCCCCAACACCTTTTTTTTTTAAAAAAAACCAACAAAACAGTGTCTCGATATGCAGTTCAGGCTGGCCTTGAACTCACAGAGAAGGCCTGGCTGGTCTCAAACTCGTGGTGATTCTCCTGCTGGTCAGCCTCCTAACTGCTGAGCTTACAGGTGTGCACCACCATGCCCAGCAGGATGCAATTCCTATAACGTGCAATTCACTCACTTAAAATGTATAATTCAGTAGTTTCTAGTGTGTTCAGTTATGCAACCATCACAACTGTTGGTTTATCTATTTATTTGTCTGCAGTACTGGGGATTAAACCAAGGGACTTCACACTGAACTACACCCCCATCTCGTATTTATTTATTTATTTATTGGTACCAGGGATCGAGGTCACAACCTTGCATTTGCAAGGCAGGCAGAATGCCACCAAGCTAAATCCCCAGCCCAGCCTTTTTTTTTCTTTTTTGAGACAGAGTCTTGCTATGTAATTCAGGCTGGCCTCAAACTCAGGGTGATCCTCCTGCCTCAGCCTCCTGGGTGCTGGGATTACAGGTGTGCGTCACCATGCCTGGCAGTTGGCATCACTCTTTAAAACATTCTTTCTCTTTTTTTTTTTTGGTACCAGGGATCGAACTCGAGTCCTTGAGCTTGCAAGGCAGGCAGCAGAACCACTGAGCTAAATCCCCAGCCCACACTCTTTAAAACAAACTAGTACAATGTATGAATAGTCACTTCTCATTCTCTCCCAATGCTTCCCAACCCCTGCCTTCCACAGCCACTAATCTACCTTCTCTCTCTATGGATTTGCTAATTGCACAATTTCTCTTACATGCAGTCACAGAGTAAGTGGTTTTGTGCACAAGCTGAGCAAGTGGCAAGTGCTGTACCACTGAGCTCTCTCCCCCAAACAAGATGTGCTCTTTTGTGACTGGCTTCTTTCATTTAACATACGGTTTTCGAGGTCCATCCATGTAGCATGTACCAGTACATTTTCTCTCTTTGTGGCTGGATAATGTATCATTGTATAAGATAGACCACATTTTGTTTCTCCATCAGTTGATAGACTTCTTGGATTGTTTCCACTTTTCACTATTACAAATAATACCATTATCAAGCTGGGTGTGGTAGTGCATGCCTATAATCCCAGCACACAGCAGGCCGAGGCAGGAGGATCACCAAGGGTTTGAGGCCAGCCTGGGCTACAGAGAGCATTCAAGACCAGCCTCGGGCCGGGGATTTAAAAAAAAAAAAAAAAAAAAAAAGACCAGCCTGGCCAGGGATTTAGCTCAGTGGTTATGCCACCTGCCTCGCAAGCGCAAGGACCCGAGTTCGATCCCTGGTACCAAAACAAACAAACAAACAAAAAAAGCAAAAACACCAGGCAGGGATTTAACTCAGTGGTTCCGAAGCCTGCCTTGAAAGCGCAAGGTCCCGAGTTTGATCCCCAGTACCAAAAAAAAAAAAAGACCAGCCTGAACTACATAGCAAGACCTTGTTTGATAAAACAAAAAACCAAAAACCGGGCTGGGCATGTAGCTTAGTGGCACAGCGCCTGCCTGGCAAGCACGAGGCCTTGAGTTTGATTCCTGGTATAAAACAAAACAACCAACCAAAAAGCAAATAGTATTGTTAATCAACATTTGTATATAATTTGTTTTGTCTTTGTTTTTTGGTTACTAGGGATTAAACCCAGTGGTACTCTGCCACTGAGCTACATACCAGCCCCCCTTTTTTACATTTTATTTTTAGGCAGTATCTTTCTAAGTTGCCACAGCTGGCCTCGGACTTTCAATTCTCCTGCCTCAGCCTTTCATGTAGCTGGGATTACAGGCGTGTCCTGTGGCACCTGGCAGAGTGTACAAGTTTCTGTCTGTACATATGTTCTCATTTCTATTAGAAGTAAAGTTTCTGGGTCAAATGGTAACTATATTGACTTTTTTTTTTTTTTTTGGTACTAGGGATCAAACTCAGGACCTTGCACTTTCAGGCAGGCAATGGGACCACTGAACTAAAAACATCTTTTTTTTTTTGGTACTGGGGATCGAACTTGGGACCTTGCACTTGCCAGGTAGACAATGCACCACTGAGCTATATCCCCGGGCCCCTGCCACCTGTTTTTGTATTACCTGCAGAACTGAAGATTGAACTCAGGGATTTTGTGATGAGCTATGTCCCTAGAACTCACATTTTAAATTTTTTTTTTTAATTTTAATTTGTTTTTGTTTTTGTTTTTTGAGGCAGGCTCTCCCTTCATAGCCCAGGCTGGCCTCAAACTTGTGATCCTCTTGCCTCAACCTCCCTAGTGCTGGGATTACACGTGTGCACCACCACTCGAAGCTCCTAAATATTTTTATTTATTGATTGATTTATTGATTTTTAATTTTTAATTTTTTGATAGAGTTTCGCTAAGTTGCTAAGCTGCCCAGGCTGGGCTCAAACTTGCAGTCCTCCTGCCTCAGCCTCCAGCATGCTGGGATTATAAGAGTTTTTGTTTGTTTTTAAACATTTTTAAGTAATTGGGTAAAGACAAAAGAAGAATAAATTTTTTTTTCCAGCAATCAAACTCAGGACCTTGCGTTTGCCAGGCAGGTGCGGCGTCACTGAGATACAAGAAGAATAAATTGTGTTGCCTGTGGAAATTATATGTGATACACGGCCATGCCCGTTTGTTTACATTATGCCCAGTGACCCCACAAGGGCAGAGCCAAGTACCTGTGATGGGGGCCATATGGCTTGCAAAGTTGAAAATAGTTACCATCCACCCCTTTTTTCTCAGTCCCTGCTGTGTGCCCCGACTTCCTGGGATGAGCAAGTTGAATCTGAAGTCTGATCACATTGGGTCAGCAGTGGGGGGATGCCTACCTCTGTGCTGCCCCTTCTGGCATCGCTCCTGGTTGTCCCACGTTCAAGGACAGCAGGGTGGATGTCAGGGCCTCAGTGGCCTTAGGGACTGAATGTCATTTTCTCCCCCAGGTCTTATGTGGAGGCCCTGACCCCTGGCGTGGCTGTATTTGGAGTGGGGCCCCTTTGGAAGGAATTATAATTGCGTAAGTTCATAGGATCCGGCCCTCAGCTGATGGGGTTGGTGTCCTTAGAAGAGGGAGACTCTCAGGGCTGGGTGAACAGCTGTAATTCCAGTACCCCAGAAGCTGAGGCAGGAGGATTGCCAGGAGTTCGAGGCCAGCCTGGGCTACGTAGTGGGTTCAGGGCCAACCTGAACTACATAGCGAGACTCTGTCTCAAACCCCTTCCCCTAAAAAGAGAGGGCAGCTCCAGGGCCTGAGTGCCTGGGCTCCAGTCCCAGCCCTGCCACCTCCCAACTGGGGGATTCAGGAGCCCACTTTGTCTTGTAAAGTGGGGGTGATGCTGACCAGAGCTGGCTTTGCAGTGGCTCCCACCCTGGCTGTCCCCTCTGAAGTGCTGGTGACAGCAGATGGCAGTAGTTCTGTTTTCTATTTTGAAGTTGGGCCTAGCAAGTAGACAGTACAGCAGGGTGGGTGCAAGCTCAGCTTCTGGAGTTGCGAAATTCCTGGCCCCGCCACCTAGCAGCCCTTCAGCCCTGGGCAGAGCTTCTCACACTTTTTGGTCTCAGGATCTGAAAACTCACGAGGGCCTCCAAAGGGCTTGGCTTATGTGAGGTACATTGATCAGTGTTTGCCATATTAGAAATTGAAACCAAGGCCAGGGATTTAGCTCAGTGGTTCCGCCACCTGCCTCGCAAGCGCAAGGACCCAAGTTCGATCCCCGGTACTAAAAAAAAGAAATTGAAACCAAGATATTAAAGAAACAGTGATTGGTACAAAAATGTGCACCCCATGACATTTACCCATTGAAAATGTACAATCCCATGGGTTTTACCCTCTTTGCTGTGTTGGGGACCCATTGCCACTTTGTTCCAGAACATTTCATCGCCCCCAAAATAAACCCTGTGGCCAGCAGCAGTCCCTGGGTATTCCTTCCCTGGCTCAACCTGTGGCCACCATGAAACTGGTTTTTCGTACTTCACCCGGCCTGTCCTGGACACTGCCTGCCAGGGAGACACACACAGCTTCCCAGGCTTTCTTCATTTTCTTTTGGTGCCAGGGATCCAACTCAGGTCCTTGCCCTTCGGGGCAGGCAGCGGAACGAACCACTGAGCCAGATCCCCGGGCCTCCTCCTGGGCTTTCTTTCCCTCGAATAGTAACACAGATGCCCCCCACACCTTTATTTTACTGTATTTTATTTTGTGGTTCTTGGGATTGAACCCAGGGCCTTGGCACTGAGCTACATCCCCAGCCTTTTAAAATTTTTCATTTTGAGATGGGACCTTGCTAAATTGTCCAGGCCAGGCTTGAACTTGTGATCTTCTTGCCTCAGCTTCCAAAATGATAGGATTATAGGTATGCACCACCATGCCCAATTTTAAAAACACTTTTTTGGGGGAGAAGGGCAGAGCCTCTCTATGTAGCCCAAGCTGTCCTCAAACTTGTGATCTTCCTGCCTCAGCCTCCCAAGTGCTGGGATTACAGGTGTGTGACACCATGCCTGGCTAAAAGAGACCTTTTAAGAACCTAGGACAGGGGTGTGGTATGTAGCTCACTTGGCTGGGAGCTTGCCCTCATGTTCAAGGCCCTCGGTTTGATCCCCAACACAGAAAAAGCAAAAACACCAAGGCTGAATGCATCCATGCACATGAGAAGCTCGAGGCCTCAGGAGAACCCATATGTACTTGAGAGAGAAGAACAAGGGCAGATGATGTCCTAGAGTTCCGGGAGACATTCTGTGGACACCCCAGAGCATCTCAGGACCCTGGAGGTCCCTGGGCTGTGCCACTACCCTAGGCAGGTGGCTTCCCTTCCAAGCCTCAGGTGGCCCCATAGCAAGCGAAGATGGTCCTGGGGTCGTGGAGGTGGAACAGTGGGAGACATCCGGGTCCTAGACCTCACTGGCTTCTGATCCGGTGGTGATCCGTGGTCATCCTCGTTGACTGGGCAGCATTTAAAAATGCGCCCCTCTAGCTGTCCCACTCAGGGATGTTTCCTACCGCGAAGAGCTCTGGTCTTGGCCAGACACTGCTCGCTGGCCTCTGGGAAAGCAGAGGTGTCCAGTGCCAAATACCTCAGGGTCAGGGCAGTTGACAACTAAGAATAGAGTTGGGAATTTGTCCCTGATGCCAGTGTGACCTTCCTGAGTGGCAAGGTGTTGGTGGGGAGGCTTGGGGAGCGGGTGGCACATGGGGTGGGGGGCAACAGGTGCTGACGCTTACTCCAGAAGTGTGGGGCCTGGGAAGTCAAAGGAGGGGGCTGGGGGAGGAGTCAAGTTGGGGTGCATCAAGGTCAGTTCTGCAAGCAACGCCATGACCTTCTCGGGGACGAGATGACAGCAAAGGGGCAGAAGGGGCCTCTCTGGGCCAAGGAGGTGCTCCGTGTGCCCGCTTGGAATCTCAGCACCCCCGAGGCTGAGGTGGGAGGATCATCCCAAGTTTGAGGCCAGCTTGGACTATGTAGTGAGTTCGAGGCCAGCTGCACAGGGAGACCCTGTCTCAAAAAAACAAAAACAAGGGCCAGGGATGGTTTCACTGCCTGGTGTGCAGGCTCAAGGACCCAAGTTCCATCCCTGGTATCAAAAAACAAGGGCCGGAGATTTAGCTCAGTGTCACCGTGCCTGCCTCGCAAGCGCAAGGTCCTGAGTTCTATCCCCGGTACCCAAGGAAAAAAAAAGAAGGAAAAAGAAAAAGTTGGCGTCTGAGCAGAAGACACCAGTAGGGGGAGCGAGAGCTCTGTAGCGCAGGGTCACACATAGGTCGTGAATGTGGAAGGCAAGTTTTTTGAAGCGGCCAGAAGAGGGCGATAAGGAGAAAGCTGCTTTTTCAGCTCTTGGGGTGCTGGGCTCCCCAGCTTCTGGGCTCTTTTCCGAGGCCCCTGTAGTCAGGCTCTGAGCACGCTCACGTCCTCACAGCACTGCGATCTGAAGAGCTAGACCCTAGGGTGATCCTCGTTTTTCATCAAGGAAAACTGAGGCTGAAAAAAGGAAATCACCAGGCGGAAGAGGGTCCCGCGGTGGAATTCTGCACTGAGCCTTCTAACACCTCCACCTTGTTTCGTGTGTTTATTCCCGTGTTTGTGTTAATGTGTATGTAGCCTTTTGTTTTAGGACAGCTTTTTTTTTTTTTGGTACCGGGGATTGAACTCAGGACCCTACACAGGCATGGTGCCACTGAGCTAAATCCCGGTCTCTGAATCCACTCTTTAAAAAGTTTCATTTTAGCCCAGCCTGGTATGCTCCTGTAATCCCAACACTCTGGGAGGCTGAGGCAGGAGAATCACAAGTTCAGCCCAGACTAGGCAATTTAGTGACTTAGCCAGACACTGTCTCAAAATTTAAAAATAAAAAAGGGCTGGGGATGTGGCTCAGTGCAAAGGCCCTGGGTTTAATTCCCGGTACTCTGGCAAAAGAAATGTTTGCATTTTGTGAGATCACAGATTTCATTGACATCTGCAGTGTTAAATTCTTCTTTCTTAACCCAGCCCTGATACTGGTCAGCTCAGCTCACAGCTGCCTGGTCTTGGAAATGGTCCTTCTCGCATTTACTCTGAGTCGCCCAGGGGAGGAGCTGGGGGGCCTGAACTCCCCCCTGCTATGAACAGTGTCTCCTCTCCTGTGCTGAGAGGTTGAATAACATCACCCCATGGTTCGCATCAGTGTCTCCTCCTGGGCTTGCTGAGCTTTTGAGTCTCTTCTACTGCTTCCCATTCCTCACTCAATTTTCTGTTGAGGAAGCTATTTGCCTTCTTGTTGATTTCCTGCAGTTTCATGTACAGTCAATTGTGCTATAAAGCTTGTTTTTTAGGATTTTGTGTGTGTCTGCTTTGTTTTTTGAGACAGTCTCAGTACTAGCCCAGACTGGCCTTGAACTCACAGGAATGCTCCTGCCTCAGCACAGGCGAGTGCTACCACACCCCACTTCCTGGATTGTCTTTCAGCTTTGCTGACAGAGTTTCTGGGTGCTGTGCATACCCCATTTTCTCTGTAATCTTTGTGGTTCTCACTGTGAGTTCTCCAGTAGCTGTGATTTTAGGACAAAAGCCTCATGGCAAGGCTGCTTTGGGACATCACAGATGCTTACCCCAGTACCACATTCTCCAGAGCCTCATGTGCAGGGTGCCTCACTGGCCTGGCCTGGCTCAGAGGGGTCACAGGGAACCCTGTGCAAAGCGGGGAGACAGGGCTCCCCAGCTTGGGGATGTGTAGACCCCAACTCTGAATGGAAAGCAAGGGCAGATTCTCACGAAGGGTAAATCCACGCACCTTCTGAACCAGCAGCTCCACTTTGAATAATTTATTTTAGGCTGGGGCCATAGCTCAGTGGGAGTGTGCTTACATAGCATGCACAAAGCCCTGGGTTCCACATACACAAAATGTATCCTAGCTGGCATGGTGGTACAGCCCTGTCATCCCAACACTCTGGGAGGCTAAGGCAGGAAGATCACAAGTTCAAGCCCAGCCTTGGTACTTCAGTGACCTAGTGAGACCTTGTCTCAAAGTAAAACATAAAAAGGGCCAGGGATTTAGCTCAGTGGTTTCGTCACCTACTGGGCAAGCACAAGGACCCGAGTTCATCCCCGGTACCAAAAAAAAAAAAGTAAAATATGAAAAATGGGCTGGGGATGTAGTTCAGTATGAAGGCCCTGGGTTCATTCCCCAGGACTGCAAAAGAACAACAAAGAATTTACTGGCAAGGCACCCTTTTTTTTTTCTTTTCTTTTTTTTTGGTAGCGGGGATCAAACTCGGGTCCTTGCTCTTGTGCACTTGCACAGCAGGCAGCGAAACCACTGAGCTAAATCCCCGGCCCCAAAGGCACTCTTGCGAGAATGGGCACGGACAGGACAAGGAAGGGCACAGTGGCTGATGGGGCAATCAACAAGCAGGAGTGGCCCCATGGCCTCTCTCTGGATCCTGTACACACAACTGCATGGCTCAGTGGATCTCAGAGCGAACACACCCATGTCACCGGCGGGGCCCCTCCCTGCCTCTGCTGCCCTCACAGGAAGCCTGGCTTGAGGCTGTGGTGACTTTTGTGAGCTGTTGAATTTATACACATGGAAACACCCCACCTGGGAGTTGCTTGGTGTGACAACAGGGTGTTCTGTGTTGTTGTTGGGCACGCCCATTATGTGACTGTGCCCCGGTGTGTTTGTCTGTTCCATGTGCATGAGCGTTTGGGAAGTATCCAGTTCTTTCTGTTGTTTTGTTGAGACAAGGTCTCACTATGTAGCTCAGGCTGGCCTTGTATACAAAGGGATCCTCCTGCCTCGGCCTCCCAAGTGCTGGAGTCACAGGTGTGTGTCAGCACACCCAATTTGGGTAGTTTCCAGTTTTCCAGCCATTCAGAATAGTGTTCTCTAGTGTGTGTCCTGGGGTGCACAGAGGTGCCCCTTCTTAGGGACAGAGAGGAGAGGAATGGCTGCAGGCTGTGGAGCTAGGTATGCTGGACTTCAGTACACACTGACAATTGATTTGTGATGGCAGAATCGTTGGCCTCAGGGATCCCAGGGTCACACTTAGAGAACCACTTATCTGGGCCGGGGATTTAGCTCAGTGGTTTCACCGCCTGCTGCACAAGCTCAAGGACCTGAGTTCAATCCCTGGTACCAAAAAAAAAAATTCTAGCAGAATGCCTCAGCCCAGACCTGGGGACTCAGTGCAGCTTGTATGAGAAAGGGCTGGGGATGTAGCTCATTGTAAAGGCCCTGATTTCAAATTCCCAGTGTCACAAATTGAAAAAAAAAAAAAAGATAGGGGCCGGAGATTTAGCTCAGTGGTTCCTCTGCCTGCTTTGCAAACGCAAGGTCCTGAGTTTGATCCCCGGTACCAAAAAAAAAAAATAGAGGTAGCACAGTGGGAAGTGTGATGGAAATACAAGTTCAAAGGAAAAAGGGAAGCGTAAAATGACTTCCTCCCAGCTGAGGCTCCCGGTGATGGAGCGCTTTCCTCATCCATGGGAGGGCCCGGGACCCCAATCCTAGCGCTGAGTTAAGTTTCCTGTGGTTAGAGCAGAGCTTTAGTCTGCTTTTCAAGTTTATAATGGTAGGTATCAAATCATAGGGTATTTAGATTTCACCAGCTACATTTCAAACCAGGCATACCAGTGCTACTTTAGAAGGACAAGAGTTACATTGTGCTGGAAAGTGTATCCTTTGCAACTAGGGAGGGGAGAAGCTCTAGGTGGTAATTTAAAGGTGGGTGAGACAGGTACATAATTTGACTAAAGCCTTTGAAGGGTCATAAAAGCGTGCAGGCTGCTAAGCTGGCTTGGCCTCCAGCTAAATGTAATCACCCCTGAGACCCGGGAAGCCTGCCAGCCTCAGCGGGCCTCAAGGTTCTTACCTTAAAAACGGGCTCCCTGGCTGGGGATTTAGCTCAGTGGTTCTGCTGCCTGCCTCACAAGTGCAAGGTCGTGAGTTTGATTCCCAGTATAAAAAAAAACAAACCAAAAAACCGGGCTCCCGGTCAGGTGTGATGGTGCCCACTGTGATCCCAGCACTCGGGAGGCTGAGGCAGGGGAATCGCAAATTTGAGCCCAGCTTGGGCAACTTGGCAAGATCCTGTCTGAGAAGCTAAAAAAGACAAGGTGTATGGCTTAGTGTAAAGGCCCTCAATTCCAGTCCCAAGACCACACACACACACACACACACACACACACACACACAAATTAGGGCTGGTGATTTAGCTCAGCAGTGCCGCCACCTGCCTCGCAAGTGCAAGGTCCCGAGTTTGATCCCTGGTACCAAAAACTAACAATTAAATGGCACAGTGGCCACCTTGTCTGCACCCTCCCTGACAGCCCTTTTCTTGGTGATAAAGGTTGCCTTTCGGGTGCGTTCAGGGAAGTCTTTGAGGGGAGGGGAGTCCTGGAGGAGTGGGGTGATGCACACCAGGTCCAGTCACCACAGCCCGCTGTCCCCCCAGGATGACTCGGCATGGCAAGAACTGCACAGCGGGGGCGGTGTACACCTATCACGAGAAGAAGAAGGACACAGGTACTGCGCTGGGTGGGAGGCGGTCCCTGAGGGGACACTGAGGCTTTTACCACTGCAGGCACCTGAGCTTGCTCACAGAAGCAGAAGAGCCAGCAGGTGTCAGCTCCCCTTGGCAACAGGGCCCATGTGTCACTTACCCTCTGGGAGTCAACAGCTTCCTGTAGGTCGTGTGGCTTTTGACTCCCTCATTTATTTATTTATGTATTTATTTGGAGTTGTTCAGACAGGGTTTCACTATGTAGTCCAGGCTGGGCTTGAACTCTCAGTGGTCCTCCTGCCTCAGCCTCACCCATGCTAGAATTACAGGCCCGCACTGCCTCCCTGTCCCTTGGAATTTGGAGAGGGCTTGTCCATTACCACCCAGCTCTGTCCCCAGCGGCCTCAGGCTATGGGACCCAGAACATCCGACTGAGCCGCGATGCAGTGAAGGACTTCGACTGCTGCTGCCTGTCTTTGCAGCCCTGCCATGACCCTGTTGTCACGTGAGACACTGGGGACGAGATGGAGGCCTGGGTGGAGGGGCTGCGGGTGTGGCTCTGGCCGGGTGACCTCTGTTCTGTGAGCCATGGGCACAGCCTGGCCTGCTCTTGTGACGTGGGGAAGAGCATATCTTATTCATAATGGGGTGTGGGGCCCCAGGGACTCTGTGTGACTGTGATCTCAGCACACATGGTGCAGCTGTCCTCCTGCCTCAGCCTCCCGAGAGCTGGGGTCCCAGGCATGTGATGTGTGTGCCTAGCCGGGTGTGTTTCTCATTCCCTTCCCTTGCAGCCCAGATGGCTACCTGTATGAGCGTGAGGCTATCCTGGAGTACATTCTGCACCAGAAGAGGGAGATTGCCCGGCAGATGAAGGTGACAGGGACAGGGAGAGGGCATGGGTGGCCAGTGCTGGTCTCTGAGCTCCGGGGCAGAGCTCACTGTGGGCCTCATGGCAGTTCCCGGGCCTTCACCGTGCTGGTCCCTCTGCCTGGGGCACCACTCCCCTCCCACACTGGCATCTCAGCCCAGGCGCTGCCTGCTTGTATCTCCAGCCAGTTCTAGGGCCCGCTCTGGGCACCTCTCCCGCCACAACTGTGAGCCTGTGTGTGCTGTGTCACCTGTGGCCTGTCCCCCAGACAGTGGCCTCCTGAGGCAGTGAGCACCACCTGCCCTAGGACCCTGGGAGACTTGCTGAGTGGACACAGAGAGGCTCCTTGGCCTTGGTGTTACCATCTGTAAGGTGGGCCAGCAGGACCAGGATGGAGCAGGAGCAGGCGAGTGGGACCCAGGACACTTAAAGGATGTGGCCTCTTATCCCGTGATTGAGGCTCCCTGGGTCTGAGCCTCCCCTTTTGCCCTCTGCTTGCTTTTCCAGAGATCAGTAAACACCAGGGTCAGATTCATATTGCTGTTTTATTTTACCTTATTTTTTTTGCGGTGCTAGGATCCAGCCCAGAGTCTGGTGAGTGCTGAACATTCTCTGCTACTGAGCCACTCTCTAGCCCCCTTGTTCAGCTGTTTGCCCCAAGGGAGTGGCCCCGCAGATCCGTCCTCTTTGGCCCAAGTGCCCCTCATTGTGGTGACACCTGGGGGTGGTCCAGGGCAGTCTTGGGGTGCAGCACCACTGACACAGGCACCACTGTCAGGGTACCTCCTCGCCACCCTCCAAGTCTGTCCCCAGGCCAGAGGGGCATGCACTTTGTCGTAGCCACCATGAGACCCCCAGCCTGCACTCACTCAGAGCTCCCTGTGTACCTGGTGGGTTCTAAGCACTTTTTTTCTTTTTCGGTACTGGAGACTGAACCCATAGACTTTGCACTTAGCTACATCGAAACCCTTTTTCACTTTTTATTTTGAGACAGGGTCTCACTAACTTGCTAAGCTCCTCAGAGTGGGCTTGAACTTGAGATCCTCCTGCCTCAGCTTCCCAGAGTGGTGGGATCATAGGCCTGTGCCACCATACCCCACTTCTAAGCACTTTTAAAACTCCTTGGACATGGTACATTCCTGTAGTCCCATCATCTCTGAGGCTGAGGCAGGAGGATTGAGTATTGGAGGCCAGCCTAGGCTACATAGTGAGACCCTATTTTTAAAATACCTTTCTCCTGCCATCCTGAGCCCGTTTCACGGAGAAACTGAGTGTGGGCGGCCCATCCACACAGTGCTGCCCTCAGCCAATCAGGCCTGTGCCAGAGCGGCGCCTGAGCGGGCCTCAGTTTCCTCCCCCCACCCCTGTGAATTCTGCCTCGCAGGCCTACGAGAAGCAGCGCGGCGCGCGGCGTGAGGAGCAGAAGCAGCTGCATCGGGCGGCGGCGCAGGACCAGGTGCGAGGCTTCCTGGAGAAGGAGGCGGCCATCGTGAGCCGCCCACTCAACCCTTTCGAGGCCAAGGTGGCCGAGGGCCCCGGCTCAGGTGACAGCTCGCGTGGCCTGGGGCGGGAGGCACGGAGAGGGGATGGCAGGGCCCAGCACGACCTCTCCCTCTGCCCGCAGATGACGCGAAGCCCGGGCCCAGCGCGGGGGCTCCAGGCAAGGCGAAGGAGAAGGACAAGGAGCTGCCCAGCTTCTGGATCCCGTCACTGACTCCCGAGGCCAAGGCCACCAAGCTGGAGAAGCCGGTGGGCCCCGCAGTGGCCTCATCCCTCCCCAGGCCCCGTCCCCGGTCCCCGGTCCCCGTCCCCGGTCCCCTGGGCGGCCCCTGACCTGCCTGTTGCCCGCAGTCGCGCACCGTCGCCTGCCCCATGTCCGGGAAGCCGTTGCGCATGGCGGACCTGACGCCCGTGCGCTTCACGCTGCTCGACGACTCCGTGGACCGCGTGGGGCTCATCACGCGCAGCGAGCGCTACGTGTGCGCCGTGACCCGCGACAGTCTCAGCAACGCCACACCGTGCGCCGTGCTGAGGCCCTCGTGAGTCCCGGGCTGGAGGGGCGGAGGGGCGGCGGGGCGGCGGGGCTGTGGAGGGAGCAGGGCCGGTGTGGGGACTGTGGCTTCATGGTCCTGTCCCCTCTCTCCCGCCCGCAGCGGGGCCGTGGTCACCCTCGAATGTGTGGAGAAGCTGATTCGCAAGGACATGGTGGACCCGGTGAACGGGGACAAGCTCACGGAGCGTGACATCATCGTGCTGCAGCGCGTGAGCCGCCCGTCCCCTCATCCCCTCCCTTCCCCTTTCCTAGTCTCACCCTTTCACCCCCAAACCCCGCCCAGCTCGGGCCACGCCCTGGGCCGGGCCACGCCTATCCTAGTGTGATCACGCCCCTTCGACCTAGGCTCCGCCTACCCACCAGGACTAGTTTAGGATCCCGGACTGCCCCCGAGCCCCCTTAGCCCGATCTGTCCCCACCTCCTGTTCCCTCTCCTGCAGGGTGGCACCGGCTTCGCAGGCTCCGGGGTGAAGCTGCAGGCCGAGAAGTCGAGGCCAGTGATGCAGGCCTGAGGGGACCACGAACGTCGAATAAACCTGTGCAGGGACTGGACGCGTGGGGCCTTCATTTCCTGGCTGAGAGCCGGCAGCCCGAGACTCCTGTCCTGGAGTTTGAAAGAGAGGCTCAGAAAAATATTATGTGTCTCACATTCAGAACAAACTCAGAACCGTAGGCACACGCCGGCAAGATTGATCACGTGAGCTGGGTGTGGTGCCGCGCGCCTGCAAGCTCAGCACTCTTGAGAGGCCGAGGCAGGAGGCGTCCAGGTTCCAGCCCAGCCTGGGCAGTGTAGCCACTTAACAAGACCCTGGCTCGGGATGGAAGGGGGGGGGTGGTCCAGATGGCCAGAAGCCAAGGTCACCGTGCCCCTCAGAGGTGGAGTGAGTGCACCTTAGGGCGGCCTGAGTCAGGGTCCCCCCACTTGTGCCGGGTTGGAAGCATGTGTGGTGCCCAGGGCCAAGTCTCAGAGGAAATTGTACGAAGACACAGGAAACAATTCTTCGAGGGAGCGGGTGGGGTGCAGTGTGGTCAGGAAGCCCTGCTGGCGACTGCAGGGGCAGAGGAGGCCTCGGTGACAGCCAGTGAGGCCTGCAGCTCTGAGTGGGAGGGAGGTGAGGCCCGGCTCGCGCAGCCTCTGAACAGGGTCTCACTCCGAAGGGCGGGCTCTCTAGCTCCCCTGTACTTGCTGGCCTCAAACTTGCAATTCTCCTACCTCGGCCTCTGGAGATTACAAGTGTGCACTGCGCAAGCGCAAGGACCCGAGTTCGATCCCCGGTACCCCCCCCCCCAAAAAAACTGAAACTGACTGAGATTACAAGTGTGCAGCTGGTTGAAAGCTTTGTAGCTATGTTTTACTCGTGGTACTGGGGATCGGCCACAGGGCGGGGCTCCATCCCCAATCCTTTTTTGTTTTATTTTTTGATTTGAGACAGGTCTCTCTTGAGTTGCCCAGGCTGAGCTCAGAGTTGCAATTCTGCCTCAGTCTCCTGCATCTGGGATTAAAGCTTGTGTTCCACAGTACCGGGGCTGGAGTCTGGTTCCTTGGCGCTGAGCTACTTCTCTGGCCCTTTTTTTATTTTCATTTTTTATTTTGAGATGGGCTTGCCGAGTTCTCTAGGCAGGGCTCAGACTTGCACTCCTGAGGCTGCTCCTGCCTCAGCCTCCAGATTGGTGGATGACATCCTGGCCCTGCCCGACAGTACAGCTTGTTTTTAGTAACCATGAGTTCATGCGTTGAGCAGCCCCTGGGAGGTGTGGAGCGCTGGGACACACGGGCTCGGAAGAACCAGAGACCCCTGACCCCACCCAGGTGTCCCGGCCAGAGCTCTGCCCTGGGGAGCGGATTCCTGGCCTCCCACCCCTGCGCCACTCAGGACCAGGACACCATCGAGCCCTGAAGTCCTGTGCAGCCTCTTCCTTGAGCCCATAACCTAAGTCACCCCGGCTGCTGGGAGGGGTTTGGCGGGAGGGTGTGGGCCGTCCAGCACCCCAGCTACCTCAGCCTGGGGTTTGCCCCACAGAAGCTTCTAGAACCTTCCTCTTTTAGAACCTTCCTTGGGGCCTTAAAACCTCAACCACCACCCTGGGCCAGCCCTGGCACCAGGCTCAGTTGTTGTTGATGTTCAAGAAGCCCAGCCATCAGGGGCCTCAGTGCTGTCCCCTGGGTTCCACAGTCCTGGGAGGGACTGTCTCAGAGATAGAGCAGGCCACCACCGAGCTGCACAAGGTCCTTTGTGCCCCTGAGACCCCCACTCCCCTTTCAGGCCTTTTGAGGACCCAGCAAGCCCCATCATGCATCACCTGGAGAGCTTCACCTTGCCCCTTGGGCCCAGCCAGCCCCGACCACCCTGAGCCCTGAAATGGGGCTTGTGATTTGCGGGCCTCCAGATAACACAAGGGAAATACACCTCCCAGTCTGCCGGGGGTCCACCACTCGGAGTTCCCATTCTCTGAAATCCAAGGATGCATTTGGAGATTAAGAGTAGGAAAAATGTATTGGGAGGAAGACAGCTTCTCTCTGAGAGAGACAGGAGGGGTCCTGGAGAGTGGGTTGCCTGGGAGACGCCTTCTCAAGGGAATTTTATGGAGCAAAGCCTCGAGGTGAGGTGGGTTCGAGGTGGTAGAAAACTATAGTCAACTAATAAGATTCTAGTAATAGCTTTATTTAATTCTAAGATGTTCATCATAGTGAACAACCTTAACTTTTATGCTACATAACTACATTCAAAGCTTTATGTATTTTTGTTTATAATTACAGTAATTATACATGTTTTGGTTTTTTGGTACCAGGGATTGAACTTGGGACCTTGCACTTTCGAGGAAGGCGCCGGAACCACTGAGCTAAATCCCTGACCCAGTAATTATAAATGTTTAGTACCAAACTGATGAGAGACACTATTTTGTTGAGAAGGGTCTTATGTATTGATTCAGTGGGGATCCAGTGGGGAAGCAAGTCACATAGCAGATACTGGGACACACAAGGACTTTTCCGGGAGGGAATGGGCTAGGGAGGCTTTGGTCCCCACCCATGGTCACCACTGTTCATCCCTAGGGGAAGTATGTAGGTGTGGCCTTTTCTCCTTGTCTCAAAGTCTGTTCTGCAGGAATGCCTGGCCTCCAGTCCCAGTTGAAACATGTTCTTACCTCCTGTATTGACTCTTGAGGGCCAAGCCCTGTCTGAGGGCCAGTAATATTTTAACTAACTTAGCTGTTTATAAGGCTTCTGGTTTCTGCTCACATCCCCCAGGAACCTGGTCATGAGGCGCAAACCCCATGCTCCTAATAAAAAGTCCAAGAGTTTTCTCTCTTTTTATCTTTTGTGTTGTTTTTGTTTTTTGTACCAGGGATGGGACTTGGGACCTTGGCGCTTTTTTTTGGTACCGAGGATCGAACTTGGATGGACCTTGCACTTTTTGAAGCAGGCAGCAGAACCACTGAGCTAAATCCCCAGCCCTATCTTTTGTTTTTTAACACAGGTTCTCACTATGTGGTACCCCAGGTTGTCCTCAAACTGGTGGAGAACCTCCTGCCTCTTGCCTCCTCAGTGCTGGGATTAGGGCGTGCACCACCACACCCACAGGAGCCTCCAGTCTTGCAGTGGCATTTCCCAAGAAAGAACCGAAATCTCACCCTGAGATGGGTGGTGACTGGTGTGTGGCAAGATCGCTCTGCATTCTGTCCTCTGTTGTTTGGTTTCCACAGTAACCAGGAGAGGAAGCAGAGTGGGGCGTGGCTTGAGCCACAGCAAGGAGCAGACCAGAGGGGAGAGAGACCTGCTAGGCAGTGGGCCAGTGCCCAGGCTCCCCTGCTGAGCTGCAGTCTTGGTGCCTCGATTAGAAGTGTGAAGGTTGGCTGCCTGCCATGGTGGTGCACACTTGTCATCCCAGGACTCCGGAGGCTGAGGCAGAAAACACAAAAAAAGTGTAAAGGTTTTTAGAAGGGGGGGGGGAAGAAGAGGAAGTTACTGTGGAAGTATAACACTATAGGGCCAGGGACACATCCTCGGAGACTGGGGGAGAGGGAAGGATTCACATCATGGAAGTGGGAAGCAAGACAAAAACTGGAGCCAGGCACAGTGGTGCACACAGGGAAGCTGAGACAGGAGGATCACTGAGTTTGAGGCAATCCTGAACAACACAGGAACCCCCCCTACACACACGGAAAAAAAAACCCTTGTGTATAAATGAACCTAGCAGCACTGTTCCAATAACCAAAAAGTGGAAATGCCCCAAATCCCAAATGTTCATGATGGGTGGATGGATGAACAAGCTATGGTCTGTCCATCCTGGGGAATATTCCCCAGTCATGAAAAGGAGAGCAGCACTGAGGCACACTGGAATGTGGATGGACTGAGTGAAGGGAGCCAGGCACAGAAATCCACGCATTGTATGATCTCTAAATCTAGAACAGGCCAAGCTGGAGGGACAAGAAATAGACCTGTGACTGCCAGGAGCTGATTGCTTAAAGGGTCCCTCAGCACTGGGGGTGGTGAAAACGATCCAGAATTAGTGGGGAAGGATACACTACCTTTTAAAAACCCACTGGTTGGGGATTTAGCTCAGTGGTTCCGGTGCCTGCCTCGAAAGTGCAAGGTCCCAAGTTTGATCCCCAGTACCAAAAAAATAAATAAATAAAAACCCACTGGCTACATGTGGTGCTGCGCATCTGCAATCCAAGCACTCGGGAGGCTGAGGTAGGAGAATTCTAAGTTTGATGCCAGCCTGGGCAACTCAGGGAGATCCTCTATCAAAATTTTTCAAAATATGCCAGTGTTGTGGGCCCCGCCTGTAATCCCTGGGAGACTGAGACAGGGGGATCAGCAAGGTTGAGGCCAGCCTGTGCTACATAGTGAGACCCTGTCTGTGTAAAAAAAAAATTAAGGTCTTGAGGATGTGCCTCAGTGGAGATCACCCTGGGTTCAAATCCCAGTACTGCAGGAAAAAAAGAGAAACAAGCCACTGCAGTGTACATGCAGAAGGGTTAATTTTATGTGATATCTCAGCTTTTTAAAACATTAGCTTCCTCAGAGGCTGCATCCTGGGCCCCTTCCCTCAAGCCTGGGGCCTGGACGTGCCGACCTGTGGTTGGGGAAGTTGCCCAGAGAACTACAAACAAGACAGGTCACAGTTTCCTTCCGGTAAGGGTCGGTGAGGGGCTGGGGCTTCCTACACTGAGCGGCATTCAGGGCAGGCCATGGCTGCGCACATCCTTTGCAAGATGTCTTCCAGACAGGTGCACTCTGTGGCCCAGCATCTCCTCCTGTGCATCTACCTACCTCCACGCACACATGCTCATCAAACAAGCCAGAAGGCTGAGGCAGGAGGATTGCAAGTTTGAGCTCAGCCCACTCAACTTAGCAGGACCATGTCTCAAAATAAAAAATGTAAAAAAGGGCCAGGGACCAGACACAGTGGTGAAGCCTGTAACCCCAGCACTCAAGAGGCTGAGGCAGGAGGATTGGTGAGTCTGAGGTCAGCCTGGGCTACATCGTGAGACCCTGGCTCAAATAAACAGTCTGGGAATGTAGCCAGTGTGAAGACCCTAGATTCCGTCTCAGCACAGGAAAACAAAAATGGCAACAAAAACCAAGCCAAAAAGTTGACAGCAGCTTCGTGTACAACATTCCCAAGCTCGATGCAACCCAAAAGTGTATCAGCCACACCAGGGATGAGTTGTGGACGTTCACTGTGGCAAACTCTCAGCGATCCTCCTGCCTCAGCCTCCCAAATGCTGGGATTACAGGAGTGTACCAACATGCCAGGCATAGTCCTCAGATTTAAAATCGGAAAATCTAAGGTTTTGACACTGAAAAAAATGTGCAACATCGAGAATCGAGAAAGCAAAAACAGCACCAGTCATCTTCTCTAGTTGCTATTCAAAAGAAGAAAAAAAAAAATAGCCCAGTCCAGAGGCTCAAGGCCCTTAATCTCAGCTTCTCAGAAAGCTGAGGCAGGAGGATTACAAGTTCCAGGAAAACCTGCTCAACTGAGTGAGGCACTGTCTTGAAATAAAATGTAATAAAGGCCGAGTGTGGTGGCACAAGCATGTACTCTCTGCACTCAGGAAGCTGAGGCAGGAGGATCACTATGAGTTTGAGGCCAGCCTGGACCACATAGTGAATTCAAGGCCAGTCTGAACTACACACCAAGACCCTGTCTCCAAAAAAAATTTTTTTTAAGGTTTGGGGAGGTAGCTTAGTGGTAGAGCCCTTGACTAGCACATGCAAGGGCCAGAATCCCAACCCCATAGTAGCAAAAACAAACACGAAGCCCTGAGACAGGAATGCAGGAATGTGCCCATACACCCGTCAAGCAGAACGCACGGGCGGCCACTAGGGGGCAGAAGCTGCCATCGTTAGGAGCTGGAAGAGGGGTTCAGATTCAGATAAAATCGCTCCAGCCATAAACCTAGGTGAACGCTGGATAAAATAAAAACAGCTGGCCAGATGTGGTGGTGCACGCCTGTAATCCCAGCACTTAGGAGGCTGAGGCAGGAGAGTCCATGAGTTCGAGGCCAGCCTGGGCTACATAGTGAGTTCAAAGCCAGCCTAAACTATGTAGTGGGACCCTGTTTAATTAAACAAAAGAGGGCCAGGGGTTTAGCTCAGTGGTTCCGGCGCCTGCCTCACAAGTGCAAGGTCCCAAGTTCAACCCCTGGTATCCCCCCAAAAAAGAAAAGTAAAGAAAAGAAAGAGCTAGGGCCGGGGATTTAGCTCAGTGGTTTTGCCACAAGGACCTGAGTTCGATCCTTGGTACCAAAAAAAAAAGAAGAAAAAAAAAAAGAGCTACCCAGGGCCGGGGATTTAGCTCAGTGGTTTCGCCATCTGCTGCGCAAGCACAAGGACCCAAGTTCAATCCCCGGTACCAAAAAAACCCCCCAGCTACCCAGAGGCCCTGGGAAGTGAATAAAAGCAGGTATAAATTGGAGGAGACTTGATAGCAGAAAAGCAAAGGCACCGAGTGAGTAGTTTCCCATTTATGCTGCATTCAGCACTGGCGGGTTCCCATCCACACCAGGGTCAGCAGCTGCAATTCCAGCTTGAAGGACAACATGGCAGAAAAGTGAGATTTTGCAGAAGAAAGTCAAATGGGTCAGGGATTTACCTCAGTGGCACTTCCTCTGCCTTGCAAGCACAAGGTCCTGAATTCAATCCCAAGTACAAGGGAAAAAAAAGAAGAAAGCCAAATGGGTACCCCAGATTTGTAAGCTTTGCTCAGATGTCCAGCTGGTCCTGAATCACACCAGCTACAGCAAGTGTGGTGGTGCATGCTTGAAATCACAGCACTCAGGAGGCTGAGGCAGGAGGATTTAAAATTCAAACCCAGCCTAGGCAATTTAGACTTATGGAGGCCCTGTTTTAAAAAAAAGAAAAAAGTGGGCTGGGGATTTAGCTCAGTGGTTCCAGCGCCTGCCTCGAAAGCACAAGGTCCCGCATTCGATCCCCATTACCAAAAAAAAAAAAAAAGAAAAATGAAAAAGGATTGAGGATATAGTTCATACAAAGACCCTGGGTTCAGTGCCCAGTACTGGGTTGGGGGGAGAAAAACAGAAGCCCAGCTAAGCCTAGAAAAAAAGTGAACTGAAATTTGAGCCACAAATTTCACAGGAGAAACAAAAATAGTTTTGGGAGTTTTCTTTCTTTTCTTTTCTTTTTTTTTTTTTTTGGTACCAGGGATTGAACTTGGGACCTTACACTTGCGAAGCAGGCACCAGAACCACTAAGCTAAATCCCCGGCCCGCTCTTTCTTTTCTTTTGAATTATCAATGCAAAATTTATTGAGAGTAAGAGAAAGTCCTTTTGATAAATTCCATTTTTAGGGTTATAAATTAATTAGTTATCACTGAAAATTATTCTGAAGCTATTCTGATTCTTTGCATATCTATAATCTTTTGTTGTTGTTGTTGTTTCTTTGTTTTTGGTACCGGGGATCCAACTTGGGACCCTGCACTTGCGCAGCAGGTGCCAGACCACTGAGCTAAATCCCTGGCCTTTTTTTTTTTTTTCTTTTTAGACAATCTCACTATGTAGTCCAGGCTGGTCTTGAACTCCATGTGTAGCCCAGGCTGGCCTTAACCCTGCAGTGCTCCTCCTGACTCAGCCTCCCAATTGCTGGGATTACAGGTGTGCACCACTACTCTTGGCAAGAAACAAAATTTATGAGACTGCAGTTAGAGTTCAAACTAATGGTTGGTCAGAAAAACAAAAATCAATACTCAGCTGAATGTGGTAGCGTAGTAGGCCTGTAATCCCCGTATTGGGTAGGCCGAGGCAGTAGGATTACAAGTTCCAGGCCAGCCTGGGCTACATAGCAAGTTTGAACCCAGCCTAAGCCGTATAGAGAGATGCTGCCTCTACACAAAAAAGCAACTCTCAGTACTCTCAGGCTCCAGGGCTTCTGTGGGCACCCAAGATACAATCTAGAACTTCGGGCTGGAAGGACTGAGTTACACCCTGTAGTCCCAGCTACTCCAAAGGCTGAAGCAGGAGGGTTATTTGAGCCCAGTTGTTCCACACCAGCCTGGGCAACATAACCAGACCTTGGCTCTAAAAATCAAACAGGCAGGTGTGGCTCACACTGGTAATCCCAGCACTCCGGGAGGCTGAGGCAGGAGGATTGTCAGAGCCCCACCTGGGCAACTTAGCAAGAATGTCTCAAAATAAAAAAACAAAGCGGTGGGGATGTAGCTCAGCGCCAAGACCCTGGGTCCAACACCCCCCCCACAACACGCATGCGAGTGCACGTGGACACACACACACACACACACACACACACACACATCCACACCCTTTACACTGGAAACTACGCATTGCTGAGACAGTTGCAGCCCGGGCATCCTGAGAACACATCCGATGGCCATGGACTGTGAGACTCGGGGCTGTAAACCCGTCGCTTCTCTCCACACTGATCTTTCGGGTTTGCAGTCTGCCTCTGTGTTATGTCTGTCACCTTCCCCAGGAGACAAAGGGGAAGGACCTGTGGGACTTGAGTTGTGGGAAGGTTTTTTTCATATTTTAGTTTCCCTTAGTTTTTTTTGGTTTTTTTTTTTTTTGAGATAAGATCTTACTCTGTAGTCTAGGCTGGCTTGAACTCACGAAGATCCTCCTGCCTCAGCCTCCTGAGGGTTCACAGGCACATATGTGCCACCACACTCAGCTACAACCCACCCGTCCCATATCCGGTCTGCCTTCCTGTCCATCACTGCTTCACCATCCTGGCCTCCTGCTGCTGCCGCCGCCCCACACCAGGTCCACTCCTGCTCCAGGACCCTTGAACCTGCTGCTCCTGTGGGCTGGAATGCTCCCCTCTGAGCTCCCCGAGGTGGGCCTTTCCAGGCAATGCAGCCCTTGCTACCCCTCCCTGCTTTGTAGCTTTGACTTCCTCTGGTCAAACAAGATTTTGCGCTGATGGATCTCTATCCTCACTGACCGCCTGCCCAAGACGCCCGCTTCCTGTTTGTGCACTGGGCACCGAGGCTGCTGGGTCTATTTTTTGTGCCCCAGAAGGTCCTCACTTCCACCCCATCTCCTGCCCACCTCTGAGGCCTGTCCCCTCCTCCCTGTCTCAGCTCCCCCACACACTCCTCCTTTAGTCACAGCCCCTACTCCACCCCAGGGCATGGTAGTACACACTCAGGAGGCTGAGGCAGGAGGACCTCCAGAGTTTGAGGCCAGCCTGGGCTACACAATGAGGTCTTGTCTCAAAATAACAACAAAAAGACACACACGGAGGCCCCATCACTGGATTTTACTGTTGCCCCGCAGAGAGGAGGCTTCCTGGGGATGGTGCGAGAACCAGGGCGGGGGAGTTTCTGGGTCTGTGGGGCAGTGGCTCAGACGTGGGGTGCGGTCAGTGGGGCTCCTGGGGGCTGAGTTGGGGTGACAGTCCCAGTCTGGGTGGGAGACCCTGCTGGTGGGAATGGTGTCACCCGCACTGGGGACTCTGAGGGGCCCGGCTAGGGAGGGCAGGGCTGGGTGTCCAGAGAAGGCTGAGCCTGAGGGTCCCCGAGAGCCAGGCCGGGAGCTGCGCGCTCATCACCCCGGGGCTCAGAGCTCGTCGTGGTGTCGGGTCAGGTCCTCGCCGTAGTTGGTGGCCTGGCTGCCCACGAACATGTTCCAGTTCCCCAGGATCTCAGCCTTGCTCAGGCGCCCATCCTGCGGGGAGCAGGGTCAGCGAGAACCACAGGGAAAACGGGACAAGGCTGTGACGGGTGGGGACCCCCGGGCCTCCGCCAACCTGGTCCTGGTCGCTCTCATGCAGCAGGTGGTTCGCCTCCAGCAGCGGCTGGTCCTGTGACGGTGGCAGCACCCAGTAGCCGACCTCGCTGCCGTCCAGCCGCCCATCCTTGTTGAGGTCGCGGAAGTCCCGGAACTGCTGCCGCTCTGTCTGCACCCAGGCCGGCTCCTCCGCCCCTGGCTCCGCAGAGTACAGGTCCGCTGTGGGGGACAGCAAGGACACGCGTGATGGGACAGCTCGGGGGGCTGTGACACCTCTCGACCATCACCTTGGGCAACTCACTTTCCTTCTTTTCTTCTCTTATTTTTTTGAGATAGGGTCTCGCTATGTAGTTCAGGGTGGCCTCAAACTCAAAGAGATCCTCCTGCCTCGGCCTCACCAGTACTGGGATTACCGACATGGGTCAACACACCTGGCTTCACTTTTCCTCTTTCATCTTAGTTTCTCCTTCTGCTTAAACAGAATGAGGAACAAAACCCAACTTCAAAATGATTCTTAGGGCTCGTGTGAAATGCATTGGTGGACAGACATGCACATGACACTGGGTGCGTGGGGTGGCACAGCGTGGTCTCCGAGGAGGGAGGACTGGGTGGAGACAGCTGTGGCCCAGGAAGGAAGAGGAAGCACCGCAAACCTTCCCTCAGGTCAGCCCTCGGCCTCTGCTTCACGATGCTTTGCCTCTTGCCAAAGCCCTGGCTCTGAGCTAGACCTGGAAGTCAGGACGTGACGTCTTTCTACACCAGGTACAGCCACGAAAAGGAGGACACACACTTCCTCCTCTGGGTGCCAGCCCACAAGGCTGCCACTGAGATGTCATCAAAGCTGAGACACTCTGCCAGGTGTAGAGCCGCACGCTTCTGATCCCAGCACTTAGGAGCCTGAGGCAGGAGGCTCACTGTGAGCTGGAGGCCAGCCCAGGCTGCATAGCGAGACCTTTTCTCAGACACCAAACCAAACAAGGGATTTAGCTCAGCGGTGCTGCAGCCTGTCAAAAGCACAAGGTCCTGAGTTTGATCCCCGGTACCAAACCAACCAACAAACCAAACCAAACAGACAAGACACAAGCTCTACACAGAGGCCCTTCGCAGTGGGAGCACAGCACTTCCTCCTGTCTTTATTTGGAATGGCCCTATGTCTTTTGTTTTGTTCGTTTGGTTGTTTTTGGTACTGGGGATCAAACTCGAGACCTTGCGCTTTCGAGGCAGGCACCGGAACCACTGAGCTAAATCCTTGGCCCAAATTAAAAATTTTAAAAAGATCGGATGATGTAGTTCAGCAGGAAGGACCTGGGTTCAATCCCAGTGCTGGAAAAACAAAAAGGAAGGAAGTCACTGTGGGGGTTTAGAGCTGAGCTCAAACTTGTGATCCTCCTGCCTCAGCCTCCTGAGTAGCTGGAATGACAGGCGTGTGCCACCACGCCCTGCTCCGTAAATGCTTTTCCCGAGTAGCACACTGCAGGTGCCGGATGGATCCAGGCGACACAGCAAAGTACACAGGGTCAGCTCAACTTCAGAGGCAGCGCTCCAAGGCGCGAAGCCCGCCCAGTGTCGCGCATGCGCGAGGGCGGGCGGCCGCTCAGCCACGGTCGGTCGGGCCTCACTCACCAATGTACTCCTCCACCTGCACATAGCCATCCTTGTCCTTGTCCAGGTCCTCCAGGGTTTCCTGGGGAAAGAGTGTCGGGTGGGCTTGGTGCACTGGCTCCGAGGGGGGCTTGTTTTTTGTTTGTTTTGGTCTCACTAATAGTCTAGACTGGCCTTGAACTCATGGCAATCCTCCTTTCTCAGCCTCCCAAATGTCAGGATTACAGGTGTGGCTGCCACATCCTGATGAACAAGACAGCTTCTGTGCCCCAGTTTTACAGCCAGATTCATTTAGTATAAAATGGTGTGTGAATCTGACACTGCCATGATGTCTTTACCTTGAGCAGACTCAAGTTCCAACTTTTTTGCTTTTTGTTTTTTTGAGCTGGAGGCTCTGCCACTTAGGCTGGTCACAAACCCAGACCCAAGTGGTCCTCCTGCCTCAGCCTCCCAAGTAGCTGGGACTACAGTTGTGTGCCACCACATGGCAAGTCCCAAATTTCAGACTGGATAGAAAACAGAATGATGACATTTTAATCTTCTGTTTTCTTTCTTTCTTTTTTTTTTTTTCCTTGTACCAGGGATTGAACTTGGGACCTTGCACCTGCGTGGCAGGCAGCGGAACCACTGAGCTAAACCCCCGGCCCCGATGACATTTTAATCTTAATTAATTAGTTAATTAATTTTGTGGTACTGGGGATTGAATCCAGGGCCTTCACACTGAGCTACATCCCTAGACTTAAAAAAAATTCTTTTAAATTTTGAGACATGGTTTTGATAAATTCCTAAATTGCCCAGGTTGGGCTTAAACTTTTGATCCTCCTGCTTCAGCCTCCCAGAGTGATAAGATCACAGGTATGTACCACCATACTAGGCTACATTTGAATTTTACATGACAACAATAATTCTTTAGTATATTGGATTCAGTATTCGACAGATCCTTACAGCATGAGTTACATTTGCATTTCAGATAAACAAATCATTTTGCACTGTAAGTATGCCCCAAATGTTGTGGGAGATACACTGATACTAAGATGAATGCTGTATAGGAGAGTAAAGAATTCATTGTTGGAGCTGGGTATGGTGGTGCATACCTATAACGCCAGCACTTGGGAGGCTGAGGCAGGAGGATCACCATGAGTTCCAGGCCAGCCTGGGCTAAATAATGAGCTCAAGATTAGCCTAAACTACACAGAGGGACCTTGTCTCAAAAAAAAAAAAAAAAAAAAAAAAGAATTAGTTGTTTATATTATGTGTTGTTAAAAATCCAACTGTAGGGCTGGGGATTTAGGTCAGTGGTGCTGCCACCTGCCTCCCAAGTGCAAGGTTGTGCTGAGTTCGATCCTCAGTACCCCCCCCAATTCAACTATAGAAGCCACGTATAGGGACACCTGTAATCTCAGCACTTGGGAGGCTGAGGCAGGAGGATCATTGATAATTCAAGGCCAGGCTGAGCTACATGAGACCCTATGCCAAAAAATAAAAATAAACATGGGCCAGGGATTTAGCTCAGTGGTGCCACCTGCCTCACAAGAGCAAGGTCCTGAGTTCGATTCCCAGGTACCTAAATAAATAAATAAAACAATAAACAAAACAAGATAAGAAGGGCTGGTGTTGTAGCTCAGTGTAAAGGGCCTGGGTTCAATCCCCATTATCACCAAAATATGAAAAGAAAGAAAAAGAAAAGGGAGGTTGGGCCTAGCACGGGGAGTCTGTAGGCCTGGGTCAGACTTGTTGGCTGGCCTCCTAAGACCACCAGATGTCACCTTTCCTCTCTGGACCTCGGTGTCCTGTCCGTCTCCGAGTTCCCCATATACCTCACCTTGCAGGACAAATGTAGTACATAAAATGCCTAGAAATCTCATCACGCCTAAAACCCATCCTCCTGACCCACAAGCTTTATCCTTCAGTTCTGCGGGTCCGTGCTGTGAAACAGAGGTTCAAAGTTATTCCGTGTCCTCTGCAACAGCAGCTGCTGCCCTGCCAGGGATCCTGTTAAGCAAAGGACAGCAGAGTGGCCGAGGAATACTACGAAGCCCAGGAAAGGGAGCACCCTCTCCTGTGTGCCTGTTAGGCAGAGTCGGCCATTAGCCCAAGGGAGCCAGTGCCCCAGGCTACTTGGCAAGTGAAGAAGACCTGGTGTTTTCTTCCTTCCTTTTCTTAATCATTAGGTGTAGATTAGATTCATGGCACTGTGCCTGCAAACTTTGGCCTAAGGGCTGGTGACCTCCTCTGAGAGCCCCGATAAGGGCCCGGGCCTGGACAAAGGTCAGCGTGGATGAGGGGTTGGAGAGACCTCGAGGTCTCAGAACAAACTGCAGGGAGAACGTCCAGCCAGGAGGACACAGCCCCTGCTCTGCAGTGCTCACTAGCATGCTGGCTTCCCTGAAGGGCCCGGTTAACCACAGAAATGGAGCCCGAACTGTAACGGGCATCTGCCACTGTGGGCATGGTCACTGCCATGCTTCAAGGTGTTTCTCTGTCTCTGAAAACCCAGCACTTTGCAATGACCCCTGCCACACCAGGTGTGATGGTGCACGCCAGGAATCCCAGCACTCAGGAGGCTGAGGCAGGAGGATTGCAAGTTGGAGCCAAGCCTGGGGATCTTAGTGAGAGAACCAATCTCAAAATAAAATAAAAATTAAAAAATAAAATAAAATAGTGAGTCCTAAAACCAGGTGACAGCCAGCCCAGGAAGATGCTGGAAGGCAGGACCTTGCACCGTCCCTGAGGGCCACAACAGGCACTCACGGCTACCACGATGTCACGCATGTGCGGAAACTCCTCAGGGTGCAGGAAGGCTGTCAGTTCCTCCCGAGTGGCCATCGAGTCCCCATCCTGGTCGGCTACCCGGAAACGGCGCTCATCCCTGGCTAGCATCTTCTTATAGGTCTCGGGATCCTCCACATCGTGGAATTCTTCCCCTGGGAGGGATGGACCCGGCGAGATGGTCTCAGAGGGGGAGGCCAGGTGTGGAGGGAGAGACAGGGGACAGGGTGGGGGCAGGACAGGTCCCGAGTGCAGAAGCATTAACATGTACCAGGGATTTATATGTCATTTACACAGCTGGTGCGGTGGTGCATGCCTGTGATCCTAGCTCTCAGGAGGCTGAGGCAGGAGGATCACTGAGAGTTCCAGGGCAGCCTGGGCCACATATCGAGTTCAAGGCCACCGTGAACTACACAGAGAGGCCTTGTCTCAAAAATCAGTCAAGAAACTTATTATATAAGGGTTTTTTTGGGGATTTTTTGGTACTGGGGATCGAACTTGGGTCCTTCCGCTTGCAAGGCAGGCGGGGGAACCCCTGAGCTAAATCCCTGGCCCCATAAGTTTTTAATATACAATAAATTATGGTATATACTATTGGCTATCTTTATTTATTTATTTTTGCAGTACTGGGGTTTAAAAGCAGAGCCTTTGGGCTGGGGATTTAGCTCAGTGGTTCTGCCGCGTGCCTCGCAAGCACAAGGTCCCAATTCGATCCCTGGTACAAAAAAAAAAAAAAAAATGCAGAGCCTTTGCACTGAGCTACATCCTCAGTCAGTTTTTTTTTTTTTGAGACGGTGTCTCTCTATGTATTTCAGGCTGGCCTTGAACTCACTCTGTAGCCCAGGCTGGCCTTGAACTCACAGTGATCCTCCTGCCTCAGCCTCCCAGCATGCTGGGATTGCAGCTGTGCACCCCCATTCCTGCCTAGACAGCTAATTTATAGCAGGAACTTAACACATTCTAAGCTCTTTGCATACAATATTGCATTTAATGCTCACAAAAAGCAAGAAAATTGGGCTCTTCCGTTTTTTGTTAGTTGCTGAATGAGCAAGTGACTCCTGGCAGAGGAAACAAGGACACCAGGCCAGGGAAGGGGCTTTGACTGGGCACTGGCTCGTTTGGCCCCACAGTGCCTGATGCAGGAAGCTATCCTGACTCAGCTTCCTCCAAAGAAGGGAGGGAAGAGGATATGCGGGCTGCAGACGGTTGAGGAGATGGTGAGGTCTGGGACTCACAGAAAATCCACCCAAGGCAGCAGAGGCAGAGACAGAGCTGTGGGTGGGTGGAGCAGGGTGGAAGGAACAGGGCAGCCCTGAGCGGGGTGGGGCATCAGCTCTGGGGGTGCAAAGACCCTGTGGAGCCTGGAGAGCAGCTGCAGGTGAAGGGGCAGGGGGGCCAGACCAAACCACGGCGGGAGGGGCGCTGGGGCCAGAGGCTGGGAGCTGAGAAAACTGGGAGTCAGGGTTCAGGGCAAATGGCTTTAGGGTTGTCAGGTTAAGAGGTTAGAGGTCAGGGGTCAGGGGGTCAGGAACGTGGAAGACAGGGGTTCCGGTCAGGGATCTGAAGTCACCAGGCTACAAATATTAGGATCTCAGAGTGAAAAGCAAGACATCAGAAATCGGGGATCTCTTAAACCAGGCACAGGGGTGCATGTCTGTAATCTCAGCACTCTGGGAGACTGAGGCAGGAAAATCACCACGAGTGCGAGGCCAATCTGGACTAGGTAGCGAGACTGTCTCAACCCCCCCCCCCCACAAAGGAGTGTCAGAGTGATGGGGTCCTAAAATGGATCAGGGGACAAAGGTAGGGTGTCTGGGTCAAAGGGTTAATCGTCCTCAGAGCGAGGGAGTCAGAAGGCGGGGTCGAGGTGTGTGTCATGGGGAGCAGGCGTGTCGGGTTCCACGCGTACCGGGCGCGTAGTGACCATAGGTGGCGTTGCGGAGCTCCTCCCAACCCACGCGCCCGTCGCGGTCCGTGTCGTACGTGTCCCAGGCCGCGCTCACCGAGTCCCGTATGTGCCGCTGCTGCGTGTGCGCGATCCACGCACGAAGCTCGGCCAGCGACACCCAGCCATCCCCGTCGCCAGCACGGTCCATGCGGTCCACGATGCGCCTGAGACAGGGCGGGGCAGCGTCAGCCTCGGCCACACCCACATCTGGCCCCACCACCACCCAGGCTAAGGCCAGAGCAAGAGCCCGCCCCACCTGAGACAGCCCCCGTAGGGATGGACACGCAGTGCTTCAAGTGCTTCAACCGACAGGGTGGCGCACGGCTGTAATCCCAGCACTCTGGGAGGCTGAGGCAGAAGGATCGTAAGTTCAAGCCCAGCCTGAGCAATTTAGAGATTTAGCCAGGCCCTGACTCAAAATTAAAAAAAAAAAATAAAGGCCAGGAATGGTGGCACATGCCTGTAACCCCAGCTATTTGGGAGGCTGAGACAGGAGGATCGGAAAGTCGAGATCAGCCTTTGGCACCTGAGCCAAAACCATGTCTCACAATAACAAAATAGAAAGGGCTGGGGATGTATCATGGTGGTAAGACGACCCTGGGTTCGATCCCCAGTAGTGAAATAAATAAATAAAAGAAAAAATGCAGAGCTGGTTGTGTAGTTCAGTGTGAATGTGCTGGGTTCAATCCCAGAGCCAAAGGGAAAAACAAAAAAGCAGTCCTGGGGGGCTGGGGATTTAGCGTAGTGGTGCTGCCGCCTGCCTCTCAAGCGCAAAGTCCTGAGTTCGATACCCGGTACAAAAAAAAAAGCAGTCCTGGGTCCGAGGCAGAGCGGGACATATGTCAATCTCGGGACAGCGTTTACCATAGTGCCCCGCCCCTTGACCTAGACCCCGCCCCCCACCAGTAAAGCCCCGGACAAAACAGAGCCACGCCCTCCACTCTGCGCCCCGCCCCACCCGTACACATGCGCGGACTCTCTCAGGCCTGAGTTGGACGGGGAGAGACACGGAATCCCAAGCAGGCTGAGGCCCCGGCCCCACAGTCTCCGCCCCGCCCTTTCTGGGCGCAGGTCCCTCTCAGGCCCTGCCCGGCAGCTGCTCAGGCAGCTGCTCAGAGGCAGCTGCGCACCAGGCCCGCAGCCAGGCCCGGCCCCCCTCAGCCCGGGGAGCTCCACTCCTTCTTCCCTGACCCCGCCGCGTGTCACACCACATTAGGCTGCCTCGCCCCTTCTCGGCTCTTTCTCCCCTGGCCACCGTCCTGATCCTCGATCCACCGCTAACAGGGGCCCCGTGGGGCACCTCCTGTCATCATCCCTCTCCCCGGGGCCCAGTCCCAAGCCCCCTCTGGCCTCGCGAGTGACCGCCGTGGGTAAGAGGATCCAGTCCTGTGTGGCCGTGGGCAAGCAATCAACTTCTGTGCCCCTCTTAACCTTCTTGTAAAATGGGGCTAAATAACAGTACCTGCGCCACAGGAGGCTTGGGGATTAAATGTTAGGCCATTAAAGCCCCCGAGCAATGTGCAGACCTCTCCTTGCCCTCCTTCATATCCGCACAGCTTCCTGCCCTCAGAGCCCTTGCCTGGCTCTCATCTCAGAGAAGCACATCACAGTCCTGGGACCCAAAGGCCCTGTGGAAGACGACATATTCGCCCCTTCATCCTCACCTCCCACCCTCTCCCCTTTGCTCTCTGGGTTCCAGTTGCATGGGCTTTGTAAGCCTTAGGCACAGCAGCCAGCTCCTGCCTCAGGGCCTTTGCACTTATTACTGACTTATTATTGTTTCTCTCACTATGTGTGAACCTCTTGAAGTCAGGGAGTTTTGTTTGATTTGCTCCCTGCTGCGACTTCATCCTCTGGAGCGGTGCCTGCATGTAGTAGGTGTTCAGAAAACACTCGCAGGATGAACGGGCAACACTGGAATGCACTGGGGAGGGGTTGGCTGGTGGTGAGACCCCACTGAAAGTAGCTCACCCTGCAATTCAGGGCTCAGCCATTTTCGTGGCTGGACTGGGCTCCTTCCCCACAGAATCTCCTTCTCCACATCACCCCCGACAAGGAGACGAGACACATTTACAGAGCGGGCAACTGAGGCTGGAGGGAAGGTCTGGGACAACAAAACAGTGATCTGGGGTAGAATCTGGACCTAGCGTTTGCGACCATCAAAGGTCACAGTTTGAGGTGTCAATTCTTCTCTGTGATTTGGAGTCAGGCTCTTGCAGACTGTAATGCAGACTGGCCTTGAACTCCCTATTTAGCGCAGGCTGGCTTGGAGCTCTCATCAATCCTTCTGCCTCAGCCTCCCGAGTGCTGAGGTATCACTGGCATAGCCACCACGCAGCATTTCCATCCCTTACCCAAGGCGGGCCTGGCTTTCCTCTGGGGTGAGCTGGTCGAATTCTTTGGCCACTTCCCGTCCTAGGAAGGCCTCGTGGTCGTACTGGAAGTTTCCGTGGGCGTCGTCATGCGGGGCGTCACTCAGGGGGGCCGCCTGGTGTACCCTGGCCTGGCCGTGAGGACCGGCGTCCGGGGATGGCTTTCCCTGCGCCCCGCGCCGCAGCAGCAGAAGCAGCAGCAGCAGGAGTGACGGGCGCCACATCCTCCGTCCCTGGGAAGCAGCAGGTCAGGGGTCAGGGGTCACGGGGAAAAGGGCAAGAATGGATCGGAACCCGACCGGGGTGGCAGGGGTTACCTAGGACAGGAGTGGGAGCTGGGAGGTGCCTGCAGAAAGTTTGGGGCTCGGAGGGGCCGGGGATGGGGAGGCGGAGGACAAGGTGCCAGAGAGGGCCTCGACCTTCCGGGTCCCCAGGGGTCCCGAAGCAGACAGGTGTGGTCCCAAGGAAGGCGCGGAGCACGTCCCTCACAAAGCGCAGGGCATGGTGATAGGCAGAGAGGGTACAGCAGGACCCCCAGGTCACTCCCGGCCCGGGCCCTGACCCTGCGGCCGAGCCCCCTCCCTCATCCCCCCCAACACACGCCGCCGTTACCCTGTTATCCAGCTTCTCTCTGCTCCCCAAGCTCTGCTCCAGGCTCTCTCAAAGATGCCCAATTTGGCCGCCTTCCAGCCAGGCCCCACCCCGGCAGAGCCAAGACCACGCCCTCTGACCAATCAGCGCGCGCGAGGGACCGGGGGGCGTGGCCAATGAGCGGATGGGGGGAGTGCCGCGGGCCGCCCTCGCCACGTCCACAAAGGAAAGCTGGGTGGCCCAAGGAAGGTCGGGTGGGCGAAGACGGAGCGACGCGTCCTGGAAGAACCACAACTCCCGGCAGGCATCGGGGCGTCCTGCCTGACCACCTCCAGCGGCCCATTCTCTTTGTGGGGATGATTTAAGGAGGAGAACCAAAGGGCTGGAGACTTCATTCCTTTCCCTCTAAGAGGGAGCAACTCTTTTCTTCTGCTCCATCAAGGATTCAGAACATACTCCAGTCAACAGTTTCTTAGAATGCCTGGCATGGTGTAGGCAGTCTGTAAATATTCGTGAAACAAAGGCCGGGGATTTAGCTCAGTAGTTCTGCCGCCTGCCTCGCAAGCGCAAGGTCCCGAGTTCGATCCCCAGTACCAAAAAAGAAAAAGAAAAAGAAAGAAAAAAAAAAATTCGTGAAACTCATGAATGAAAAATGATAGAAAATTGGCAGATTCTAGAAGTGGGCATGATGGCGCACACCTGTAATCCTAGCACTCAGGAGCCTGAGGCAGGAGGATCGCCAGGAGTTTGGGCCCAGCCTGGGTTACATAGTGAGTTCCAGGCCAGCCTGGACTACATAGTGAGACCCTGTCTCAAAAAGCAAAAATAATTGGCAGATTCTCCCATGGCCACCTGTTAGCCATAGGAGTGACCTGAATCAACTCAAGGCCTGCCCCACCTAGTCCCCTACCCATTCGTTACCTCCCCAGCCTGCAAACTGAAAAGGATGGAGAACACACGGATTTGGGCCCAAACTCGTGTTTATATGTGAAGGTGGAAAGGGGCCAGAGATGTCGGGAGGGGACACTCAGGCAAACTCCGGCTGGGGCCCAGCATTTGTTCTGGAGGCTCAGACATCCAGGATTCCAGGGGTGTCATGGCAGAGACGCGACCACATCGGCCGGCAGCAGCGGGGCCGGGACGTCAGGCAGCACCGTTGGCGTCCGGAGAGTCGGGCTCCTGGGGCAGTCCGGGGCCGGGCAGCAGGGCCCCGATGTCGTCCCCGCGGAGGAAGATCCAGGGTGCTGAGGCGAGTGGGCGTCCAGGGGTCAGGGACTGCGGCTGCGGCGTGCGCGCCTGACCTTGCCTACCTCTGGGCCTCTGTCTCCCACTCCGCTCCGCTCTGGTCCCACCTCCCCCGGTCCCTTTCTCCAAGCCTCTGACCCCAGCTGCGTGTGCGCTGAGGCTCACCGCCTGCCTCACCTGGCAGCCCGCTCCGCGTCCTCCGCCACAGCAGGGCTCCTCCCACGGCCGCCGCTGCGAGCACCAGGAAGCCCATGACAAGGCCCACCACCACCGGCACGGAGGACTCTGCCGGCGACTCTGCGGCCGGAGAACGCCCGGGATGTGTCCAGCCCTCCACCCACCCCGGAGGCCCGGAAGTGGGGGTCCTGGCCCCTCCCAACCTCCAAGATGCCCAGGTGACACCCAGAACCGGGGCAGGATGTCCCAGGCTGAGTGTTGAGAATCAGCCATAGCAGCCGGGCGTGGTGGCGCAAGACTGTCATCCCAGCACTCAGGAGGCTGAGACAGGAGGATCAATACCCGTTCAAGGCCAGCCTGGGCGACACAGCGAGTCTCAAAAAAAGAAAAAAAAGAAAGAAAGAAAAGCCAGAACCAGGCAAAGCGAGAAGAGGTCACCCTGTCCAGGGACCTGCAGCAGCACGTGGGTGGTATCCTGCTTGCCAGAAGCAGCAGGCGCAGGGGCCCAGCTGTAGCAAGGCAGGAGATGGTCAGTCTTGGTGAGGGCTGGCAGTGGCACAAAGCAAATAGACTCCCTGAAGAGCAGCAGCAGCGGAGCAAAAGAGGACCGGCCACATGGCCGGCAGCTGCCCAGAATCTCGAGGGCAGGTGCTGCAGGGCGGAAGCAGCCAGACCCGGGAACACCGGCATTAGCAGGCACCGACGTCGCTGTGGCAGTAGACAGGGACACTCAGGGACCGGGACCTCCCCCGGGCTCACCCAGCTCCACTAAGAGCGGCTTCTGCAGCCCAGCGTGCTGCACCAGGCAGCGGTAGTGGTGCTCATCCCCGCGCTGCACCTGGAGCGATGACCACGCGTGGAAGGAGCCATCGCCGTTGGGGCCGAAGCCACCCACCCCGGTGCCGGCTGCCAGCCCGTTGCGCAGGAAGCGCAGCTGCAGCTCCGGGGGGTAGAAGGAAAAGGCGCTGCAGGTGAGCACGGAGAAGCCATTGATGTCAGGCCGGGCCTTCAGGCGCATGGAAGGCGGCTCTGTGGAGACAGGGCGGGGCAGTGTGTGCTACCATCCTGTGCCCTGTACTGGCCTGAGCCTGGAGAATGTAGGGGTAAAAGGGGGAGGACCAGGTGCAGTGGCTCAGGAGGCTGAGGCAGGAGGACCTCAGGTTCAAGTCCCGCCTGGGCAACTTAGCAAGGTTATGTCTCAAAATAAATCAACTTGCAAAAGTGTTGGGGGTGCAGCTCAGTGGCAGGGCACCAGCACACACCAGGCTTGGTTCAGTTCCAGCGATTCTCCCCTCCCATCCTCCAGAACCAGGACAAAGGGATTTGAGTGTCTGCCAGGCAGGGCTGGGCCTTGGGCTTTGAGCCGAGAGGGTGGGTCTTGCCATGCCCATCCTGCTTTGGTCAGCTCCAAGCTCAGCAGAAGCACAGTTCAGCGTTTCTCCGGAAGTGCAGCCTGCAGCCACGCTTCAAGTTTCTGGGTGGCCTGGGCGGGCGGATCTGTGTCCTTGTCCTGTGTCTTCGCTTTCTAAGAAGCACTCGCTCTGCCTTGTACTGGCCACCACATCACTTCTGTTTTTTTGAGATTGGGTCTCCATATCTAGTCCGGGTTGGCCTTGAACTCACAGTGAACCTCCTGCCTCAGCTTCCCAAGCTCTGAGATAACAGGCCTGTGTCACCATGCCTGGACCATATCACTTGTGTCTGCAGGGCACAGTGTTTACAATCTGGGCTAAATTCAAGCACAGAAAATTCACCTGGCCGTTCTTTCTGCTTAACAAGACACCTGGACCAAAAACATTGAAAAGAGGGCCAGGGATTTAGCTCAGTGGTGCCGCCACCTGCCTCACAAGTGCAAGGTCCCAAGTTTGATCCCCGGTACAAAAAAAAGGGTAAGAGTAGAAGAGTTGGAGATTTAGCTCAGTGGTAGATCACTTGTCTAGCAAGTGTGAGGCTCTGGGTTTGGTCCTCAGCACCGAAAATTTTTTTAAAAGGGCCAGGGATTTAGCTCAGTGGTGCCGCTGCCTGCCCCGAAAGCACAAGGTCCCGAGTTCAATCCCTGGTACCAAAAAAAAAAAAAAAATGTAGAAAGAGTAGTTTCAAAAAAAAACAAAACAAAACTCGTTTCTTGGGCCGGGGATTTAGCTCAGTGGTTCCGGCGCCTGCTTTGCAAGCGCAAGGACCCGAGTTTGATCCCCAGTACCAAAAAACAAAACAAAACAAAAAAAACCCATATAATTGACCAGCAGGTATATTAAAGATATTCAATGTCACTAATTATCAGGTAAATGCAAATGAAAAGCATGAGATATAAGCTCATCAGATTGTGATGGCTGCTACCAAAAACTCACAGAGGAAAGAAAAATAATCGCAAGCATTGTCCCGGATTCGGAAAGGCTCCCCTGTTAGTGGGAGGTGAAGGGTGCAGGGTGTGCAGTGTCCTGGAGAATGAAAGCTTGCTCTATGGCGGGACCCAGCATCTCACTTCGGGGTCTCTGTCCCAAGCTGAAATCAGGATCCCCGAGAGATACTGGACGGCAGCCTTACTGAAGGCAGCCTGGGGTGGACGCAGACTTGTATGGTGACAGATGAAAGGGTAAGAAGGCTTGTGGCCTCCACTATTCAGCCTGTAAATCAAGGCGCTCCCAAGGTGGGGTGGGGTAGGGGTGCCTTAATCCTGGCACTCAGGGAGGCTGAGGCAGGAGGATCTCAAATTCCTGCTCAGCCTGGGGAACTCAGCAACTCAGTGAGACCCTGTCTGAAAATAAAAAATTAAAAGGCTGGGGATGTAGCTCAGTATAAAGGCCCTGGGTTCAAGTCCCAGTACCACGAAATATAAAATTGAAAAAAACAACAAAACCAACTGTTTTAGGCTATAACAGGGATGAAGCCCTGAGGATGTTATGCTCAGGGAAAGAAGTGGATCTCAGAAGGACAAATTCTTTCTTTTTTTTGTGGTACTGGGTTTAACTTTTTTTTTTGTACTGGGGATTGAACTTGGGGCCTTGAGCTTGTGAGGCAGTCGCAGCACCACTAAGCTAAATCCCCGGCCCAGAAGAACAAATTCTACATGCTTCCACTTGCAGGAGTTGTCAAAAGTACCAAATTTGGGGCTGGGGATTTAGCTCAGTGGTTCCGCTGCCTGCCTTGCAAGTGCAAGGTCCCGAGTTCGATCTCTGGTACTAAAAAAAAAAAAAAAAAAGTACTAAGTTCATGGGAGAGAAAATAGAAGGGAGATCACCATGTGCTGCAGGATGGAGAAATGGTGTCACAGCACAGTGGAGACAGAGTTTTAGTCACCAAGCTACAAAAGGTCTAGAAATCGGCTGTGTGAGGCTATGTGCCTGGTACTGTATTTTTTTTTTCTTTTTTTTGTGGCAGGGTCTCACTATGTAGCTCAAGCTGGCCTCAAACTCACAGCGGTCCTCCTGCCTCAGCCTCCTGAGTCCTGGGGTGACAGGTGTGCACCACCATGCCCACCTATAGTTCCCTTTTGGTTTTGGTACTGGGGATCGAACTCAAGACCTTGCACTTGTGAGGCAGGTGGACCCATTGAGCTAAATCCCGGGCCCAAAGTTCCCGTTTTTTAAACTTGGCAAAAAATTAGAATAAACATTCCAAAAAATATCACACATGCAGGTGGCCAAGAATGTGAATGTGTCATCAGACAACAAAAACAAAATCATAATGAGGTCTCACTGCATACTCGTCAGACTGGGTAATATGAAAGACCGGAAGTATTGATTTCTCCCAAGTCTGGATTGACTAGAACTCTACACAGCTGCTGGGAGAAAACAGTCAGTTGATCGGATTACTACCCTGGGGCTCACTGATCCCATTCAGAGGCATTTCCTAAGAATAAATAAAAATACAGATCCACAAATAAAGAGAAATGGCACCCGCCTGTAGTCCCAAGTACTTAGGAGGGTGAGGCAGGAGGATCACTTGAGCCCTGAAATTCAAGGCCAGCCAGCCCGGGCACCATCGTGACAGCCCACCTCAAAAAAAAAAAAAGTAGGAGAATATTCATAGGAAGCCAGACATGGCAGTTCACGCCTCTAATCCCAGAACTCTCTGAGAGGCTGAGGCAGGAAGGTTGATCACTCAGCCTGGGCAATTTAGCGAGACTCTCTCAAAAAATAAAAGGGGGCTGGGCATGTAGCTCAGTGTGAAGGCCCTGGGTTTGAACCCTTGCACCACAAAAATAAAATAAATAAACAAATAACTAAATGGTGTGGCCCGAGGAACCCTGAAGGGCAGGTGGGGAAATACTCTGTCCAGATGGTCAGGATGGGCTGGCATCCAAGGCTGAAGATAAGGCCCGAGTGGGTCTGGCCAGGACAGGACCCCAAGCACAGGGTCCCCTGCAGCACGAACAGCAAGTGCAAAGGCCGGGAAGGCAGAGCTGGCACTGGGAGGAGGGGAGAGAGAAGCTGCAGGCTGCAGACTGGGGAGCGGACCTGGGGTTTTACCCTCAGACTCACAGGAAGCCACTGGCAGCTGGAACCGGGAGCCGTGGGCGCTGGCTGTTTGGAAGCATGCCCCTGACTGCTGCAGGGTGCGTGGGGTGAGGTGCAAGTGGGAGACCAGGGCTGGGGATTTAGCTCAGTGGTTTTGCTGCCTGCTGCGCAAGCTCAAGGACCCGAGTTCCATCCCCAGTACCAAAAACAAAAACAAAACACAAAGCAAGTGGGAGACCACAGTGAAGGGCATGAAGGACACAAGAGCTCTAAGTGCAGGGGGGAGGTGGTGGTGAGGTGCTGCCTGTTGTCCCAGCTTCGTAGGGAGGCTGAGGCAGGAGGATCACTTAAACTCTGGTGTTTGAGACCAGCCTGGGCAATGTAGCCAGACATCGTCTCAGAAACAAAACACGCGATAGTATCTGAGAGTTCATAATAATACTTAGACAAAATAAAACCCACTGATCCCTTCAGAGGTTGCTAGCTGATGATCCAAATTCTAGACAATAACCAGGCATGGTGGCACACTCCTGTCATCCCAGCACTTGGAAGGCTGAGGCGGGAGGCCACCCTGGGCTACATAGTGAGAGGTGCTGTCTCAAAAAAACCAAATCCAAAAAATATTTTGTTTTGAGTCACAATCAAGTCTAGATCATGCTATCACTTTACAGAACAGAAAAACAACCAAGTTCCACAACATCATAGATATGCAAAGAGCGAAATCCAGCCTGGGCAAAATCCAACAGAGCAAATAACTGACTTTCTTCAAAGGAATTTACTAGGAAAGGAGAGAGAGAGAGAGAGAGAGCGCTACAGATTTGAAGACATTCCCGGTCACAAAAATTAACTCAAGGGCCGTGGATTTAGCTCAGTGGTTCCGCCGCCTGCCCTGTAAGCACAAGGACCTGAATTCGATCCCTGGTACCAAAAAAAAATTTAACTGAAGTCGAAGAAGCATGGACCTAAATATGAAATGCAAAACCCTAAGAGTCCCTGAGATAAACAGAAGATGTGGGGGACCTTGGCCTGGCGCTGTCAGCTGATGCCATCCCGCCAGACAGTCCAGAAGAGAAAGAGTGATAACTCCAACTTCATTAACGCTACAAGCTTCTGTGTCATGATATTAAGAGAATGAGAAGATCAGCCAGCAGTGGAGGCTGCACGATATCTCTCCACAGGACACCATCTGACCAAGGGCTGGCTCCAAAACACAGATCTCAAAACTGAATAATAGGGGCCGGCGATTTAGCTCAGTGGCACTGCTGCCTGCCTCGAAAGCTCAAGATCCTGAATTCAATCCCTGGTACCAAAAACCCCCCACAAAACCCCTTTTCTCTCTCTCTCTCTCCCTCCCTTTCCTTTCCTTCATTATCATTATTTTTTTAAATTTTTTGGAGTCTTGCTAAGGAACCCAGGCTGGCCTTGAGTTCTCAGCAATCCTCTTGGCTCAGCCTCTGTAGTGCTGGGATTACAGGTGTGAACCACCATGTCGGCTCCCCAGTGCTGTTTCACTTTTCATTTTGAGAGAGGGTCTCACTAAGTTGCCAAGTGGTCCAGGCTGGTTTTGAAATTGTGATCCTTCTGCCTCAGGATCCCAGAGTGCTGGGATCACAGGTGTGTACCACCACGCCTAGGCAATGTTGATGTATTAATACGGGAAATACTCTACATGTGAAATTACCAAAGTTTAAACTAAGGTGGGGTGAGGAGGAAGCAGGTGAGGATGTAGGCTAACATGAACCATTGTAGGTGGTAATTTTTTTTTTTTTGGTACCTGGGATCAAACTGGGGTCCTTGCACTTGCAGGGCAGGTGGCGGAACCACTGAGCTAAATCCTCAGCCCAGTGGTAATTTTTTTGAATTTGTTTTTTGAGGCAGGGTCTTGCTATGTAGTTCAGGCTGGCCTTAAACACACAGCAATTCTCCTGCCTCAGCCTCCCAAGTGATGGGATTACTGGCATGCACCACCATGCCCAGGGTGTTGCTACTTATTGAGTCATAGGAATGATATTATACTATTCCCTCTACCTAAATGAGCTTGAGAATTTCCATAATTAAAAAAACAACAACAAAAATCACCTGCTCAAGTCCCCCTTCTCTTTTGTGAATATGTGGGCCACCTTCTGGGGACATCGGTGTCCCAGCAGCCTCTACCCAGCAGCAGGAGGGGACACACGCACCCTGCCCTCTTTTGCCACTGAGCCACCCATGCTCAATAGGGGGGTCTTGTGCACGTGGAGGGGGGGTTCCAGGAGGAGGCGACACCCATGAGGGCCCCTAAGACGGGAAGGTGCCGAAGAAACAGCCAGCATGGGCCGCGAAGGGTCAGAGTGGGAACAGTGCTTGCAGCAGAGTGGTGGGTGTGCTGCAGTGCAGCTGCTGGGTGGGTGGCGACCTGCAGCTGGGTGCTGAGGAGGACAGTGAAGCAAGCAGCTGGACTCGAACTAGGGCACTGCATGGCAGCCAAGGTGGGGGGGGGCAGCAGCTCTGCAGGGCTTTGGGGGGGCACCTGAGGTGGGGGGAGGGAGGATGGAGATGATGCAGTGCTGTGATCCCAGCACTCAGAGGCTGAGGCAAGAGGACCACCCTGAGTTCGAGGCCAGCCTGGGCTACATAGCGAGATACTGTCTCAAAAACAAAGAGAGCTGAGCGTGCTCACCCTTCCACTCCAGGTTCCTGTGACCCCGCTCCAGGTGGCCCAGCAGCCGCTGCGGGCAGGAGCTGAGCAGGAAGGTCCTCTCCTTGTCCACGGCCTCGGCCTGCTGCTGCCACTTTGTGCTGATGGCCAGGGCCTCGGGCCAGTCACCCGTCCAGGTGCCGTTCCTGGGGTGGAACTGCATGAGGTCCTCGCCGTTCAGGGCGAACAGGGCAGTGGGCACCGAAGTGTTGTCAGAGCTCAGCTCACAGCCCAGCAGGCCCTGCAGGGTGTAGGGACCTGGGGTGGCTAGGACAGGGGAGGGGTTGAGGAGCAAGGTTGGCCTCCTCCCTCAGACGCGGGGGTCCAGGCCCGGCCTCCTCCTCCAGACCCGGGGTCCAGGCCCCACCTTTTTCCTCCAGGGCTTTGAGAGCGTCCAGGAAGAGCCTCTCCTTGTTTCTCAGGTCTGTCGTCTCCTCCTCCCAGTACCAGGACACCTGTTTTTCCCAGACCCAGGCCCCGCAGGGCTCGGCCTCCTTGCGCAGGCTGCTGTAGCTCAGGTACTGCTGTGGCCCCAGCCAGCCTGACACCCAGAAGGCAGGTGACCCTGAGGCAGGGGACGACACAGCTGTGAGGTGGTACAGGAGGCACAGATGGTTCTCTGCGGGGAGAAACGGGGATGGACACAGTCAGTGGGGTGGGGGACCCACAGTCTGAGAGACGTGACTCCAGCCAGGGGAGGGGACTGACTTGGAGAGAGTTGGACAGGGACCCAGAGAGAGGGGGACTGATGGGCTCCGGACGGTCCGGGAGAGGAGGGTGCAGACCGCCGAGGCCAGGAAGCTGGGCGGGGAAACTCAGAGCCGCCTCCTCGGCAGGCAGATCCCCGCTCCCCGCTCCCCCCCCCCCCCCCCTTCGGTCGCCTTCGCCGCTCACCTGCGCCCGAGGTCTGAGGCAGGAACAGGAGCAGGAGCAGGAGACTGAGCGCCCAGGGCTGCGGCCGGGGCTCCCCCATGCTGAGAGGGCGACCTGGGGCGGGAGGGCACGTGACTTGGCTGGGGACCCGCCCGGCCCCGCCCCTTCCCCCGCTGGCCGGGACACTCCCCAGCCGGGACGGGAGACCCCAGGTTTGGGGGTCCAGGCCAGGGTGACAGTGCCCTCCGGCTCAGTGAACTTTCACCCCCGAATTTGATCCGGTTTGGTTAATTAATTACAGAACCTGGACAGGCCGAAATTCGCTTCGTGGAGTTCTGTCCACCCATCTCCTTCCTCGGACCCCAGGGTCCGGGCCCGGCCGCCTCCCTCACCCCTCTGTCCAGCGTCCAGCGAGTCCTTCCGGCCTGCAGCCCTGGCTCTCGTGACTGGAGACCCCAGTTCCTCTCACACATCCTGTGGGAGGTTGCTCGCGGACTCCCAGCGTGGGCCCACCCCCGCCGCAGGGCACACCCCAGGCCCTAGGCCCAGCCTCTCTGGAGCGTTTCCCCTCGTGCGTCTCCGCTGCACTTCAAGCCAGAGCTGGGAAGGGAACCCACTGCCTCAGGGGAGTGCAGATGTCCAGGGTCCCGCTACGGCTTTGCAGGGACTCCTAGGGCCACCCAGGATTCTCAAAGGACCTCACTTCTATGGCCAGTTGCCCTATTTACATCTTCTTTTTTGGTTGGTTGGCTGTTTTTCAGACAGGCTATGTAGTGCAGGCTGTCTTCAAACTCCTGCAAACCTCCTGTCTCAGGCTCCTGAAAGCTGGGATTACAGGCGCACTACTGTCCCCAGCGCCATTCACATTCCGAGGTCCTGGAACAACGGCCCTGGCAGGGCAGGTGCCTGGTGTCCCACCTTTAGGCTTCCCGGCACCCATCCCGCCCCTGGCCTCCTGCTAGGACGCCTCCTGGACCGTGGGGTCTCAGGGTGAATTCTTGCCTGCACCCTCCGGCCCGCTTCTCCCCGTGGCGCCAGGTGCTGCCAGCTCTGGATCCAGTGCAGGCTCCTGGTCTGGAGGGGCAGTCTCATCTCCGGGCCTCTGTGGTCTCCGAAGGACGTGCTGGGTCTCTGATGGTCTTGGCCCACCCACCTCGAGCCTGGTGAGACCCAGCTGCTGCCAGGAGCCAGCTCTAACGTCCTGGGCATCCATTTCAGCTGGGATCCCGCGAAATGAGCCCTGAGCTGGATGAAACCGATGCTGAGCCTCATCCCTGGGTCACTTTGGGCCCTCTCTGGCCCCAAGGGCAGCCAGTTCCCCTTCCTTTGTGTCTGCTGTCCCCAGACCACTCCTGGGTACCCTCTATAATCAACCCCTCCCCGAAGATCCTGTCACCCACAACCTCCCCAGGAAAGATGCATAGACAGCTGGGGAAGTGGTGGGTAGGGAGACAGAAAAATAGACAGGCAGCTAAACTGTGCTTGGTGTCACACACCTATGATCCCAGCACTCAGGGAGGCTGAGGCAGGAGGATTGAAAATTCCAGCCTAGCCTGGGCAATTTAGCAATTTAGTGAGACCCTGTCTCAAAATAAAAAAGAAGGGCTGGGGATTTAGCTCAGTGGTTCCGGCGCCTGCCGCGAAAGCACAAGGTCCCAAGTTCAATCCCCGGTACCAAAACCAAAAACAACAAAAAAGAAAGTTATTGCTTCAAAATAAAAAAGAAAAAGGGCTGGGGATGTAGCTCAGTGGGAAGGCCCTGGGTTCAACCCCCAGTACTGCCAAAAAAAAAAAAAAAAAAGAAAGGACAGGTAGATGGGTTGGCTGGTGGAGAAATAGATGATTAGTAAGTAGAACAGACAGATGGATAGAAACAATCAGCTCTGATTCACAACAAACAAAAATCAAGCCAGGTGTGGTGGTGCAGAGCCGTGAACCCACCAGATCTTGGAAGGCTGAGGCAGGATTGCAAGTTCCAGGTCAATCTAGGGTACACAGCAAGTCCTTGCGAAAAAGGTCTTGAGGCTCCTCGGTTGTACCGTGAATCCAAACTGGGTGCCTTGGAGCCCCCAGGGAGTACCCAGGGCTGTGAGCGCCCCCTAGGCTTTCACTTGGACTCCATCGGGACCCTCTCATGCGTGACCCGCAGGGCCTCCTGCAAAATGACGACGTCGGGCCCCTTGTGTGATTGCAAGGAGGCTCACGCACAGTCTGGCACCAGGCGCCGGTCCCTTCTGATCGGCCCCAGGCACCGCGGAGCTGGCCCGGAAGCTGGCGCGTGCCGGCGGCTTCTGTACTGTGAGCGCCCAGGACAACTCTGAACCTGTGCCCGACTGTGCACCTGCACGCAGCGCCACCTAGTGGCCAGGGGAGGCCATCACACCTGAGCCAAAACCAACTCGCAGGCTCCTCCAGGTCCAACTCTCTGAGCCTTGGTTGGTTTGTTTTTGGTACTGGAGTTAGAACCCCTGCGTCCTCACACTGAGCTACATCCCCAGTCCTTTTTAAAGGGTTTTTAATTTTTTGAGATGGTCTTGCTTTATAGTTCAGGCTGGCCTTGAACGCATTATGTTGCTCAGGTTGGCTTTCAAATTTGTGACATTCTCCTGCCTCAGCCGCTTGAGTACTGGGATCACCGGTGGGCACCACCACTTGCCCTCTGGTTTATCTACAAATGGGGACAATAACTGTACCTATCTCAGTAAGAGGCTTTGGGGACCCAAGGTTTGGCTAGGGGCACCAGGCACAGAGTAAGGGTGTCAGGAGTGGCACCTCCTCCCCTCAGCCCCTTACCAGGCCAGGCAGCTGTTGAGGTCCCCACAGGGCCCTCTGGGGGGCTGGCTCTCTGAGGGGAGGCTGGGACGGGCCTTGCTGGCTCCTGGACCCACCCCGAGGTTGGCAAAGGAACAGGCAATAATGAAGGACCTGGATGCCAGGGATGTCTCCGGAATGCCCTGCCATCCTTCCGGGGCCTCCGTAGCCTATACGCATCTGGAAACCATTGGAACCATCAGAGGCCTGAGGTTATAACATGTAACAGGGCTGTAACATGCAACCGCTCCATGGTGGAGCACCTGCCTAGTATGTATAAGGCTCTGGGTTCCATCCCCAGCACTGCAAAATAATAATAAGACGTAGCGATAGACCCCAGACTCAGGCAGTGCTGGAACTTGCTTCGGGGTTGCTCAAACACACACACACACACACACACACACACACACACACACACACACACAAATGCCAAATGCCACTGGGTCAGTCCCCCCAAACAGCTTACAGAACTCAGGAAAAACTCAAATGAATTCAGCTTCCTGCTACCCAAATAGTACACTTTATTTGGAGAAAACAAAACAAAAACAAACAAAAAAAATCAAGCCAACCAATTGGGAGTGGTTGAGCATGTCTGTAATCCCGCCACTGGGCGGCTGAGGCAGGAGGATCGCTGTGAGTTTTATTTTGCTTTTATTTGTTGTTAATTGCTGAGTTTTAGGCCAACCTGAACTACACAGTGAGACTGTCTCAAAAAAAAAAAAAAAGAAAGAAAAAGAAAAACCCAGCTAAACAAACAAACCAGGATTCCACAACCATATGATAGCTCTGGGGCTACCTGCCAAAGACCTTATCCTTGGGTCTGCCCAAGGGGCCACAGGCCAGGTGGAGCCTTTCTGACCATGGCTCAGGGTCCTGACAGCCCCAGTTTGGAGCCTCCCCTGGGGCTGGAGCCAGAACCACTGGGCAGAGTGGGAGGCAGAGGCTAGGGTGAGCACCGTGGGACCCATGGTTCCCTCCACAGCCGCTCTGCTAGGCTGCCTGGTGTTCTGGTGCCGGGGCGGCCCCAAGGCTCATATTCCCTAGGGCAGCAGGGTCGGCCAGAGGCCCAGGTAAACTGAAGCAGTGTCTTCGAGGACCATTGGGCAGGAAGGAAATGGGTTCCACCTGACTGGACAGGGTAATAAAGCCATGAAGGGTGACAGGGCTGGAGGCTCGCCAAGTGGAAATAGGTTGGTGAAGATAAAGACCAGCCACTGAGGGAGCGAGGGGGGTGGATGAAGCTGGCCTGGTGGTGCCTGCCTGCAACCCTAGAACTCTGGGAGGCTGAGGCAGGAGGATTTCAAGTTGGAGCGCAGTCTGGAAACTTAGTGACTTGGCAAGACAGTGTCTCAAATAAAATAAAGGGCTCGGGGTAAAGGCCCTGGGTTCAATCCCCATCATGGAAAAGGAAGGAAGCTAGTTGAGCATGGGCCAAGGGAGTAGGAGAGTGGGGGCTGGAGCCAGGCAGAGTGGGTGGAGGGTGGAGGGGCCCCAGGGTCTTCAGGGCTTCCTCCTTGTTCTGCTGCATCCCCCGCCAGGCAGCACCCGAAGTGAGCGTGTGCCTGGGAACCGAGGTGATGGGCAGCGAAGGAGACACCCCAGTGTCAGTGTCTCCGGAGGAAACCGGGAGCAGAGCTGTTGTAAACATCACCCCACCCTGCGCGGAAGCACCTGCGGCTTGAGGCCCGCACCTCCCGGCGCCCCCTCCCGGGCCGTGACCCCAGTGTCCCGGATTGCACCTCCTACCCCCCCACCCCCGTCTCGACCAGGAGAACAGGGCAGGCCCCACCGGGTGTGCCCCCCCCCCCGCCCTTCCTGCCCGCCCGGTGTGGGCCACTTCCTCTGCAGCAGCCCCCGCCCTCTGCCGGGTAAAAGGCAGTGCCGGCGGCGAGGTGCGCATTCCTGGTGGCTGCTCCTCTCCTCAAGGCCCTGTCTCCCAACCCTCGTACCAGTGCTGCCCCTCAGACGCTGGTACAGGCCTGGGGGGCAGGGACTTGGGGACCCCGGCACTGCGGACCGAGGCGAAGGCACCGGGGGACCCCAGCATCTCGTTGCCCTCTGCCCGGGACGGCCTGGATTCCCGTCAGGTGCAAGTCCTTTCTTCTTTCTTGTGAGATAAGGCCTCGCTACAGTGCTTTCGGCGATTTTCCTGACTCAGCCTCCCCATAATGGGATTATACTGTATTTTCTGAATGTTTGAGTGATATGCTGTGGGGTGCAGTGGGTCCACCCCTCCACTCAAAGCTTCTGCAGTCCCCTCTGACCCTCCTCTTCTACAGTGGATGGTTTTTTTTTTTGGTACTGGGGATCAAACTCGGGACCTTGTGCTTGCAAGGCAGGCGCCAGAACCACTGAGCTAAATCCGCGGCCCTGCAGTAGATGCTCTCAGAGTCGTCCCAGCTCTCACTGCCATCCTGACCGTGTTCCCACCTTGGGTCTACTGAGTACCCTGCTTCCTCAAGAGCTAGGCTCCAAGGTGGGCGAGGTGGTGCAAACCCGTAATCCCAGCACTGTGGGAGGCTGAAGCAGGAGGATCATGAGTTCAAGCCCAGGATGAGCAGCTTAGCAAGATCCTATCTCAAAAAGGGGGTGGGTAGACGGGAGGGACTGGGACGTTTCCTGGTGCTGAGTTCAATGGTGTGTGTGCGTCTGTGTGCATACTGGGATCTCCTTGTTGGGTCTTTTTTCTGGTACCAGGCATTGCACTTGGGTCCTTGCGCTTGCAAGGCAGGCGGCAGTGGAACCACTGAGCTAAATCCCTGGCCCTTTGGTGGGTCTCTTCCAGGCCACTTGTCCTGGAGGCCTGTCCCCTAGGGCTGGCATGTGCTCAGTGGTAGAGCACTGGCCTAGCATGCTCAGCCCTGGATTAATCTCCAGTACAGCAAACAAAACCCCCAACCCCTTATGTCTGGAGGTAGCCAGTGCAGTGCTAGTGCATTTCTTCCTGAGCCTGAGGCCTGGGACCCATCACTCACTGGGCTCCAGGGGGTGGTGGTAGGACCTGCTTGTTCCCAGGTGTTTGCTCAGCAACTGCCCCCCACAGCTGCAGGGGAGGCAGGAGGCTCAGGCAAAGCCCAGAAGCAGGGGACCCTCCTACTAAAGCTGCAGCACAGGGCAGCTCCACCCTCCTCACTCACTTCCTCCCCAGAGCCGGGGTGTGGGGGCACAGGCAGCAGGAAGGAGCCAGGCTCATCCACTCAGACATCAGGCAAAGTGACAAGGGCCAAAAAAGGAGGTGGGAGGCAGCCGGCGGGACAGCCAGGCCACCTCATCCACACACCAGAGCCCCACTATGACAGATCCAAGCCTGGTCCATGGTAAGAGCCAAAATAACTTTATTCCCTTGGGGTGGGGGGTGTGGCCAGGTGACATCAGAACTTTTGGAACTGCTTCTTGGTGCCCGCGGCCTTGGTGACCTTGAGCACGTTGAAGCGCACTGTCTTGCTCAGCGGCCTGCACTCGCCCACCGTGACAATGTCGCCGATCTGGACATCCCTGAGGGAGGCAGGGGCAGAGCAGACCCTCAGGAGGGGTCACCTTCGGCCCTGGCCCAGGGCAGCCCCCCCCCATCCTCTCTGCCCATTCAGCTGCCCACCCCGTTCCCAAGCAATAATAAACCCAATCCCAGACTTGTGCCTGTTCACACTATGCTGAGCAACACAAAAAGCTACAAAAACGCTGGGATTTTCCAGGCTTGTCAACAGCATCACCCAGCCGACTGCCCCAGACTCACCTGAAGCAGGGGGACAGGTGCACAGACATGTTCTTGTGGCGCTTCTCGAAGCGATTGTATTTGCGGATGTAGTGGAGATAGTCGCGGCGGATGACAATGGTCCTCTGCATCTTCATCTTGGTCACCACGCCTGGTGGGGGGGGGGGGACACAATAAGATCATGGATCACAGGTAGTCTGGGGCATGTTGGGAATTAGAAGCACCCAAGCAGAGGTCCCCGAACTGTTTCCAGCATCAGCAATGCCAACTGGCTTTCTCGGCAGTGCCCATGGCAGGCTTCTGAAGACCATCGTGAGGAAAGACATCATCTGCCAGTGCCTGAGACCTCTTCCAGTAGTTCAGGTTTCCAGAGCCCTTCACTCACCAGACAGGATCCGGCCTCGGATAGAGACATTACCAGTGAAGGGGCATTTCTTGTCAATATACGTGCCCTCGATGGCCTGTCCGAAGAAAAAAAGCAGTGGAGTGAGCCATGGGCAAGCCGTTTGAGAACAGAACTGGGGGCGTGGCCCGAGGGATAGAAACTACAATTCCCAGCAGCCCCAGGGGCAGCCACTCAAGATGTGACCAAGGCAACTCTATTCCCACTCGGGCAGCCACAGGACAGCCTCTTTTTCTTCTGAGGTCCCTTCCTCACCTCTTTGGGGGTCTTGAAGCCCAGGCCGATGTTCTTATAGTACCGAGGGAGCTTCTCCTTGCCAGTTTCTCCCAGCAGGACCCTCTTCTTGTTTTGGAAGATAGTTGGCTGCTTCTGGTAGGCACGCTCTGTCTACATGGATGGAGAAGGAAGATGGTGAGCTTGGAACAGGTCAGTACCTGGTCTAGTAGTGTCCTTCCTCGAGGGCTCTAGGTCCACCCTCTAGAGCATTGAATCCCCAGACACCACCCCTACAGGCCCAGCGCCCCAGAAGCAATCTGTACCACACAACCACTCCAAATTTACGTGTAATCCGCAAATGGCCCTAAATCTAACCCAGGATTGTTCAATTCGTACGCTCCAACACATCTTCCTGGTACCTAAATTCATCCTTTAGGAATCACCCACAGAATTAAACCCTGAGGCTATAGAACCAAGACATTACCTACTAACCCTTAAATTTTAAGATTTAAATTAAATTTAAATATTAGAGCGTCCCAAAAGGCTTGAACTTTCATTAACGCATGAGCTCCCAGGGTACAGAAAGCGCTAATCTACGCTAACGCAAATGCACGCTGCTGCTGCCTGGTTACCCCCTAGCAGATCGGAGACGCCCAGGATGAATTCCAAACGGGGCGCAGTGTCCTGCCCTCCCGGACGCTCCCAGGAAGCTGGTGGCGGGCCTCGGACCCTGAGCCACAGCTCTGAGGACCCACCTGAATGTCCGCCATCTTCCCAGCCGGCTGAAAAAAAGAGAGCGACACTGGCGTGCAGATTTCCTTATCGACTGCGCAGGGGCTAGACAGGAAGTGACGAAAGGAGGCGGACGGGGGGACGGGCCAGGCTGTGGGAGGTTCTTTGGGCGTGACTTTGATCTACAGGTGGCACTAACCAACCACGCTTTGGGGGACTGCTAGGACGCAGCCATAATGGTGAAGGACTGAGAAGCGGGAAGCCGTGCACACTGTCACGCGAGATTTTGATCTACCTTTACCTCCCGGGAGCACTAGGTTAGGATGAGAGGCGTGGTTTATGTTATCGCGAGAGTTGTAGGGAGTTCTCCATATTTCTGCGGGGCGTTCGTTCACGTGGGATTTGGAGACCGCGTGGTGTTGTAGGTTGTCTTCGAACCCGAGGCGGTGGCGGCGGCCATCTTCCTGTGGGACAGGCACAAGGATCTTCGGAGCACTACAGTGCTGCCATTGTTGTGAGGGGCGGGGTCTGCCCCCGAGATTTCAGAAGCTTGATGAAAATTGCTCTTCCCCTGTCCCATTTCGCTCCAGACTGTGACGAGGAGCGGCGGGATTCTAATGCTGTTTTTCTGCATACAAAGGCGCTTACTTTTCGCAAGGATGGAAATTCTGTGTACCTCTGCTGCCCAACACGCTGGCCGTTGGCACTTGAAATGTGGCTTTTGCGACTGAGGACCTTAAGTTTTAGTTTTAATTTTATTAGCTTTGAATTTAAATAGGCCCACGTGGCTAAATGTTGAACAACACAGATTTGTAATTACTCTTGCAGTGCTGGGGATTGAATCCAGGGCCCTCACACTGGGCTACATCCTCACCTCAGCTTTTTTCTTTTGAAACAGGGTCTTGCTTAGTTGCCCCACGCTGGTCTCCGGTTCAAACCTATGCCTCGTGTTTTTTGGTACCTGGGATCGAACTCGGAACCTTGCACCTGCGAGGCAGGCAGCGGAACCACTTGAGCTAACTTCCCCGGCCCTTGCCTCGTTTTTAAATGGATCTTGCTTTTGGAAGTATTAAATTGTACTGTTTAATATGTAGCTTTCTATTTTAAATTCGGGCAGCTCCCCTGAGCTGTCCGGCTGTGGCAGAGAAACTATTCATTTACTGAACACACCTGGGATGTGTCATCTGCTCTTTGGGTTACTTAAGTGACAGTTGCCCTGTGAACTGTAGCAAAATGCTCCGCACTCTGCACTGTTGTTTATATTGAGGCCAAAATACTTAAGTGTGGAATCCTGGCAGACAAAATCCCTACACCTTATCAGTGAAATACGGCCAGGGTCAGCCGCATGGGGCCTGACCCAAGAGTGAAGAAACCCCCTACCCAACATTCCCTAGGTGACTTAGTGGGGGAATCACTGTGGCAAACCCAACATGTCTATAGGTGAAATTCAATTAACACCCTCCATTCTATTATCTGATCAACTGCAAAGTCCCCAGGAGCCCTGGAGCCAGGTAGTGGGGACCCATTTAAAACCGTAGCAATCTCACACCAGGCTTGGTGGCACACGCCTGTAGTCCCAGCACTTGGGAGGCTGGAGGCAGGAGGATCACAAGTTTGAGGTCAGTCAAACTCAAGTGAGCTCCAGGCCAGCCTTAATTACTGAGTAGTCTCAAAAAACAAAAAAATTGTGGCAATCCCATACTTTGCAGCAGAATTTGAGAAACTTTACCCAACTGGAATACAGCAGCCACACCAGGCTGTGTTTAAGATGTCCAAGTTGCACTGGAAAAGGCACATGAATGATGCCCACAAAACCCTTTTTGAAAGCAGATTCAGCTTATTCATAGAAAGACAGCCTGTTTAAGCCCCTTCCCTTGTGAAGGGCCAGTGTTCTCTGGGCCTGCCTCCACAGCACACATGCAAGGACGCCATGTTTCTTTAAAAATAATTTATTCATTTCTGGTGACAAAGAGGGAAGGGGCAAGGGCCAGGGCCAAAGTCCCTTACTGGCACACCCTCCCAGTCTGCGCACCTCTAGTTTTGGCCCAAGGTAGCAGGTACCCCTCCCATCCTGACAGCTGCAGAGTATGGCATTTGGCCACATGGGAAGAGGGGAAAGGCAGTGCCATCCCAGCAGTCTCAGCACTGCACCAGAGTAATGGTGCTTGTGTATCATCACTTTTCTAAAGCTCTCTCCACAAGGAGGTCAGAAATTCCATCTGGACATGACTTAAAGCTCAGGAAACGACCTTGCACAGGGATAGACTACGGCACCTTCTTTTTCCCCAGCTCTCTAGGTCCCAGGTTGCTTGTGGCACCTGGACAGCCACCCCTGGGTCCCCCACATCCCAGGGTGGTGATGGAGGAAGGGCAGGCCAGGCCAAGCATGAGGCATAAACAGTCTTTATTGGGCTCAGACCAGGAGTCCGTGGGTCTTGAGGACCTCTGTGAACTTGCTGATTTTCTTTTCCACGTTCTTTTCGGCCTGTTTCCGTAGCCTCTGTAGGGACAAGGACAGCTGGTGGTTAGTGGCTGCTTCCCAGCTGGGTCTTAAAGAGTCCCCTGGGGGTCAAACCCCCAGCTGCCTAGTGCACCCTGGAGAAGCCCTGCCCTCACCATAATCTGTTTCTTCTTCCGGTAGTGGATCTTGGCCTTCTCCTTCCTTTTCTCCTCCAGGGTGGCTGTCACCGCCTGATACTTCCAGCCAACCTCATGAGCCAGGCGGCCCAGGTAGGCAAACTGCAGAGAGAATGAGACTTGAGGATGTGTGGGTGCGGTGGCACATACCTATAGTCCCAGCACTCACAGGAGGCAACTCTGTGACATCTCAATGTCAGACCTGGGTTCAATCCCTGGGCCTGGGCCACAAAGAAAATGTGGGGACACAACCCCCAACACCCAGAGCCTAAACTGGGGCCGCAGAATGAAGATTCCATCATGGGAGGGAACCGGAGAACTCTGCCCAGCCTAGAAGAGGCCACACCTGCCCTGTGTTCAGATCCCCCACCTGGCATCAGCTGAGCCTTTGGCATTATCGGCACTGCCCAGAGGCATCCGCAGACCATCGTGAGAAAAAGCCATCACCTGCCAGTTTGGGGACCTGAGCTCACTCCCAACCCCTAGACCCAGTGTAACCTGGAACTCACCTTCCTTGTAGGCTTCAGGCGGACCACCTTGAGGGCAGCAGGAACCACCATCCGCTTTTTCTGTGGACACAGAGGGACTCAGAGGGCTGGGGTGGGGACACAGGGGACAGAGGCAGCTGGGGCAGGCGTCTCAGTCAGTTTTCTTTTCACAAGGCTCAAACAATGTAGGTAATTGTGCAGCATCACTGACGCCAGAGAAGAACAAGTGCTGGTGGGGTGCAGGGGCAGGCTCACCTTGTCATAGGGTGGCGGGATCCCATCGAACACCTTGAGGCGGTCCAGGGCTGCCTGGCCTCGTTTGGTCTTGTGTGGCAGCATACCTGGGGGCAGAGGGGTGCAGGGTGCTCAGATGGGCTCGCAGGATGCCCACCTCCCCTCCAGGGCTGGCTCAGGCAGCCTCAGATGGTAGTGCATGTGGAGTCTTCTCATGGTCGGGAAACTCGAACAAGAGTGGGAGACATCCTCATCACTGGCCAACAGCCCCGACACCCCACCCCTCGTCCAGCTCACCTCGCACGGTCCGCCAGAAGATGCGGCTGGGGGCCCGGAAGTGGTAGGGGCCGCGGGACGGGTTGGTGTTCATCCGCTTGCGGAGGAAGGCCAGGTACTTTACTGGGGGGAGAGCACAGTACGCCTGCCTGGGCTGTCAGACCTGACAGCCCCCAGGTGACCAGAGCCCCAGGCTCTGTTCCTGCCTCCAGAATGAGAAGCCTCAGCACCCATGAGGAGACCCTTTCCAGGGCTCATCCCGGGCTCTAACTTACACTTGTTTCTGTAGAAGTTGCCAGAAATGTTGATGCCCTCGCAGCGCACAACCACCACCTTCCGGCCTAGTGGGAATAGAGAGGTATTGGAGAGGAGCAGGGGGATGTCCCCTGTGCACAAAGGACCACTGAAGCCCTGACCACAGGCCAGTCTCCTGCTCAAGTCACACAGCAGTGGCTGGCACTCATCCCAAATCACTTCTGAGCTGGTGTCCCCAGCTGGCAGGTCTCAGAGCGGTGCATGGGGTTGATCTCAGGGTCGTGAGACTCAAACGAAAGATGGTGATTGTTGCTCATCACTGACCTCCAGGAGGAACTAAAGACAGGGAGAAGTGGAAAAAAAACGTACCGAGCAGAACCTGCTTGGCCACGATGGCCGCCAGACGGCCCAGGAGATGGCCTCGGCCATCCAGCACCAGGACCTGTGAGAGATGTGGTGAGAGGCGTTAAGAGAATGACAGCTGGACCGGCCCCAGCCGGGCCACATTCCACCAGGTGCTTCCTGGTAGACTCAAAGATCACTTACAGCTAAGGCAACTGGCACCAAGAATGCAAAGAATGACCCGGTGTTAGTGAGCTAAGATACCAGTAACTCATGGCTCAGGTGCTTGAAAGGGGAAAAGGTATATCCTGAATGTATTTCGCACAGTGCAAGGGTGATAGGATTTGACCCAACTGTATAAATGCCGTCCCCAATCATCCAGCTACAAAAACCAGTTACCTGTATCACAAATCACAGGATTTCTTCTGACGTATAAAAATGTTTTTACCAGAATCTTGTTTTGGTTTCTTCAGATAGGATCTTGCCATGCTGCCCAAGCCAGCTCACACCTGGGGTCAAGTGCCTCCTGCCTCAGTTTCCCCAGTAGCTGGACTACAGATAAACCTCACCACATCTACCACGCCTAACAATTTCTTAAGTACGAAGACAGCTTTGGGTGGGATAAGGTGAGGGAGATTAGTCAAAAGCCCAGGCTGGTTCTAGGTGCTGGGGAAAACTGCAGAAGGGGATCCTCAGCAGCCTCACCCAAAACAGAAGTTCACACTGTGACTTGGGAATGTATACTGTAACAATGTAAGTACATATAACATGGTGACTTTATGATTGAGGGCAGCACAGAAAGGTACAAAATCTGAAACCAGACCTTCTGACAAGACCTTAGCCAAAAATCTGCTCTCCATGGTTCCAGTTTATCACCTCTAAAATAAGACTGGCACCTGAAATACGCAACTATCTGAAAGCAAACGACAGCAACACATGCTAGTAGTTCTGCCACCCACCTAGGTCTGCCTCGATGTTGTGGCCCCACCCCACAAGGAAACAAAGGAAAACCTTTCCAGAGCCACCCTCCCCCTCAGTGTACGCCAAGAGACAGGTGGGTTAAGGCTAAGCCTGTTTCGCGGCGGCCTTGGGCTGGTTTGAAGTCTCACAGCCCTCCTCTTCCAGGAGCAACGGGCCTTCAAGGCATGCACCAACCCCAGGGCCACCCATTCCCGCACACCCAGGGACAGCTTCCTCGACCCACTGAAGCGGCTCTTAAATTAAAATACCAGGCACTGTAGGGAACCCTGACCAGCGCTCCCACATTAAGCTGAAGCTCCTGGGTCCATTGTGGGCAGTTGTCGGCGCCACGAGGCCAGCCGCACTTTTTTCGCTTTGTCGCCATCGCTGGGGTCACGTAAGACACAACTCATCTTGCCGTGACCCGAACTGCAGGCCCGACACACCGAAATCCAGGTGTAAAAGCCACTAATTCTTCCTGTGCTGCCATTCCTACTATTACCTTTCAACTCGGGAAGGAATACGATGCAGCAATTTAAGTCCGCCCTAGACCTAAACACAGACACCACGGTTTCTCCTGTGCCCACGTTACATATTTCCCTCACGTCAAGCATTCCTATTTCGCTTTAGTGTCGTCCATAAGCTTCACAACACACATACGAGGGAAAAGAAGACCCAACTCCGCTCCCGCCCAGATCCCACAAGACCCCACGCCGCTCCGACCCGCACAGAGCCCGAACCTGCCCCTCCGCCATCTTCGGCAGCCGCCTGGGAAAGGAGGAAATGTTGGCGCAGGGTTTCTTATCCCTTGCTTCAGGGGCGGAGGAAGTGACGCAACCCGGGCTGCACGGATACTCTTCTGTCCTTTGATTGGCCAAAGTGCTTCACACACGTGTAGAGACACCCACTAGAAGGCGGGCTTTATTCGTAACTGTCCAATCCGAGGAGCGAACCTTGGCAGCCATGGCTGTGAGGGGCGAGGGATCATGTGGGTCAAGGGGCGGCTCTGCTGGGGCGGGGCCGTCCAGCCTTGGACGCCATATTTTTGAGGGGCCGCTAATCTACTCCTCTTGGTCTGTCCGCCACATTTGTGAGGGAAAGTGCCATAACTCCCTCTATCTACTGAAGGTTGCAGTACACGTGGTGGCCCGCAGGGGGCGAGCCGACCTGCCTGGCCCGCGTCAGTCTTGGCTTGGAGGTTCAGATACCCTGGGTCATTGAGCCCTGGACAAACCCCGACCTCAGCCAGGAAACAGGCAGAGGAGGCAGTCTTCGTGAAGTGTGGGGACGGATCCGGGAGCGACTCCTGCAGGCCTGGCTGCGACATCTGCTGAGGCTCCCCTAAGGAAGGTCTCGCTTTCTAGACTCGTGGGTTTTGTTTGAGACAAGATCTCGCTGTGTAGTTCAGGCTGGCCACAAACTCACTGCGATCCTCCTGTCTCAGCCTCCCGAGTGCCGAGATTACAAGCGTGGACCACCACACCTGGCCTGCATTCTTCTGTCTCCTGCTTGGGATGCTCTCCCTGCCCTTCACCCTCACTCTTCTAAAATCTGGCTGTTCTCAGGCCCGTGCTCTTTGGCTCAGGAGTCGTTTCCTCCAGACCCTCTCTGGTATCTCCAAACCTGGGTGAGACTCTTCCTAGGCCTCCCGATGCTGCCTCCATAAGGGCGTGGCAGCCCATTCCTTGGCTCTTTGACCCCAGCTCTGTATCTTCTTTCTCAAAGGCCCAGATCCCTGCTGGATGTGGTGGAGCATGCCTGTAATCCCAGCATTCAGGAGGGAGGCTGAGGCAGGATGATTGCCTTGAATTTGAGCCCAGTCGGGGTTAAATACTGAGTTCAAGGCCAGCCTGAACTGCATGCACAGTGCAACCCTATCTCAAACAAACAACAACAAAAAGGAAAACCAAAGGAAAAAACTGATCCTATGCGGAATCAGGCTGTTTCTCCTTCAGATCTGGGTTCTGGCATTGCCCAGTGCTGGCCCTGGGCCCCAGAGGTCCTCAGAAAACAGGAACTGAAGCCCGGCCTGGTGGTGCAGCCCTGTAATCCCAACGATTGAGAGGCTGAGACAGGGGGATCCAAAGTTCCAGGCCAGTCTGGGCTGTATCACATGACCCTGTCTCAAACAAAAACAAAAGAAAGAAAGAAAAAGAAAGGAAAGAAAGAAGAAAGAACTGAAGAAAACACTGCGTTAACTGAAAAACCAAAGGCTAAACGGCTCCGTCCATGCCCTGTCCCTTCCACAGACAGGCCGGCCAGAGCTGGTAGAAAAGAACGATTTATGTACAGGTTTCTGAGGACAAGGGCTTTGTACAGTGTGGGGTGAGTGGGGCCAGGGCTGTGTCCTGGCGTTGCCTCCGTCCTGGGAAGAGCGCCAGGGCGGCAGCAGTGACAAGCAAGGCACCAGCCTGCAGCCAACTTCCGCTGTGCTCTGGTGTCCTCTGGCAGGTGACTCCGCTACCCAGGCCTCAGCGTCCTTCTCTGTGAATAGGATGACAAATGTGTCCACCTCGCTGGGTCGTTCTCGGGTCAGCAGGGGAGGACAGGGAGAGCACATAGCTTGGCGCAGCCAGTGCTCACTGCTAGGGTGGCTGTCCAGTCACCTCTACCGTCGAGCTGTTCACCCTCCAGTAGGGAAGCCCCTGCCACCGTGACTCCTGAGCCCCTGAAATGGGGCCAGTGTAACTGAGGAGCTGAGTTTTTAATTTCACCTAATTCTAATTTTGCTTGGCGTGATGGTGCACACCTATAATCACAGCATGTACTTGGGAGGCTGAGGCAGGAGGATCGCTATGTGTTCAAGGCCAGCCTGAACCACATAGCAAGACCTTCTCTCAAAAATAATAATATAGCCAGGGATTTAGCTCAATGGTTCTGCCGCCTGCCTCACAAGCCCAAGGTCCTGAGTTCAATCTCCAGTACCAAAAAAAAAATACTGGTAAAGGTACAAGATCCCAATGATAGGGCCGGGGATTTAGCTCAGTGGTTTCGCCGTCTGCTGCGCAAGCGCAAGGATCCAAGTTCGATCCCCGGTACCAAAAAAAAAAAAAAAGATCCCAATGATGAATGTAACTGTCTTGTATACGTAAAATGTTGTTGATCGTTTTTTTTTTTTTCAGTTCAGTGGTTCTGTTGCCCGCCTTGCAAGTTTAAGGTCCTGAGTTTGATCCCTGGTACCAAAAAAAAAAAATACAGATTTGGTGTTTCTGATAAAAATGTTTTCTTCCTGGGAGGCTGAGGCAAGAGTTTGAAGTCAGCCTAGACTACATAGTGAGACCTATCTCAAAAACAAAACAAAACAAAAAAGTGTTATTTGAAGTGGAATGTGGTGGCACATGCCTATAATCTCAGCACTCAGGAGGCCAAGGCAGGAGGATCTCAGCAAGTTCCAGCCCACCCTGAAACAATGAAGGCCTGTCTTGGGCGGGAGAGTGCCATTTGGGGCTGGGGAAGTAGCTCAGTGGCAGAACACTTGCCTGGCACATGTGAGGCCCTCATAATAAAAAAAGCAAAACAAAACAAAACAGCCTGGTGTTAAATATTGGTGGTCCCTTACAAGCTGTGTGGCTTGTGTAAATGATTCGCCTTTCTATCCCTCGGCTTCCGTATGTGGAGCAGGGATGATGATGGAGCCACTTTTTTTTCCAGTATTGGGGATTGAACTCAGAACCTTGTGCTTGCAAGGCAGGCGCAGCACTGCTGAGCTAAATCCCAGGCCCCAATGCGCCACTTTTCAATGGAGTGATCATCCGTGGAGAGCTGCAGCACCAGACCGTGTCCCCAGGTGTGCCCTGTGCCAGTGACCAGGGAGACCTGTTCCTGTTAAAGCCGCTGGACCTAGGGACCCACAGGGTCTCCTGTCCTCACCCCTCCCAGTTTCCAGCTGCTCCTTCTTCCAGGACCCCCACGCTCCTTGCTCTCCAGCGCTGGCTGACTTTGGGGCTCCCTGAGCTTGGGCAGCTGAGGCCTGAGCAAAGCCGCCCCCTTCATTTGTTCTGTTTTATTTTTTTCTCCAGGCACTGGGGACAGAGGGCCTTTCCACTCAGTTACATTCCCAGACCCTTTTATTTGAAGGCAGGGTCCCTCTCCAAGTCACTAAATGGCCCAGGCTGGGCTTGTGATCCTCCTGCCTCAGCTTCCCGAGTGCGAGTGTCGCAGGCGTGCAGCACCACGGCAGGACCTTGTTCTAGTCCTGCGGTGTCTTTCTGCCCCTCCACTGCTCACCGACCTCCCTCCTCCCTACCTCCCCAGCCCAGCCGAGGCCGAAGCGCCCAGAGGACTCACCAGGACCAGGTGCTGGGCAGCTCAGCTCTGCAGGAGCGGGACGTCCTGGGGGCTGCAGGGAGGGGGCACCTGCGGCCCCCGCGGGGTCAGGCCAGGGGCGGGGCCTCCAGCTCCAGCCCCTCCCCGCCCCCACCCCGCGGGCTCACCGGCTCCTGGGGGCCTGGCGCCCTGCACCTTGATCGCGGCCTCCGCTGCCAACACCAGACGGAGGCGAGCAGCAGCAGGAGGGCGGCGGGCAGCAGCAGCAGCAACAGCAGGAGCAGGGAGTGGGATGGCGGGGTGGGCAGCTCTGTTGCCTCCAAAGCCCCGGGACTCCTTGGGGGCAATGGAGTGGAGGGGTCTGTGGAGAGAGAGGAGAGGAGGGGCTGCCTGGCACTGGCTGTGTGACTGGGAGGGGAGGGCAGCCTCTCCAGGCCTCAGGTTCTTCATCCCCAGTAAGAGAAGGACAAGAGGGGCCAGGGATTTAGCTCCGTGGTTTCGCCGCCTGCTGCGCAAGCGCAAGGACCCGAGTTCGATCCCGGGACCAAAAAAAAAAAAAAAGGACAAGAAGCCCCGGTGTGGTAGTGCACGGCTGTCGTCCCAGCACTTGGGAGGCTTAGGCAGGAGGATCTCTGTGAGTTTGAGGCCAGCCTGGGCTACATAGTGAGTACAAGCTCAGCCTGCACTACATAGTGAGACCCTGTCTCAAAACAAACAACATGAAAAACCATGACAACGGTGATAGAATATTTCCATATTCTAACTACAATATTCTATGTAGAATTTCTACCTAGAATATATACATATATTTATATTCAGATATAACTGATCCTCCCAAACAAAATATCTACTCATTTCCTACCACTCGGTTCATTTACAAGATTAATTCCATTACCTTGGTCACAAAAAAAAGCTTTCATAAACCCAAAAAGTTGAGTTTTCACAGACATTGTCTTTCATCATATTCCAATAAAATTACTTCATTTTGATGCTATAGTACCGGGCCATCCAGAATAGCAGCCATTTGTCCCATGTGGCTGTGGAATTCCTGACCTGTGGCAAGTTTGCTTAAGATGTACTGTAGAGCCAGGCGTGGTGGCACACACACGTAATCCCAGCATTCCAGGAGGCTGAGGCAGGAGGATCACAAATTCAAACCCAGCCTGAGAAACTTAGCGAGCCTCGGTCTCAGAGTGAGACACAAGGAGGAGGGAGTTGGGGGCTGAGGGGACCGGGCAGGTGGCTGGCAGGAGGCTGGGGCTGTTACCGGGCTGGCACCGGAGCTCCAGGCACTGAGAGAAGTTCCTGTGGGTGATCCAGGGCTTCATGGCCTCCAGCTGAGCCACAGTGTCCTGCAGGAGGTGGGAGATGTTGGTCTGGACGAAGCGGAGGCAGCTGGGGAGGGGCTGAGGGCAGGGGGAGAGGTCATCACCATGTCACCTGAGGGCAGGCCCCTGCTCCCTGGTGGTGGTGCAGAGAAGCCCTGAGCAGTGCCCTTCCTCGGGGCCCAAGGAATTTTTGCCCCAGGAGGGGGCCCAGACCCTTCACCCTCTTCCGAGCCTGGAGATGTGTTGTCCCCCAGCAACAGTGTACCCAGGGACTTCAGCGAGTGGGGTTCCAGCTCTGCCTCCCTTGGGAACCTAAAGGACACCGGGGAGACCCAGGAGAGCTTCTCTACCAAGCCAGGGACAGCATCCCCTCACTGGTCCCTAAGTTCAAGACTGACCTGGAAGGCACATGAGGTGACAAAGTGAATCTCCGTGTCGACAGTCTCCAGGAGCTCTCGAATCTTTAACCCAGCCACCGTCTTGAGTCGCTCCATCCAGCGCTGGGCCAGGACCAGGTGCCAGAGCTTCGCACAGAACTGCTCCTGGGGAGAGAGCCGGGCCCCAGTTAGGGGGAGAGGAGAGGCTCTGGGTCTGAGGGAGGAGGCTGGGCCTGGACCCCCGGCTCTGAGGGAGGAGGCTGGACCCAGATCCCAGGTGGGCAGTGGTGACTGTCCCCACTAGCCTGGTCCCGCAGGTGCTGTCTCTGCAGTCCGCTTCCCACCTCCATCCCAGGCCCTGCCCATGTGTGACTCACGTCCTGCAGGTTGGCGGCCACAGTGACTGGATAATCCTTGAGCAGGTAGTCAGACTGCAGGCGAAAGCAGGGTCAGGCCTGGCTCAGAACTGAGGTAACCAGAACTATGGAGTCTCAGAAATGGAGGCAGAGACTGAGAGAGGGGTGGGGAGGTCCTGGGAGAGGTGACAGAAGACTCAGCACCAATCCCCAAACCCTGGCCTCACTGGGGTGGCAGGAGCAGGCGGGGCAGGGCTGCTCACCAGTGTGCTGAATTTGATTTTGAAGTCGGAGGAGATGGGGTTGTGGGAGAAAGAGCAGCTGGAGGTCCCGTGCAAGCGGGGGCTCAGCAGCAGGAGCAGTAGGAGCAGCAGCAGGGGGCACTGTGGGGACCCGGCCGTTAGCATCCCGCTCCCCACCTGGCCCCCCATGGTGCGTCTCCCAGGCCCTGCTCTCCCCATAGGGCTGGGAGTCTCAGTCCTTCTGTCTCCTCAGGCCTCTGTCTCTGCTCCAACTCTCCTGCTTCATCTGGCCCTGCCCCAGCTCTCCTCTCCCTACCGCATGTCCCCCACTACTGTCTGCACCAGACTTCTGTTTGTTTTGTTTTGGGGTCAGGGTCTCCCTGTGTAGTTCAGGCTGGCTTTGAACTCACTATGTAGCCCAGGCTGGCCTCGAATTCAAGGCAACCCTCCTGCTTCAGCCTCCCAGAGTACTGGGATCACAGGTGTGCGCCACCACGCCCGGCTGCACCCAACTTCTGCCTGCTTTCTCCATTGTCCACCTGCCCACCTCTGTCCACCTCGGTCCACCTCCCTCACCTGGCTCCCCTCCCACCTCCGCTCTCAGCCCCGCCCAACCTGAAGTCGCGCCCCCTCCGGTCCCCCAGGTGTACACACCGATGGTCTCCAGGCTGGCGCCAGCACTGTCATCGCGGCCCGGGGCCCCTCATGCCTGTGGCCGGGTCTTGGAGGGGACGGAAGAGCTGCTCTCGGACAGGCGCCCTGCGGCCCCCTCCCCGCCCTCCCTCTGGCCTCCCCGCCCCTGCCGCGCGCCCTTGATGTGGCTGGGTTTCCGCCCCCCGCAGCCCCCGGCTTCCTGCGTGAGCCCCAGTTACGGCGAAAGCTCATCTCCCCTTCCAAGAACCGGCGTCCGCCCCAGGCGGCTCCCGGCCCCCAGCCCCTGCACCCCGGCCCGGGAGCGGCGACCCCGGCGCCGCCCTTCGGGCACCCGGAGTCCCATTTCCCTCACGCACCAGGCTCTCCCCAGCTGGGTGTGGAAGGGCCGAGCTGGGTGACAGCCAGGGACCGAAAGCGAAAGGGAATTTGGGGGGAGACGGCGAGCTGGGGTGAAATCGGGCAGTGGCGGAGGGCGCCCCCTCGCGGGGAGAGCGGCGCCTCGCGGGTCTCGGCCTGGACGGCGCGCACCGAGGTTGCGAGCGGGGTCGCCAGACGCGTGGGGCCCGGAGCGTGGCCGCCCCCCGGCGAGGGCGCCCGGGCGTCGCTCTGCCCTTCGCTGCCCGCTGGCCGTCCAGTCCCCAACAGGTCGGTCGGCTCCACCTTTGAGATGTGTCCAGAACTCGATTCTCCAAATCTCCACCGATTCTCTACACCCCAGCCGCCACCGTCCTGGTCCTGCCCCCACCGGTCTTTCAGGAGCTCCCCAGCAGTCGCCTCCTCGCTGGGCGCCTGCCTCAACCCTGACCCCCACGCGCAGCTCATGTTCCTCCCGTGGCGCCCACCTCACTGGGTATAAAATTCCCAGTCCTCCTTGTGGTCCACATGGGCCTGCAGGATGCGCTGTCGTCCCTCACCTCCTGTCCTTCTAGCCAGCCCCACCCTGGCCCTCCTTGCTGAGTCTGAGGTGAGCATATTCCAGCCCCAGGGCCTTTGCACCTGAGGGTTGCACACCTTGCCCCCAGGTACCCACAAAAGCAGCCCACCCCATCTTACTCAGGCCTTTGCAGAAACAGAAGCAAAGGCTTCCTGACACCCTTTCAAGCTGCACCCCCTCCCAGAACCCCTGCTCCCCTGCTTGGTACTTATCACCTTCTAACACACTGTGTGGTTTACTTATCTTCTTCATTGTCGCTTGTCTCCATGGGGACATCTGCTCCAGGAAGCCCTCAGTGGGTACGTGTTGTGACCTGCCGACTCCCCACCAACTAGTGCTATGCCTGACGTTAGCAGCTGCTCCACCAATCTTTTTTTTTTTCAGTACTGGGGATTGAATCCAGGGCCTTTGCGCTGAGCTACATCCCCACCCTTTTTAGTACCAGGGATTGAACTCCGGTCCTTGGTCTTGCTGGGCAGGTGGCAGAACCACTGAGCTAAATCCCCAGCCCCCATCCCTTTTTAAAGTCTCCCTAAATTGCTAAATTGCCCAGGCTGGGTTTGAAGTTGCAATCCTCCTGTCTCAGCCTCCCAGTACTGGGGTTACAGGTATGCACTGTAAGGAACAGGGAAGGGGGATGTTACCAGAACCCCTGCAGTGAGTAGTCCCGGTCTCCTGTGAGCCACGACAGTACAGGCAAATTAATGAGTAAAGGCAGGAAACGAGACTTAGAGAAGCTGAGCTTTGGGCCTGATCAATGCTGCTCTGGGTACCAAAGAGGAAAGACCTGGAGCTTGCCACACCTTTATTTGGTACATTGGGATAACAGACGACTCAGAAGGCTGCAGCGATAATCCTAGGACAAGGAGGAACTTATGTGGATGAAGATCCTAGTTTGATGAGGAATTTATGTTGATTGGGAATTTGTTCCTCCCCAGGATGTCTTCAACTGGTGTAATCTTGCCCTGGAGCATCACAGCATCACAGGACCATTGAGGTTTTTGATGTGTCCTGCGGTGAAAATGGAGTTATGTCTCAATCTGCCATAGCTGGCCTGTAGGCAGGAAAACTAGGTCTAATCATAATTTGTGAAATGATTTTTCCCCAAAATTATGTAGAATTGCTCCTGACAGTGCACCACCACGCCCAGCTCACAAATGTTTGTTGAATGAATGCAGAAGTGGGTCTAGATTACCTCCTTTTTCCTTTTGTTGTATAAGAGAGGATGTGGCTGGTCTTGGCCCTGGTAGCAAACCCTCAGAATTTCAGCATTAGGGATGTTGCTCTCATTCACGGCCACACCGGAGTTCACGTGGAGGTGACTCAGGAAGGGGGGACTGGAAGACCAGTTGTGTGACTACAGCCCAGCCAGTTCCTTGGAAGGGCAGAAGACTGTGCCCGCCTAATGAAGCCCCAGTAAAAAATTCCTTTAAAAGAATTTTTTCTTTTTTGGTACCGGGGATCGAACTCAGGTCCTTACGCTTGCAGGGCAGGTGGTGGAACCGCTGAGCTAAATCCCCAACCCCCCTAAAAGAATTTTTTTTGGGTCCTTGTGCTTGTGCAGCAGGTGGAGAAACCACTGAGCTAAATCCCCCACCCTAAAAGAATTTTTTAAAGAGGGTCTCGCTATGTAGCCTAGGTTGGCCTAGAGCTCATGGCGATCCTCCTGCCTCAGCCTCCCAGAGTGCTGGGATTACAGGGGTGTGCTACCAAACCCCACTGAGATCCGTATTCTATGGTCAAACTATCGCTGTAAGTATAGCACTTTCTGGAGTTTTGTGAGTTCTCAAGGCCATGAGAGCCCCTGAATTTGTCAACCTTTGGTCAGAAGTACAGGGGACCTGAGGACCCTCAAGGGGCTTCTGAAATGAGGGTAGACTTGTGGGGTGGTGCCCTTACCCCGTGGGGTGCCCGCTCCCAGTAGAGAGCACAGGCACTGTGGGCTGAGCCTCCACTATGCCGCCTGCTCATGCTCCGGGCTTGGCAGTGGGAGGCGGGAGGGTTTCTTGCCAGCAGATGCCCTAAGGTCATGGCAGGACGGTGGTTTCACTGCAGTTGTATAGCATTACTTTAAAATGAAGACACTAAGGGCCGGGGATTTAGCTCAGTGGTTCCACTGCCTGCCCCGCAAGTGCAAGGACCCTTCGATCCCTGGTACAAAAAAAAAAAAAGAAAACTAAACTGGGCTTAGTGTCACACACCTGTAATCCTAGCGCTCTGGGAGGCTGAGGCAGGAGGATTGCAAGTTCAAGCCCAGCCTGGGCAGTTCAGGGACTCAGGGAGACCCTGTCTCAAAAGAAAACAAACAAAAAAGAGGTGGGGATCCAGCTGGGTGGAAAGGCCCAGGGTTCCATCCTCAGAACTGAAAACAAACAAAAAGATACCGGTCAGACGTACTGTGGGCCTCCTTGGTCTCAGCCCCACAGCCCCTGGGGCCTCCACTGGAGCTCTGGTGAGGACCTCGTTCTCGCCCTGCTGGTCAAAGGGCTGTGTTGATGTGACACACGATTACAAGCTTAGTGGCTCCAAGCAACAGAAAAGTGTTCTCACCCAGGGCCTGGAGGGCGGAAGGCCAGGGCGCAGGTGGGCCACACGGCCCTGCAGGCCTGGTGATTCTCCTGGCTTCTGGTGGCTGCTGACACTGTTGGTTGTGGCCCTATCTCTCCAATCTCTGCCTCAGTCTTCTCATGGCCTCGTACTGTTTCTGTGTCTCAGGACACCAGTGCCTGGGTGTAGGTAGGGCTTAGCCCTACCCTGGGTGATCTCCTCTTGAGATCTGTAGTGTAATTACATCTGCAAAAACCTGTTTTCCAAGTAAGATCTCCTTCATAGCTTCCAGGGAGTAGGATGTAACATATCCCCTTGGGAACTATTCAACCCTCTGCAGGTCTCCAAGACGGTCTCCTGCCAAAGGGCCTTTGTCGGTCTCTCCTGTGACGTTCTTATGACATGCTTCTCCAGGCTGAACTGGATCCTCACTGTCCTTCAAGACCCAGTGAAAGAATTAAAATCATGCATTCCTTAATTGGGCTGGGAATTTAGCTCAGTGGTTCTGCCCCCTGCCTGACAAGTGTAAGGTACCAAGTTTGATCCCTGGTATTTAAAAAAAAAAAAAAATTAGCACAATATATGCATGGATGGAAATGTCATAGCGATGCAATGAATTTGTGTAATTGATGGGAGTTATTTTGTATGTGTGGTACTGGAGATCGAACCCAAGGACTTTGCACTGAGCTAAATTCCTGGGCCCCCTTTCATTTTTTTTGGACCAGGGATTGAACTCGGGAACTTGCACTTGCGCAGTGGAACCACTGAGCTAAATCCCTGGCCACTCCCCTTTCATTTTAACACAGGGTCTCACTAAGTTGCCCAGGCTGGGCTTGATCTTTCGTTCCTCCTGCCTCAGATTCCCAGAGTGCTGGAATCAAAGGTGTATGCCACTCTGCCCAGGTGAGTAAATATTCACAACTTTAAAAAGCCAGCTCAGTGCCAATCACACCTGCACTGGGAGGATCCCAGGGCTGCTCTTATGCCCAGCACCCCCCCCACCCCCCACCCAGGTTGCGTGAGTGCCTTGTCCAGCACACTGTCTGGTGCTTTCTGTGCCATCCTGGCATGTCATCTGAGATTATGCCTGTGCAGCTGGGCGTGGCAGCACATGGCTGGAAACCCAGCACTCTGGCAGGTTGAGGCAGGAGGATTGCAAGTTCCAGCCCAGCCTGGGCAACTTAGCAAGACCCTGTCCAAAATTGAAAAATATAAAGGACTAAGGATGTAGCTCAGTAGAAAGCTGCAGCCCTGGCTTCAATCTCCAGGACCAGGGGTGGGAGGTAGGGGAATAAACGTGGTCCCTATGTGCATGGTGCTAAGGATGAACTTAGGGCCTTGACCTTAGAACAAATCCTCAGCCCTCTCTGGAGTTGGGGCTCAGCATTTGCTGCTTCCCAGCTTTTTTTGTTGTTGCATTTTTTTTTTGGTACCAGGGATCGAACTCAGGACCTTGTGCTTGGGAGGCAGGCACCAGAATCACTGAGCTAAATCCCTGGCCCCTTTCCCAGCTTTATTTCTCCAACCTCCCATCAAAATCGTTGATAAAATCCTCAATTTCTAGCTCCCATGTGTCCCTGCCTGGGCCACCAGTGCCCTGTAGCAAAGGCTATGGGCTCCCCAGCCTGTTACTTTGTTGTTTCTCAGCCTTAGTCCCTTCAACTCCAACTGGAATGAGGTGGTGCAGTTCCTTTCTGTGTGGCTCTCTTTTCTCCTGCCCCTTCCATCTTATCCATGGTGGACACCTGCATTCACTAGAGGAGCCCTGCCCCAGAAGCTCTCATAGTCATGTGACGTGCTTTGGCCAATGATGCCAGAGCGGAAGTGACAGGTCCCTTCTGGCTGGAAGCCTGACAGACTGGGTGATGGTGGATGATGGAGTGACGTGGCCTCTGCTGTGATCTGACTGTGTCCCCGCAAAATCCATGTGTTGGCAGCCTAACCTGAAAGTTGATACCTTAACCGGACTTGGAGGTGGGGCTTTTGGAAGGCGTCTTGAGTGTATTAACTCACAGGCTGTGGAGGAAGTGGCTTTGATATAAAAGTGAGCTCTTAGCCCGGGGTGATGGCACACACTTGTAACCCCAGCACTGGGAAGGCTGAGGCTGGAGGATTGCTGCAAGTTTGTACATAGAGATCTTGCCTCAAAAAAACCAAACACACAACAAAAGGTTCAAGATGGGTGGGGCCAGGAGCTTTCTGAAAGGCAGGAGGCCTTGCCGACCTCTCCACTTAGCTCAGCAACACTTATTTCCCATGCTGACCTCCAGAACTGTAAGACAATACTGTCATGCTGTTTTCCTTCAAGCCTGTTTGCGGGAAGTTGTAGTAATGACAGGAAACCCTGGCACATCAGTATCTGTGGCTGAGGATAGCATGGAATGGCTGACTGTCCTAGGGGCAGCCAGGGCAGATGTGATTGGAGGTCACCCGTCAGGCTGGCCAATCAGGTCCCCTGCTGGGGCAGGGGGAATAGGAGCCTTCCTGCCTGGCTTGGCTGTGGCTGGGCAGCAGCAGGGTTAGTGGCTTCAAGGCCCCCAAAGCGGCCCACAAAACCTCGCTCAGTGCAGCATCCTCCAGGGACTTACTTCCCTCTGACCCCTCCCACTGCCCTCCGCAGAATGCCCTGGGTAGGGGCTCTCAGAGTCCCCTTTATCTGTCTCACAAACGCTGTGTTGTCCTGGAGCCGCCCACCGGGCTGCTCAATCTGGAGCTAAAGGGCCTCATAAAGATCAGAAGTCACAGTCCCCCGCCTTGCCCTCCAAGCACGGCCGGGGTTGGTCGGACAGTTTATTGGAGGACACAGGACCATGAGAGGAAAGTTCTAGGTGCCAGGCGTCTGTCAGGGGACATCTCCTCTCGTGGCACTGGACATTAGTCCCCCATGGGCAGCCACAGGGCCTTGGTCCGTGCTGCCCGCAGCCTCAGCTCTGGGCCTGCCCCCTGGGGCTCCTGCTCCCAGGCCCTTGGGCATCCACTGTTCACCCACACAGGCTTGAGGTTTCCCGCCGAGGCCCACTCCACGAACTGGGAGCCCTGGGATGGGGAAAGGGAGGGGTTAGCGCTCTCCAAAGCTTGTTTGCTAAGCAGCTGCTTTCTTAGAAACAGGGTTATGAAAGGAGAGACCCAAGGCTTGACCTCAATGGACACCGCACTCCTGATGAGCAACCCTTCCAGATGGTGAGGGAAAAAGAGGCGACCTTGTGGCTAGGGAATTTCCTCCCCATTAACGCCCACATCCACAGGACTGGGGCCCAGGGCACTGGTCAACTGGGAGTCCCCAGCTGTTACCAATAGGCGGTGTAAGCCAGCCAACTTTGGGCTCCAACTTTGTTGCTAGGGTGTGGTCCCTAGCAACAGGACATCCAATGAGATTAGGTCTTTGGACTGGGCAGCTCTTAGGTCCTTCTTGCTAAGGAGATCCTCTTCCCTAGCAACTGGGGTTCTATAGGGGCGGGACCTCAGAACCTTATTGCTAAGGCATTTTTCCCCCTAAGCAGTGGGAGCTCTCAGGGAGCTGGGCTACAGGCTCAGGAGGAGGAGCTTGTTGGTGGAGGTTAAACCCTGAGATCGGGGCAACAAAGCAGACCTCTGCAGATCCGAAATACCACAGCGCCTGGACATCCTGGTGCAAGGCCAGGCAGCGCGTCAGGTGGTCACGATCTCCTGTCACTACGTTCACCAGTCCAGCGGGGAACAGCGAGGCCACATCCTGGGGGTGAGAGAGTGAGCGTTGGGGTGTGGCTGAGGCTCCTGGAAGGAACAGGACTGGGGCCAGATGCAGATGTAGCCTTGGGTGGGATGTGGGGACGCGGGTTCCCATGGTTACCAAGGGAGGTGGGCACAGCAGAGGTCCTGCAGAGCTGCAACATCTTTCATGCTGCCCCAGGGCTTGCTGGGAGCAGGAGCAGGCAGGTGAGCATACCTGGCAGATCTCCAGGGCCAGCAGGGGACAGGTCCCGCTGGGCACCAAGACCACAGTGTTGCCGTGCGCCAGGGCAGGGGCCAGCAGGGACACGAAGGCGAGCAGAGGCCACTCGTCAGGGCACACGACTGCCAGCACACCCAGTGGCTCCCGAAGGCGGAGCACAGGGCCTCTGAGCCCTGCTACCTGTAGGGACGGATGGGAGGTCAGGGGCCAGGCAGGGGAGCTCGACTACCCTTCCCGGTTTCTCCATCACCTTCCCCTTATATTATCACCATCCTCATATGTGCTTCTTCATAACAGGTCCAGTAACAATATGCTCAAAAGCTGGTGTGGGGGCACATGACTGCAATCCTAGCACTTAGGACGCTAAGGCAGGAAGATCATTTTTTAAAAATTTAGCTTTATTTTTATGAGGATCACTTGGAGTTTGAGGTGAGTTCAAGGCCAACCTGAACTACACAGTGAGACCCTGTGTAAAAAAAAAAAAAAAAAAGGAAAAGAAAGCCTGAGATGTAGCTCAGTGGTGCTGTGCCTGCCTGGCAAGCACAAGGTCCTGAGTTCAAGACCCTGTGTAAAAAAAAAAAAAAAAAAAGGAAAAGAAAGCCTGAGATGTAGCTCAGTGGTGCTGTGCCTGCCTGGCAAGCACAAGGTCCTGAGTTCAATTCCTAGTACGGAAAAAAAAAAAAAGAGAGAAAAAAAGGGGCTTGGTTGCTAAGTAGCTGAATATAATTGACCTTCATTAGGCTGCACACTTTTTTTGGAAACAAGGTCTTGCTATGTAATTCAGACTGGCCTTGAGCTCACTGTGCGACCCAGCTGGGCTGAAACTCGTAGCGATTCTCCTGGCTCAGCCTCCTGAGTTTGGGACTATAGGCGTGTGGCAACACACTCAGCCTTTTTTGTTTTTTTGAGACAGGGTCTTGCTCTGTAGTTCAGATTAGCCTTGAATTCACTATGGAGACCAGACTGGCCTCAAACTCACAGCGATTCTCTTGCCTCACGTTGGGCTAACACAGTTTGATGTTTTGGCCATGTGTATAAATCCATGGACCTCACCACGATTCCTGGCTCCTTTGTAATCCTTCCCCAGCCCTGAGTAGGCATTAGTGCTACGCATGTGCCACACTGCTTTATCCGCTAACCTGCTGAGGTACATGTGGATTGCTTCGTTTATTATGAAAACAGTGCATATCATTTTGGCGAATATTTGTGGGTAAATCTTTGCAAGGATACATGCTTTCATTTCTGCTGAGATGAAACCTAAGAATTAACTTTATCTAGGTAAATACTTCGGAATGACAGCTAAGTTACATGGTATAAGCATGTTCTTCTTTTTCACAAAGTACCGAATTATTTTCAAAGTGGCTGCACCTCTTTTTTGTAATTAATTAATTAAGTACTAAGGATCAAACCCAGGGCCTTTGCACTGAACTATGTTCCCAGCGCTTTAAAAATTTTTTTATTTTGGTTCCCTCCAGGGCACCCAAATCCCTATTGCCATGATCCTCAGGGTCTCACTAAATTGCTAAATTTCCCAGGCTGGGTTTAAACTTGCAATCTTCCTGCCTCAGCCTCCCAGGGTTTTAGGATTACAGGTGTGCACCACCATGCCCACTGGCTGGACCAGCAATGCATGAGAAGTCCAATTCCTCCACATTGTTGCCAGCACTCGGTGTAGTCAGTCTTAAATTTTAGCCATTGTGCTAAGTGCACGGTGGTATCTCACTGTGGGTTTGAGCTGTGTTGCTTTAATGACTATGGAGACTGAGGATCTTTTCTTTTTTTTGTAGTGCTGGGGATGGAACCCTGGGCCTCATACATGCTAGGCAAGCGCTCTACCACTGAGACCCACCCCAGCTGTTGAGTGCATTTTCACATGCCTTTTTTGTTTGTTTGCTTTTATTTTTTTGAGACAGGGTCTTGCTATGTCATTCAGACTGGCCTTGAACTCTATGTAGTCCAGGCTGGTCTTGAACTTGTGGCGATCCTCCTGCCTCAGCCTCCCGAGTGCTAGGATTACAGGCAGGTGCCACCATGCCCAGCTCCATCTTATTCTCTCTTTTGTTAAAAACAAAAATCTATCATGGTTATGCACATTAAATAGGTTTTATAGCCCAGTAAAGGGCTAGTAATCCAACCTGGAGAAACACCACTGTAGAAGTGCACTGTTTGCCTGTTACACAGACAGGAAACTGAGTTCAGAGAAAGTGTGGCTCTTGCTGTTCACCGAGCAGCTGGCAGGTGGTGGTGCTAGGCCCAGACCCCAAGCCTGGCTCATCGAGAGCCTTTGTGCAGACCTTGCTGGCTGCCCACCATGTGCGCGCCCAGACCCCTCTCACCTGCAGGGTGTGGCCCTGGGCTTGGGCCTGGGCCTGGGCTGCCCACGCCCGGAGTCGCCTGGCGCTGAGCTCCACCTCCACCTTGGCAGCCTCGAGCTCCACTCCATGCCGCTGCAGCCTCGAGGCCAGGCCGGGTCCCCTGTGCTCCAGCGCAGCTGCCAGCGCCACCAGCAGGGCCGCCCGGGCCCCTGGGGACTGACGCTCCCAGCTATGGGCATGGGGCATGTTGGGGTGGCTCCCTGGTCCTGGCTCCCAGATGCGCAGTCATGCCCAGCCCCTCCCCTAGGAGTCCAGGCTCAGAGCATATAAACCACTGGGGTCCCCTGGGACCCTGCCTGCCAACTGTGACCTGGGTTCCCCGAGTCCTTGCTCACCCAGTGGCAGCCTGGTGAGCGGCTTCCACAGCGCCTCGCACATCCTCAGCTGCACCCTCAGCCACGTAGCCATGGAGTTTGCCAGAAGAATCCCAGATGGGCCTAGAGCTCCCGGCTCCCGAAGGCTGGAATCGGCCCCGGATAAAGAGCCCATAGGGAGGCACTGGGCTGGACAAGGGGGAGGTGTATGTTCCACCCCACTGCGACTACCCTAGCTCTGATGAAGTCCTGCAGAGTCCCCAAACCCCACTCCCATGAGCCTCCAGGGGACTCCAAACCCCTGCTCCCATGAGCCTCTAGGGGAGCTCAAACCCATCCCCATGAGCCTCTAATGAAGCAGACTTTCGTGTAGCAAGACAAGGCTCTTCTCAGGCTGGGATAGGTGAGTGTTCGAGGCCCTAAGACCCACCATGCAGCACTCAGCAGGACCCAAGGACTCCCACTGGTAAACAGCCCTAGCAAACCTCCCCTCGGTCCTCTTATCTTTGGGGGAGTCTGACACAACCTCCCCTTGCAAACTAAGACCACTTGGCATTGAAACTGCTCACCTGGGCCCTGTTTCGGGCCATGCTGGCAGGGCTGTGGGTAAGGCAAGGCCGAAGCTGTCATAGTTCAGATGCTCAAAAACAAAAGGCAGCTGGCCAGGGGTCCCCGAGGGCTGCAGGTACTCATACAGACCCTGTGGGAGGGATTGCAGCACTGAGACACAAGGGACACAGGTAGCAGCAGTGTCCAGGGGATGCAGGTGTGGTGACAGGGCACTCACATCCAGGCCCCCGTGCCAGGAAGACCCACTCTCCTTGCAGCCACCTATGGGCACTGCAGGGTCTCTGAGGCCATGGGTGTTGATCCAGACTGTGCCCACCCGGAGCCTGCGGGAACAGATGGAGAAGTCAGAGAGAACAGAGGAAGCTGGGGTGCTGAGCCAGGGAGGGGGAAGGGAGGCCGCCCGGGCAGGGGAGGGAACTGGGGGAACGGCGAGGACAGACTGCCCCCCGAAGCCCAGCAGGGCCCACAGACCCATAGGCCAGCTCCAGCGCCTGCCCCAGCCTCTCGCTCCACACACTGGCGCTGCCTCCCCGAGGTGTGCTGTTGGCCATGGCCAGCGCCTCCTTGGCTGTGCGGAAAGGGGAGGCCATGACCAGCGGCCACGGGACCTGCAAGGGGGTTGGGGAGCTCAGGTGGCCTGGCGAGGCCCTTCTTCCAAAATCTCATCAATTACAGCACAGGCTTTGGCAGTCAGCAGTGCCAGACCCGAGGACCCATGATGGGCTGAGGTGGGGGAGACCGGATATCTGAGATCCTAGGGGCTTACTTCTGCCTGGGCACATGGTGCGGCGGGGGGCAGGCCAGAGACCAATGTTGGGGGAAAGAGTGGGCCACCTGAGGGCACAGTGACAGCCTGGAACACCTAGGGAGACAGAAACAGATGGAGAAGTCTCCCTACACATAGCACTCCTCCCTCAGACCTGGGGGCTCAGGCCCAGCCTCCTCCCTCAGACCCATGATTTAGGGCTCCAGGCTCTCCCCATCCCAGGGACCTGAGATGCACTCTGATTCACCTCTGCACCCTGACTCCTGGCCTCCTGCACACAGCGCTGGGCCACATCACAGGCAGCAGCCCCTCGGGTCCCCATGTCCACGGCCCCGTCCAGGCCTGGGCCACTCCGCAGCCGCCTCATCCTCGATTGGAGTCGCCTCATGGTTTCCTCCCACACAGATTCTTGGACCAGGAGCCGGAGGCCGCCCTGTGAGGCATGGGCCCCTGAGTGGGCAACGTCAGGGCCGTAGGAGGATGACATGTCCCCACAGAGGGCTGGGGCAGGGATAGAGGAGGCTCATGGAGAATCAATGAGAAACAAACCCACCCAGGGGGTGCAGGTATAGAAAGGTGGTTCCTGGACAGCAAAGGCAGAGGTCGTAAAACCAGGGACAGGGACACTCAGAGAAATGAAGAGGGCAAGGGACTTGGAGCCCGTGACAGGGCAGCTGGTCATTGAGATTCAGAAGTGAGAGAGGACTCCACACACACATGGCATAGACAGAGCTTTAAGATCCTAAGAACTGGGTACCCAAGAATGGAGAGGTAGGACCTCAAGGTCTGCAGAGACCCGACGTCCTGGGGCCTCACATGCATGTGTCTCACCGGGCTGCGGTCAGACCAGGCTGCATCCACAACGCCCTCCACGGCTGAGTCCAGGTCGGCTGAGTCCATGACCAGCAGTAGTGATTCCAAGTCCAGCGCCAGACTCAGCTCCAGCCTGTGGCCAGCCAGGCTCTGCCGCAGGACACGCGCTTCCTGAGGGACCCGTGGGGCTCAGCTGTGTAGAAGCCACTGGCCCAGCCCCGTCCACCCCATCCCAGCTCTGAGGGTACCTCTGCAGCTCCACAGAAGGCCACCTTCTGCACTCCAGGACATCGGCCCAGAGTGGGCCCCAGGGAGGCAGGGCCAACAATCACATTGAGGATCCCGCAGAATGTGCCAAGGCCCCCTGCCAGCTGGGCCAGGAGGAGGGTGCTTGGGGAGCCTGGGGGTACAATGGCCACCACGGTGCAGCCTAGGGAAGGGGGACAACTCAAGGACCCAGAGCTCCAGGCCTAGCCTCCTCCCTCAGACCAGGGGGTCCAGGCCTGGCCTCCTCCCTCAGACCAGGGGGTCCAGGCCCAGCCTCTTCCCTAGACCTGCGACTCTGGGCCTCCAACCTCCTCCTCTTTGAGATCCAAGAGTCAGGACCCCAGCCCATCATTTACCCACTGCCAGGGCAGGGCAAATTCTCCACATCATCTCTAGGAAGGAGAACGTGGGTGGTAAGATGAGGCCAATAACACCTGAAAGGAAAGAATGAGGGGAATGGGGCCACCATGCTGGATTCTGAAAGAGGGGGCTGGGTCTGGGCCTCAGGTCCTTACCCATGGGCTTCCAGCCTGCCAGTACCTCTTCCTGGACATGAGCTTGGACTGCATGGTACTGCAGCAGCTGCTGGGCCAGTGGGACATCCCCACTGCGAACTTCCCGAATGGCCCGCCCAGTGAGCAGGGAATCCAGGGTCCACAGAAGCTGCTGGTGCTTCTGGATCATCTTGGCCAGCCTATGGAGAAAGCAAGGGGATAGGCTGTTCCTAGGGTTGCCAGGACTATAATCCCCATTAGCCCTTGGGGCACCTCTACATCTTACCAGGGGGACAGGGCATCAAAGATTTATGGGAAATGTAGTCTGGAAAATTCTCAAGCCCTGATGATGCTGTGTAAGAGTCTTGGCCATCAGTAATCTCCACCCCAACCAGATATTGGGAACTTGAGTCTTGGCTTCTAATCTCAACTGCATTTTGGGAAATGGAATCTTTGTCCCTAGTTGCCCCCAAAGTGTGAGAGAACAAGTTTTGGGGTACACCAACCCAAATGAACTGTTGAGAAATGGAGCCTTATTGATTCCTGTGGAAATTTTAAGAAACAGGTGTGTTTTCATTTCCTATCTCAGGGAATCATGGAAAATGGGTGTTCTGGACACTAGTGCCTCAGTGCATGCTGGGAATAGGAGCCTTGTCTGCAAATTAATTCAGTGGGCTCACGGAGTAATGGAGTCACCCCTGCCACATCTTGGGGCTACACCTCTGCTGTATCACCTGGTCAGGTGCTGGGCCCGCTCGCCTCCGGGGACTCCACTCCAGCTTCCCCGTGCATCCAAGGCTGCCTTCACTGCTGCAGCCACATCATCAGGCTCTGCCAGGAGGCAATTGGCCAAATTCTCTCCTGGGGAGAAAAGTGGGGGACCCAGGTGGGAAGAGAGATGGGCTAATATTCCCAGAGCTCGGTAGTGGCTGAAGGCAGGAAGGCTGGTCCCCAGCTCCTCCATTTGTCCCTGGTCACCCCTGGGATTATCAGGGGTTTTGGTAGCTAAGAATGTCAAGAAGCCTCCTCAGGGATTTGGAACAGGAGTTGGGATGACTACTGTCAGGAGGAACCAGAAACCTTGGCCCCTCTTCGGCCATTGGCCTCTCCCTGCCCCAGGACCACCCCTGAAAAGGGAATGGGGTGGGCACAGCTGGAAGACACAAATGTCCCTTCTAGTGATGGGGGAATCTTGTACCTGTGACGGGGTCCTGGCAAGGCACTGAATTCCTGTGTTCTGGCTTTAGCCACTTCCCATTTACATAGTGGCCCAAGAGGCGGTTTTGGGCATCCAGCCAGGCCTGGGGGAGGGGACAGTTTGGAGGAGGGCCTGAGACACAGCCGGGACAGCTCAGTCCCTATCCAGTCTCCTCGGAGGAGACACTTGTACCCCTTTGCTGCATCCGCTAATTCTTCCTTTTTGTCCATTGAACCCAGGGGCCCCTGCTCTGAGTGAGCTACACTCCAGTCTCCCTGGTGCCTTCTTTAGTGTGGTAAAACTCACTATTCTAATCATTTTAAAGAGGCATGGTCACACACACTCATATTCCCAGCACTCTGGAGAGGCAGGATTCTGTTGTTAAAAAAGTAAAAAAAAAATTTTCTTAAAGGGCTGGAGATGTATCTGTGCCAAGCCCTAGATTCAATCCCCAGTACTACAAACAAACAAACAAATAAACAATTCAGTGGCCTGTAGTACATCCAGAGAGTTGTGCCTGTGGATCACTTCTGCCTGTCATTGGTCCCAAAGGCAGCCTGCATCCAGCAGACAGCTCTGTCCCCACCGGCAACCACGAATCTGCTTTGTCTCTGTGGATTTACCTACTCTGTGCACTTCATAGAAATATGGTCACATAATGTGCTCTTTTTGAGACTGGCCTCTTTCACTTAGCACAATGTTTTCCAGGTGCATTCGTGTTATTGAACATACATTAGGATTTCTTTGTTTTCTTTTTTCCAGTACTGGGGATCAAATCTAGGGGCACTCTACTGTTAAGCTGCATCCCTAACCCTTTTTCCTTTTCTTTTTTAAAATCTTAAGATAGAGTCTTGCTCAGTTGCCCAGGCTGGCCTGGAAGTTTTGATTCTCCTGCCTCAGCCTAAGTAGCTGGGATCACAGGCATGGGCTACTAGACTCGCTTTGTTCCTTCTTCTAGCTGAATACTATTCCACTGTATTCTGTCCTTCCATTAGTCTGCAGGCATTCAGGTGGTTTCACAGTTGCCTACTGTGCTGCTAAGAGTTCGTACGTATAAAACTCTGCCCGGGTTTTCATCTGTTCAGGGGCACACTGGGGAAGACTTGTGGGGCTGTACGAAACCCTGTGTGAATTTACTGCAGTCTCCAGAGCCACCATTTTACATGTCCACTAGCAAAGTCCCATTGACCTGGACTTTTTCTTTTTTTCGGTTTTTCTGAGACAGAGTCATGCTCAGTTGCCCAGGATGACCTTGCCCTTGAGATCTTCCTGGCTCAGCCTCCTGAGTAGCTGGGATTACAAGGGTGGGCCACCATGCCTGCCTCTATTGACTTTTCTTTTTTGGTACTGGAGTCTGAACCCGAGGCCTTCACACTAACGTATACTCTAGAACCCAGCCTTTGGCTTTTGGAGACAGGGTCTCATTATGTAGTTCAGGCTGGTCTTGAACTCACTGAGGAGCCCGAGCCGGCCTCAAACTCACAGTAATCCTCCTCCTGCCTCAGCTTCCTGAGTGCTGGGATTACAGGTGTGTACCACCATGCCTTTTATTGTTTTATCCTCTGCATATGTTCCAGGTTTCCTTCTTTCCTGTCCTGTTTTTCTTGTTAGTAAATGCAACACACACTTCTACTGTCTCCTACAAACTCTCTCCTCTTAGCATCCTGTCTCAGCAGCCTCCTGCTTTTCCTCTTACCCTGCAAGCCTTATTTCTCTTTAAAATCAAATGGTTACCTAGAAGTTCCAAACCCAAATGTGCAGGGGGAAAGAGCCATTTTTGCCATAGTCAGGGATACATAATCATGAACTGGGCGTGAGATATTGAAGAACACCTGTTACACATCCAGCACTCAGGGAGGCTAAGGCAGGAGGATTCCAAGTTCTAGCCCAGCCTGGGCAAATTAGCTAGGCTCTGTCTCAAAATAAACAAAACCAACCAAACAAAAAAACAAAGCCAAGTGTGGTGGCACACACCTGTAATCTCAGCACTTGGGAGGCTGAGGCAGGAGGACTGACTGAGTGCCAGACCAGCCTGAACTACATGAGTTCAAAGCCAGCTTGAACTACATAGCGAGACCCTGTCTCAAAACAAACCACCAAACAAACATAAAAAGAAAAAAAAGGGGCTGAGGATATAGTTCAGTGTGAAAGCCCTTGGGTGAATCCTCAGCACCTGGGGGGGAAAAATGACTATTAAAGGTTCCGATGCCTGCCTTGCAAGCACAAGGACCTGAGTTCGATGCCCAGTACCAAAAAAAAGACTATTAATGCTGTGAAATGTGATGAATGATTGACAGTTATATAACATTATCTGTTAGAAATAGTCAAATATGTCTTGGAAAATAACATGACTTCTGGGATTTATTTAAAAGACTCTCAAAGCAAAAAGAAAAATGAGGTGGGAAATACTGGATGAAATGTTGATGTCTGCTGAAGTCAACATGGGTAAGTGGGGCTCCTAATCAGTGTCAACCCCTCTGGGATGATGGGAAATCTCGCCCTAAAAGAAAAATCCCAAAGGAACATCCTTAGGGTTCTGGCAGGTCATGTAAGTGGGACAGAGGGTTTGCGAGGACTTGGAGCTTACAACTTAATCAAAAACAACAGCACTGATTCCGTCCAGATGAGTTTTGTCAGGGAACCGGAGCCAGAGGTTGCCACATTGTGGAATTTTATTTTCAAGAGAAGCTGGAATCCCGGGTATTTATTTGGAATTAATTGTCCAGCAGCTGACATTTTCAAAAACAAAGCTTAGGCCAAAAGAAACATGTTTGTTGGTTGAGTCTGGGCCAGGAACTGTGAGGCTATGACCTTTGCTAGTAGGGGAAAAATCATGGATTCAGAATCCAAGGGCCCAAATTCAAATTTCATTTCACTTTTTTTGTGTGATGCTGAGGGCTAAACCCAGGGGGTCTCTACCACTGAACTACATTCCAGACCATTTTTATTTTGGAACAGGGTTTTGCTAAGTTGCTCAGTCTGGGGTAGAACTTGTGATCCTCCTGCCTCAGTTTCCCAAAGTACAGGTGTACACCATGACACCTGGGTGAGGTTTTTATTTTACTTATTTTTGGTTTTTTGAGACAGGTCTCGCTGTGTGGCCCAGGCTGGGCTCACGAAGTACTGGGCTTACAGGTGTGCACCACCACACCTGGTGAGTTCCTTTGTCTGTCTACACTGGTGAGTCCTAGTTTTGTCTGCAGATCAATGGTCCTGAGGCACAAGTACAAGCAGTGTAGACCTCCAACCCACTGCTGTGGCAGTCCCAGGGCTCTCACACCCTCAGTCCTCCATACCAGGTTGTTCTTCTGGCTCTGTCTCAACCCTCTGCCCCATCTCCACAACTGCCCCGGGCTCTGGCCACCCCTTCTTCTGCTTGGACCATTGCTCTGGGCTCCCCCTCAAAAGAAACCCCACTTCTCCCACCTGGTGCTGAGGACCCTGCGGCCGTGGGAATCGGAAGAGCCTTTGGAGAGGACAAAATCCCAGCAGCCTACTTAAGGGAAGCCAAGAGGATTCTTGAGGCCCTTGAGGGATAACGGGAGCCCCTCGAGGTTCTGAGGACTTGGGGGAATCACTGGGGCCTGAAGAATCATGGGAACTCCTGGGGAGTCTGCGTTGGGCTTAACAGAAGACAGATCCCCACAATCATGGGCTCCCCATGGGGGTGTTCTGTGGGGCTGCAGGCAATTACAGGAAGTTCTGACATATTCTGTGGTTCTGAGAGTTCCCTTGAGTCCCATAAGCATTAGAACCCCCGAGGAGCGGGGTGTGGTGGTGCAAGCCTGTAATCCTAGCACCCTGGAAGGCTGAGGGAGGAGGATCTCAAATTCGAGACCAGCCTGGGGAATTTAGCGATTTTGAGACTGTCTTAAAAAAAAAAACAAAACAAAAAATAAAAACCGCTGGACATGTAGCTTACAGCGAAGGCCTTGGGTTCAATCCCCAGAGCAAGGGGGAGCAACCCGAGGAAGCACCACGTGTTTTAGGGGTCCCCGATGACCATGGAAGCCACAGGAGTTGAGGAGTCTGGGAAGACTATGGAAGTTCTGAACGAGGGTCGCCGGAATCCCACAGCAATCCGGAGGAGCCCGAGGGATCACGGGAGGCTTGGGGGGGGGGGTTCCTTAGGAATCGCGAGCCCCTCAAGAGGTTATGAGGAATCGAGTTCAGGGCGGAGCAGAAGAACCACACTAAGCATCACGAGAACAGATTTAACAGCGGAGGCAGCCACTGCGAAGGCTCACGGGAATTCCCCCTAGGCTGGGTCCTAAAGCGCCGCGAGAGTGACGGCGCTGAGAGGGGTGGAGTCGCCGAACTGCCGCGGTGGATCACGGGAGTCCGCGCTTAAACCACAGTCGCGAGGCCCGGGAAAGGAGAGGAAGTACCGGCCCCGCAAGTCCTCACCAGTGCGCATGCGTGGCTCTCCGGCGCGGGTCCGTACTCCAGAGTGGAGAAGATCTCGCGGACGCTGGGCCTTGCGTGTGTCTCCGCCATAGCTCGCCTGGACGATCTTCCACAAAGGACTGCAGTGCGCTCTGACCAAAGGGGAACCTTGAGGTCTGAAGGGTGGCACCACCCCTTTCAAGCTCAAAGGGGAGGGACCAACGAGAAGTGGAAGGGGATACTGGATATAGAGTGTATCCCCGCCCACTCCTTCCAGCCTACCGACTGGGGGAGTAGGCCTAGAGGGTGACACTGGGAAATGTAGTTTGGAGCATGCAAATTCCTCAAAGTGACGAGGCAGGGGAGACTGGAAATGAGGGTGCACTGTTAAAAGAAGGCACCGAATTTAGGAGGGTGGCCGTATTGATGTGTCTTCCACACTTCTTTTTGTGTTGGAGAAAGTTCAGCTTTAGTCCGAAATCCATTTACAGTACTAGGGACCAGATCTAGCTCCGGAGAGGGAGTCGCTGAAGTGATAGTTCAAAGATCAGAAGTCAGTCTTTTAAGGTTTAAAGTATGGCAGCGTCGACTGCACTGTAACCTGACCAAACCGTGGTTAGAAGCGAGCGGAAGTGTGGCTTTTATAAATACATGAAGTGTGGCATTTCCGTAGTCCTCTTAGAGTTTATTTTTGATTGGATGAAGTGAGGGGCGTGACTACATATTTCGGATGTGATTGGCCTGTAATAGTTGGCTTGATGAATGAGGTTGAGTAGGAAGTGTGGCTACTGTAGTGGTGCAGGCACAGAGACTGGAAGTGTGGCTTTCATTTACACATTTGACGAATGTGTCTGGTCTAGAATGGAATTATAGACTCAGCCCACATTTTGGTTTCCGAATAGAAAGATGTGTGTCGGGAATCAATTGAGAGCAGGCTCCAGAGGTCAGATAGCGGGAAAAGTTTCCCGCGACGGAGGTGCTGAGGTCTATTTCCCAGGGTCATGTCGAGCTCAACACTGCTGGAACCAGAGCTGAGGGAGGCAGAGACGCTGGGTGATGAAACGGTGCGGTTCCAAGAGCTGCTGTTGCAGGTATGGACAGCCCAGATTCCTGGGTCCCTAGGTGTTAGGGTCGTTGGTGCTAGTGATGGGACTACAGCTCCTAGAATGCACTACAGTGACAACAACTCCTATGGGAATTGTAGTTGCTTGGCTCAGTTTGCTAGGCTTTGAAAGAAATGGGAGTGGGTTTGGGGTTCTTCACGTCCTTGAAGGAGGAAGGGGACCTTGAATGTCTCATTTTTCCTGTTACCAACAGTTTTCATGTATGAGTTACTCTATAAACATTTGAGGAACAAATAAAGGATCTGATTGCACAGACTCCAAAACTAAAGACTGTTTTCCATCACAGGCTTCCAGGGAGCTCCAGCAAGCCCAGGCAACCACACCAGAATCTACACAGATCCAGCCTCAGCCTGGTGAGAAAGACAGAAACCCAGAGAGTGAGAGAATATTCCCACAGAGAGCATAACAGAGACCCAGAGCGGAGGATAGATCTGCGGAGACACAGAGAAAGGGGGCGGGAGGAGACACGATACTGAGATATAAACCTAGAGGTAGGTTCGTGAATTGACACCCAGGAAGGTCATCTAGGGATAGTGACTGGAAGAGAGCAGAGCAGGAAGCAGGTCAGACACGCAAAGAGGGAAGAGGGTCAGGGGCCTCAGACAGGGGAACACCTCAGAAAAAAAGGGACAGAGAGACCCCAGGGGAGGGGATACAGAGCCCCAGCAGAAGAACAGTGCAAAAGAGGGAAAGGGGGGAGGGCAGATGGATGGTGATGGAGACCTTGCAGAGACAGATGGTCAGGAGAAATACACTCCCACAGGTTTCTGCATAAAGACCAACTCATCGGAAGGAAAGGTTTTCATCAACATCTGTCACTCTCCCTCCATCCCTCCTCCGGCTGACTTGACCGAGGATGAGCTGCTTCAAATGCTGGAGGAAGACCAAGCTGGGTTTCGAATCCCCATGAGTCTGGGAGAGCCACATGCTGAGCTGGATGCAAGTCAGTGTCCTCACAGGACCCAGGAGTCTGGCTCCTTCCTTTTTCCCTAAGACTCGGGATCCAGGGTCCAGGACCTGTTCCCTCAGGTCCTGGAAATCTGCCCCCAGCCTGATCCGTTTCCCTCTGACAGCTTTGGTTCTGCCTACCTGACCAAGCTGGTACTTCCTGTCCCATCTGGGGAAAGGAGGGAAGGGGAGGGCTGGGCAGAGGGCTCTGTGCTCATTAACTGATCTCCTGGCTTTAGTTTGTGGCCAGCTCTCCCAAGCTTTCATCCTGTTTCTCCTCTGTCCTCTTTGTCTCCATCACTGCATGTCCCTATTTCTCGGTGTCTCTTGATCTTTTTGCAATTCACACATGTCTCTGGAAGCCTCCTGGGGCCAGGCTTTGGGCTGTGTCCTGAGAAATGGGATTTACCAAACCCAGATCCCGCCCTTGAGAAACTCCCAGTCATGGATGGGGGTGAAGGACACTGATGGATTTCAGTGTGGTGTGATCTGTGCTGCATCAGAGAGGATGTGTCCCCTGGAGGCTCTTCACCGATACCCAGATACCCACGGCTTCTTAGAGGAGGAACTGTCGGATGTAAGACTTGAAGGGACAGGAGCTCTTGAGAGGGTTCTTGGCGGAGCACAGAGGGACCCAGAAGTGGAGATAGAAGGATTGGATGATCAGCCAGTGATAGCTGGTGATTGGAAGAAATTTAGAGGGATGCCATTGCCAGAGGAGAAGGAAGCTTCTCCCCAGAGGTGGGAGTTGTACACCACACTGGGCCTCCAAAGCCAGGCCAGGGGAATGCATGAAGTGAGGGCATCCCTGGGGACATGGCCACCTGAGACCAGAGGGGAGAGACTGCAGTCTGTGAGGACGCTGGTCAAGTGGACTGGAAAGTGCTGTGTTGAGCTTGTCACTTCCAGGATCTCCCGTTCGAGTGGCTGCTGTGCCTGGGTGGCTTCCTGTGGAGGGCAGGGTCTCACCGTTGTTTCTCCCTGCAGAAGGCCAGGGCTGTACTGCCTATGATGTAGCTGTCAACAGCGACTTCTACCGGAGGATGCAGGTGGGGCGGGGCTCTGGCTGAGGCCTGGGCGGGGCCTCTCCGTCCAGATCTCCAGGCCTCCAGGACCACGAGTCTCTTCCTCTTTCTGTAGAACAGCAATTTCCTGCGGGAGCTCGTGGTCACCATCGCCAGGGAGGGCCTTGAGGACAAATACGGCTTGCAGCTGAATCCAGGTGAGGGTTGAGGCCTGGGCCTTCAGGCAAGAGTAGAGTCCGGCTTGGGGGCCACCTTGGAAGATGGGGTTAGTGTGGGCAGGGATTTTCTTGTTTTGTGGATTTCACAGGTGTGTGTGTGGGGTTCTCAGAGTGAGGGGTGGGGCCGAGAGGAGACTCTAGGTGGGGTGTGGAGCCAGCGGTGATTTTTATTGGTGTCTACCCAGGAAGGCGGTGGCAAAACGGGCGTGGCTTCCTCACCCCTCGCCTTGGGGCGTGGTCTAGCCCAGGTGTTCAGGGAGGGGGCGGAGCCTCCTGAAGTTCTCTCTACAGGAGGTCCTGAGAGCCAGGAGGACCTGTCCCGGGTGACCTTTGCCTCTTTCCCCTCAGAATGGCGCATGTTGAAGAACCGGACTTTCCTGGGCTCCATCTCGCAGCAGAACATCCGCTCCAAGCAGCATCCTCGGATCCAGGAGCTGGGGAACCTACACATGCCTGGCCCCCGGGGGCCTGAGGGAGGGTGAGCCTTCGGGGATCCCTAATGATTCCCAGCGCTCTTCTGAACCCTCTCTTGGTCCTGCCAGCTATGGGCGCTGGGGGCGGAGAGAGAACTCCTGCCTTAGGAGCCTCCTGTGGCCCACCCTGGGTGGAGCAGGAGGAATGCTGCTGCCCACGACCCACCGGCTCCTCAGCCTCTCAGTCCTGTCCTTCTCCCTCCTCAGCCCTGAGAAGCCGCACCTGAGCCTTTGGCTGGAAGCCCCCGATCTCCTCTTGGCTGAAATTGACCTCCCCAAACTGGTGTGTGGGCTGCATGGAGCTGGGGCCCAGGGATTGCGGGATGGAGCCGAGGGCCTCCTGCACGGTGTGCCCTCCAATACCACGTTCACCACACACGAGGCCACCCGGCCTGGTCTGGGTTGAGCGAGGGCTGAGTTCACCACATTTCCAGGATGGAGCCTTGGGGCTGTCCCTGGAGATTGGGGAGAACCGTCTGGCAATGGGGGGCTCCCAGCAGCTGTATCACCTGGATGCCTACATCCCCCTGCGGATCAACTCCGAGGAGAGCAAAGCAGCCTTCCACCGGAAGCGGAAGGTCCCGCGGAGGGGCCCAGGGGCCTGGGGCTTTGGGGCCTGGATCTCTGGGTCTGGAGATGGAGGGGCTGGGGCTGGACTTTTGGGTCCTGAATCCTCATTCTCTTTTTCCTCAGCAACTGATGGTGGCCATGCCCCTTCTACCGGTGCCTTCTTAACCAGAGTGTCTCCCTGTTCTTGCAAATGGAGAAGAGACTGGTGACTTTTAAAATTGAAATAAAAGATTTTTGCCTTTCTTCTGACTCTGGCTAGGGATGGGGGGTTCGGTCGGGAAATGGGCAGGAAGAGGACACTGGGCCTCAAGTCCCTTAAAAGTCCAGACCCCAGCTCAGGCCTCTCCCTCTCCCTGTGGACCCTGTGCCCTACCTTCCAGTCTCCACTCCTTCCCCTTGCTGGTTTCCTGGGTTCCAGGCCTGAACTTGTCCTTTCCTGTCGCAGCCCTTGGGGCTCCCTAGCACCCCCAGGAGGAAGTCCGAGCCTCTCAGCTGAGCACTTCCGGCCTGTAAATGACCTGTCCCTTGTACTGGGGTTGGGGTGGACTGCACAGAGCTCCTGCTGTCCCTCCACCTGGCATCCTGTGGTCCCCTCGCCCAGGAAGTCTGATTGTCCTCAGCCCTGTGCAAGGGTTTCCTTCCCAACAGGCACTTCCTGGTCTCTTCAGTGACCCCAAATGCACAGTGTGACCCCCACTCCCAGCTCCTGGAAACCTGCCCCGGATCACGGCCACACCAGATTTTCTAGGGCCTCAGCCACCAGCCCTAGCCTACCTCCTGGCTCTACTTGGGGTACACCCCTGTCCACCCCCAGGCCCATCCCTCTTCCTTTTGCGGCT